AACATGTAACTCCATCGAAAATATATTTGATACGATTTTGATAAATTAGAGTTTTATCGTACGATTAAAAATCAATAGAACTAAACTATTTGTATTAAATTCAAAATTGATATGGCCACACTAAAAAATGTTTAAATGTAACACATAATTAATGTTTACAAAGAAATTATTTATTCTTAATAAATAAATAGGTTAAGCTGTTTAGGAGATATCTAGGGTCTAGATTTAAAAAAAATAAAAATATATTATTTTATAGTAACTAATTAAAAATGCATTTTAATCCATTGGAAATATTTGGTTTATAAAATATTGTTTACAATATATTGTTCAAATATTGTAGTTATTATTATTTTTTTAATATATCTTCAAATTTTACTAGTATATGTAAATGTTTATACATATCTAAACAAAATGTTGTAAACATATAATACATATTATTTGAGACGTTACATTTCTGGCACAAAAAAAAAACGATTCCTATACCTTAAATATTTTTACAACATTTAAATGGGTCTTACAACTTCTATTTACCTAAGTATTACACATCCGCCTAAATAAATAACATCGCCTGTAAAACCGTTTTTCTATTTATATTCGATTCGTGAAATTGCTTTACTCATGTTCGTTTCTGAAAAAGTTTAAATGATACACACCACACTGTAATGCTGCTTTTAAACAACTCCTACGCCGTACGCGCGATTAACGGACACGTTGAAATACACCGACCGACGTGTCTTAACGTTTGTAGTGCGCTTTCAAACACACCCCTATATATATATATATATATATATGTTTGTACGTGTGTGTCTGCGAGTATCATTTCAAAACGAATAACACGCCACGATTAAACCCACGCCAAACTATAAACGCAGGTCTGTCATGATTTAGTGATCTTTACATCACAGGTCTCCGGATAAATAATCCTAAAACGTGTAATTCGAGTACACCCATATAACATTCGCGCAATCCAGATTGATCGATCACACTGGCAAGGAATTACCTCGGTCACGGTGGTGTGCCGACGGTCGTTTTAAAGACTCATGCGCCAAAAGTGTGCCCAAGAATTTGATATAGGGGTGGAGACTTAGCGATAGACTAAAAATAGCCCACGAGAGCTCCGTCCTCGCATCTTCATGGCCGGATACGTTTAAACATCCTAATATAGTATGTTTAATTACAAATAAAAATGTTTTACAATTGAACAAATAAATGTCCAACAAAATGAAAATGTAAAAATCGAAATAGTTCTAGTTTTGTTTTATTTGACTTTTGTCTAGGTAACCATGTAAAATGTAAACGGTGAAAATTGTATTTAAATTTGCCGCATTGTCTCCAATTAACCCTCTTATCCCTAACAACAATTTTAAAAAGATACAATTGCAAAAGCAATAATTGTATTCAAACCCACAACCATCGTTTTAAAATAATGACTGTTAAACAGCACTGTTTTTCGATTATCTATTGATTATAATTTTATAGGTAATGATAACAGACAATTTAGTTAACTTCCTGACAATAAATCATTGGAATAAATAAAAAATAATTTCTCAAATAAATAAAATATGCATAACCTTCCCCTCCCTGACCACGCTAGTGCCTATACTTATCCGTAATCACGACAATGGATAAAAACAATAATAATATGTAAAACTCAAAATTAAATGTTTGTATTGAAACTGAAAAACAACTGCTAAAAATAATTGGGGTCTTGGCCCTTTTCTAGGATACGGCGGATGGTATAATATTATATTTATACCTACAATACGCTTACATATATTATCCCTGAGTCTTGATTAATTAAGCTTTTTTTGGTTGTGCCAGCAGACCGATAAACTCTCTCTTTAAAAACAGTAAAGTATTCACCCCCGAAAAAATTCTAATTAACTCCGGAGAGACACCCCGGGCATAATGTAGATCAGGAAATTAATTAAACCTTTTAGTTGTTGTTATAATACAACCATAGTCCATAGTAGAACGAAATGTAAATCTACACAGATAGATGACGCACTTGTTTTATGAAATCACGATTTACCCAACAAAGGAAACAATACGTTTATATACTTTAAACGAATAGCAGACACTGAATCGGTAATATAATATGCACTTACATGCTATGCTTTGTGGATACTGGATACACTATATTTTGAAAATTATATTAAATATTAATTAAGTTATACATTAATTAACGGAGTCAATAAAAATGTTACTGTTCATCAACCTTGCCCCATTTTAAATTGGTTTACAACAATATTTGAGTGTTGAAAATTAGGGATGAGACATTCAAAATCCAGATTTAAATCAAGATAAGAAAAAACCAAAGTTGCTATTATTTTTAAGTCTTGGAAAAATTCAATATTACTAAAAAAATGTCTAAATATATATCAAAAATAAATTTGTTTAAAAACAATACTAAATGAAAAAATTGCAGTGCAATTCAAAAGACAAAACATTTGAATTATTTGAAATTTTTAATCTTATAGGGGTTTTTATTATGTGTTCACTATTCATAACGTTTTCACCAAACATTTTTTTCTAAATAATATCGACTTTTATGAAAATTCAAACTTTTGTGGTCCCATTCTATTAGAAATTATTGGAATACTTTATTATATATTTTAAAAACATAAGGTGATTTTTTTACAATTTACACTTCAATATAATATAGCAGTCATCCCGGTTTACGGTATTTCAAAAAACAACTGACCCAACCCAAAGTATGTTGTATTTTTATACTTTATTTAACACCAAAGTATAATAGTGCAGTATATTTTGTCCAACTCTAGTACTTGCTATCCAATGCCTTGGACTAAAAAAATTTCAGGTAAATAAAATATTATTAAAAAAGAACAACACTAAAAGTCGTACCGTCACACCATAACCATAATACCTATCCATCAGCTTAATTGCTTCTCCAGCGAGAACTTTTGCTGGCGACCATTTCTTATCGTACCTATGCGCTAAAATCGCGGCACGTCAATCGACAATGCCCACCCCTTTTCTACCTCTACTCGGGCTTGCCCCACGTTAATTATGCCCATTCAACCTGTGTACAAGACGGAAGTTTAAACCGTAGAAAGCGGTTGCGGGTAAACCCACCGCACAATAAAGTTATTGTTGTCGTTGTTGCTATAATTATTATTATCATTACCCATAATAATAATAACTAACACTTCGAGTACGAGTTACAATAACTAATTCAAGCTTATTTTCGCCGTCGGTTCCATCTTTGAAGGGCCATATAAAACCACGTCACGGCATCATCAACACACGCCTTGCCATATACACAATATATTAGGGTATAAATTATGATAATACAGTCTATTATTATGTAACACACAACGGCTTTTAGTTTTGCATACCTAATACACAAAGCGCATTGGCACTATTTGCGCTTGACTGCACTTAGGACCTAGACTTCGAGAGCCAAGCACAACAACAACAACATGAAGGATAAACGTAGGTACACGACGCTTCGTGTAAAAGTCTTTTTACTACAAGAACAGTGAAAACAATAATAAAACTATTATTACCTAGTAATCTATTAAAATTATTTTAAACAATTAAAACTGCTAAAAAGCCATAGGTTAAAAAAGTTTTTTTAAAAAACAATTTGTTTATATCGGGAATAAATTGATGGGATTATAATCTTATGTTACAACTGATAAATGACTGTAGTGTATAGTTACGTGTTTAAGACTTACCTACATACTTAATTAATAAAAATGACATCTTAACTACAGTTTTATAAAAAATAATTAGTTTTATAAAATAATCTACTATTTTATTTTTGGTTGTTTTTTAATGTTGAAATCTTGATTTCGTTTAAAGTTTAATAATCATTATTATAAACATTTCAATTAAAAACAGACTACTAAAATCGTTGACAATAGATTTGGAAATTTCATACTATGTCAAATAACCGACAAAAATAACACAATAAGTTAATATCTTCGACAATACTGTATTTTTAACCGATTTATTCGTTTTTCCTTAATAAGAAGAACATTTTGACTACAGATTTATGAAAATACGGTATATGTTATGTCTCTGTTCACTATACATACTTCCCCAGTCTAATTTCCAGACAAGTCCAAAATGGCAAAATCTACAACTAGAAAATCGAAATAAAGAAAAAGTTCCCTCCCCTTCTAAAGTAGAGATTTCATCATGCAGTAGTAATATCTAATGAATATGGCATACAACTTACATGTTAAGAATTAATTTGATTTTTTTTTGAAAAGTTATAAGTTTATTTTTAATTTGTACATACTTATGGCCTTTTTCAACTTTTGTCTTTTGAATGTAGTATATTACAACAATGCAATATAAAATTGGGAAGTTTTTCTTAAGTAAAGAATGCTAGACACGGAGAAGCCTATTACAAATTACACTTTACCCTTCCCCCCTCTCTTTGAACTCTCTAAATATAAGTTAGGTCAAGCTCCGTAATTCCTCAACGAAGTTTACGTTGATCGTTTAAAGTTTTTTCATTAGCTCTAACTACTATATGGCAATTTTTATTAATACACAATAACGCTTAAAACTTGTTCACCGAAGTGTACAATGTATAAAGATAAAAACCCATCTATATAGAAATGTATAAAACTTGCCTTAAGTGTCTTCTGAAGATTAAAGTTAAACAATTCCAAAAAAAAACGCCAAGTTAAAAGTTTCTAAATGATACCACACGGACAACACGTAAAAGTCAATAACAGGAAAACCCTAAAACATTTACAGTAATATATTGTGGAATGCATTGAATAACATTACTACAATTCAATACCTATAATCCAGTATCAACGTTTTTAAATATTTCCCTCGAACCCGCAAGTTCAGCCTATTAAATTGACTTCGACTTAGTTACTATCCTCCCCAATAATAATCAATCTTGTCATAATAAGTTCTGAATTATAAATATATTTTAGAATTTACTATTATAATAGTTATGTTATATTAGTTAAAAAAATTTAATTCATCAATCGATTTGTAATGTTTTTCAGGATCCGGCCAGAGAAACGACTAGTCATACAAACTGAGCTCAACTGAAAGAAACCATATAATATACATATTGCATGTTATTTAGTGAATACAATCACTATTTATCGACTAAGAATTAGCAATGATATTATTATGTTTAAGTTCGTTTATTGTTATAGATAATAAAATTATTATATTTAGGTAACCACAAAAAAGATTGATTTTAATTGTTGCTTTATATTATAATTATGAATTTGATATCAATATATTGGAAAATCAGATAATCAAATGCCTTAGGTATTCATGGTGTAAATAAAAACACATTGTTTAATAAATAAATAACTAGTTATCATAATAATTAATAATATTATGTCAAACTCTATTTAATGAATAAAAATACATTGTACATACAATATTTATACAGTTATATATAAATATGTATACACTTACATTAGTATAAGTTCAACACTATACAAATATGTTAATTGTTAATTAAAATGTATACAATAGATAAAATATAAAAATTTTAACTCTAAATACTGCCACAAAATTTATACATCAGTCTTTTAATTGGTACCAACAATACATTTATGTACGTTTGTTACATTTCAATTTTCAATTATGTTTAGAGTAAAATCATACCAAATATCTACATACTTTGGAGAGTGAGTTTTCTTTAATTAAGTGCTCAATGTTTAATGATTTGTAACAATGTTGTTTTTACTGTACTTATTATTAAAACATATATATATATATCAACCTTGATATTAAAATAACAGCCAACAACATCTTGCCATTTGATGAGTTAAATATTATTAAATGATTATAAATTAATTAAAATAATTTGTATATTATGTACCTACATAATATTATTATATACATCAGTTGTACAACAATCAAAGTCTAGCGAGAAACTGTTATACAGCCTTTTGGTATTATGATCTAATCTTAATCATATTAAATAGAATAAATATCAATAAATTGTTTTCTTCAATGTGAAATAACCTATATACTAAATGTACATGTTCATAGGTTATAACCATCATATGCCGAGTTGTAGTTCATAAATTGTCGTTTCTGAAAAAAAAACCATAATTACTAAAGGTATAAACTTTAATATTATTAATAGTTCTTATTTATTGATATTATACTTCTAACAGGCTGTTATTACTATTAAGTAGGCCCAATAATTATATTACATTATACCACAACACCCTTCCTTAATTGAAAACAAAGTATTGTCACGCTCCCAGTGGTTAAATATTTAAAAAAATCTATCTTATACATATTTGATTTGATAACAGAAATAAAGTCTTTTTGAATGGCCAATGGTACAATAAATAATAAAAGTGGTAAAACACTTTATGACTTATTAATGATTTCAATTCTAAATAAATAAAAACAAAAGATATTTATCTAATTGTCATATTACGAATACATATTTACGTAATGTACATTTTATGGAATTATTTTCTTCTTACACTCCCAACTACATGGGGTTGGCCAATTTAATTATACACATAACAATTAGTTAAAATTATGACTTCAGAATGCCAAGTCACTGAACACAATATAAACCATTTAATCACAGAAAAATTGTAAAACAACTTAAAATATTTTATACTATTAGTTTGCTCGAGAAGAAGGAGAAAGAGCAATAAAATCTAAAGGAAAAATATACGTCATAATTTAACAAAGATACATAAATATTTTTTTTTTATTGCAAAAAAAAATTATTTTGTGTATATAGCCGAGGTTTTGTCATTTATTTTAACACAGCTGCTACACAAGATGGCCTGAAAATATAAAGCAAAACAAAAAAGGTGGCAATTCAAATTTTACAAATAAACAAAAACTTCAAAATTCAGCCAAAAAGTAATACCTTATAATGCAGTTTGTGCAAAACTTATTTTTACTTACAACTATATTAATAAAAAACATACACCATTGAAATAAAATAATATATAAAGCAATATAATTGTTATCATATTTACATATAATTACTGGGATTCAAATATAATATAGAGTATAGACAGCAAAATATGGTAAGCTGTATTTAGACATATTTAGTTGCAGCTATGGCTATGTACTTTTTTACGTTTATTTAGCAGGACATAATTATGTTTAAAATTTTTTTTGAATTTTATTTTCTTATGTTAAAATAAACAATACTATCATGAAGTTGGCACTTTTATCCATAACCTTGACAATCATATTAATAAAAAGTTAAAACTTTGTAACATACCTATGAGACATCCTTTGGACAGTTTCACTTTCAACAAACTCTTGTAATGCAGATTCTAAATCGTCCAAAGCAAACAAACTGAGATCTGACGAGTGTGAGTATGGTAGAGAGGGTGAGAATGTATCAGAACTATAAGAATCTTCATAAACTTCAGCGTCAGTATCGTCATCATCATCAACATCTAACTCAGGTTCCGGACCGTCAGGTCCAATCGTTATACGAACATTACGACTGAGCGTCAAACTGACCGAAGCTTCAATTTGCATTTGTGCGTCAAATATCCAAAACGCAGTGAAAACAATCATCGGTATGAGAAACCGAGATCGAGCACATAAGTGTAATAACAGGGATTTACCACCTTTAGATGCAGACGCCGAGAACAGCCGTGGCTTAACCCAGCGTACATAGGCTGACATCAAACATATAATGGGCAAAATTTTTCGTTTAACGTTCATCTAAAAACAAAAAATTTTACGTTCAGTTTGTTATAATTCATCAGGTTGCTGTTTATAAATACATTTACTTCAACATTTGTTAGAACTAATGTGTAACTATCGGAAAAAGAGCTTCACTCCTTTAAATTTATAATTCAAGTTTAATAATAATAGTACATAATCAAAATCCAACAGAACTTTAAATCAACAAACAACAAGTTAAAAACATATCGAAAATCCCAGTCCCTTATTCTTATTACAACACGAACAGTGTTGAGTGTTGATAAGACGTATTACATAAATGACGTCATTTATCAGATCTCCTAGAATATACGATAGTGGACATTGCAGTGTGACCAAATACGTAAACAAAAATGTCTCTTCCCCTGACAATGTTGCCAGCGATTGTCTTTATTTAAACTCATCACTCGTTTTTGTATTTTATGGGTTTTTCAGCTCGGCAAGTTTTGGCAAGAGGTCTGCGGACAATTATTTTAAAACCAAAATTATTAAAAACTAAAATTTTAAAAAAACTTATGGACTAATCAATGATGTTACAACTATTTTTGCAATGAGTATAATATTTTCATTACCTACTTTTAACTAAACGAGAATCGACTGTTGACAAAGCCAACATGTTTCAATTTTTTAATAACCTTATTTATCTACAACCAAAGATAGGACATGTTAATTTAGACTACAGCTTAGAAAACAATGTACTTATCATAATAATCATTATGTGTAAAATATATTACGTTACATCGGCATTCACAACCACCTAATTTGTGTAAATTGTAAAATAAATAGCAAATGTACCAGTTTTTCAAAAGGTACAAACAATAAAATATACAAAAGGGTAACTTTAAAGCTATTTATTGACTGAACGATAATAAATTTCCCATCAAACTGTAGGATAAAACCAAGGGATATCATAAGAAAAATATAACAGAGCAGTTTAACATCTCAGATTGACTACATGATTTTTTGAATTGATAAAAACGACTAGAAACGTTTACAACTTGCTCTTTCTACATTTAGCCACTATAAGTCCTCTTGAACAATTTGGGCTCGATAAGAGAATGTGTTTAAATAAAATCCAGCCAACAAGAACTTCTAAAACTATATGAATTCATTTTAAATAATTATAAGCAAACAATAATTTTTCAAAAAAACTTGTATATAAAAATATTTAAAATATATATTCAAGATTTGTTTAGTTATTTAAACACTTAAATACAATAAAAAAACGTAGGTTTAAATTTCAACCCAAATTGTTATAAAATATATAACCTTATAATTAATAGGTTATAACATTATTACCAGCATTTTCGTTGGTTAGTATGTTCTGTAAAATGTTTAACAAAATCTGTTTTTCAAACATTGATCTCAGCTGCCCAACAATAAAATTAGTTTTTACTAAATTAATACTATTCTTAATAATTATTATAAATAATTTTCCAGGACAGTCGTAATAAATGAAATTTAGATTTCAGTAGTCAGCCATAAACATACTTTGTCTTTAATCGTACATGCCTCATTCATCATTTTTGTTACCTGTATGGATACTTATAGGCCATTTCTGATAACACCTTTCTTCTTTGTTCCTGAAAAATTACGACCCACAAAGAAATTAAAAATGCAAAAACTTAAGTCCTATCAATAACTAAATTGTTTTATTCTTGAGAACAAAATGGTACAATGACAAATCCGGATAATTAAAAAAATTGGTAGCTTTTCAAATAATTGAATACACAAAAAGTAAAATCTGGAAATGCCAAAGACCAATAGTATGATTCTGCCTAATATTATAAACCACCAAGCCATTGAAATAGCACATAAATCAAGAAAATAAAATTGTATTTCCTGAATATTATCTATTAATTACCAAATAAGAATTGGAAGACACAAAGTATTTTTTGACAATTTCTACAAGTCGTAGGATTTTCAAGTATTCATTCATTCTGCAAACAAACAAAAATCATTAGATGCCAAGATTTCTATTGACAGCCAATTGAAAATAACTACACCAAATGAATAAACTACAAATTATAAGTATTATTTGATTATTTTCCAAAATATTACTTTATTGTTAACAAAATGTTGTTAATTTTTAACTACAATATAATAGTGATCTTAAAACGCGACCATTTCAATGATCAATTATTTTTTTCTGTATATAGTCAAAAAAGAATTATAACTGTATACAAAATAATGTACGTAAAAAATAATTTATATGATGAAATCTCTAGCAAGTTCTAAAATTATTATTATTTTATACTTAATAAAATTATTTATTAATATTTTATTTGACTCCAGAGAATCAAAAGAAAACAGTTTTTTTTTTTGTAAATCTGCCTTAATAAAAACTTTGCGCACTGATCAAATTTTTTCCGATATGAACGGATGTACCAAAGCCTGGGATATTCCAATGCGCTTTGAAGAGTCCAATGTCAATATTTTGTCCAATAGGTCTTTCAACTGGCTCACTTTACGTATTTGGTCCTCTGGTAACTTTTGGTTACCCAACAGTTCAGCATGTAGATCGCGACTAGGATTTATTGCAGACATGGTTATCACTTTTTCCTAAAAACAATAAAATAAACAATTGTAACTAATGTAATAATTATTATAATTTTTAATTAACCTAACAATATTCAAAAGACAATAAGTGAATATTTGTTTTATCCAAACACATATTTGTGTTTAAAATTTCTTAAGAGTTTAATTTTAACAGATTGCACAAATAAATAGTTAAATCTCTAAACATTTTCAACTCTACAATTAATATATAAGCTTATCACATTCAAATTTGGTAGGTATTTAAAAATTGAGTGTTTCACAGTATTGAGCTTGATTTAGCAAAAAAATTTAGCAAAAATCTAAAATAACAACAATATAATGAATACACTTTTGCAAAAATATTGGCCAGAATTCAATGAATAAACTCTGGAATTCCATTTTGCTATTGTTTTAAAAACCAAATAGTTATGTTAAAGGTAAAAAAAAACACAACCTTAAAATTAGATAGTGTGACAACATGTATGTAGTGGTTAGTAAATGAAAAGCAATTATTTATTGTTACGGTATATTTTTTGATATAGCGTCAACTTATAACGGATAAGAATACTTTATTGAGAGATATATATTGCAAAATATCTAGTACTATTGTCACAGTATCTATTGATTTAGGAGGAATTTGATCCAGCTTAACCTAACAGAAAAATAAAATACTTACACGCTCAGTTACTTTATCAACTTCATGATACAAAAAATTGCAATTACTATCAAAATGTTGTTCTTTAAACACACCTTTACGAACAGTTTTGTTAGCCATTTTTCCTTTAAGATCCATAAAAAATTTTAACATCTGAAAGAAAAAACATATATATTATTTCACATGGATATAAATGAGTCTCAAAATGTTTTATAACTACTTGATTATTGGTTTTTCCAGGAAATAATATTTTCCCCGTATAAAGTTCATAAATTGTACAGCCTGCCGACCACATATCGAGTCCAAAGTCATAAGGGATGCCTAAAACTAAAAAAATATATGTATTAAAATAGTTAACGCTTGAAAACATTTAATGTAAACTACTTACTAATTTCAGGTGCGCGATAGAATCGGCTAACCAAATACGGCGTAATTTCATTATCAGCGACATGCGATGCTGAACCAAAATCGCATAACTTGAGGACTAGCTTGCTTTCGTTTACCTACAGTTCAGACATAAAAAAAAAATAAAATAATGGACAATGTAATAAAAAATATGGTGTTTTTTTTATAACCAGGAGTATGAGATTCACAGGAACTGTAGATCATACATTTAGAAAATTTTCCAACGAGTTGTATCATAGTTGAACTGGATTTAGTAATACCTAATTACCAAATGGCAAATATGTCAATAGTATGATCATAATTTTGCAATGATATTGGCCAAAAATCAAAAAGCATAATCCTGGAATTTCATCTTGCTCAACTTAAAACTATAAATTAATTCAGTTGAGCCTTACCAATATATTGTCAGGTTTGATGTCAGCATGCAAAATATTGGATTTTTTCATTAACTTTAATGCTAAAAACAATTGCTGACTATACGAACGAACAGCTTTGACGTGCAGTCCTATATCTTTGCCATATTTTTTTAAAACCTTAAACAAAATTTACATATTTTATTATCAATCATTAAGCTTGATGAAAGATTATGGTTTCTAGACGGATTCGCTGTCCGGGACGGGTCATCAGTCCGTTGCCAGAGAGGTGGATAACGGTTTCTTTTCATCGGACGTTTGCTCCCCGGCTAACGGAGTGCCCATGACCATGTGTCAAACCGGCGACAGTGAGCGTAAGCAAACTGCCGCCTTACCCACTTAGCCACTCCCCCTATACAATACATAATGTATTATAATCAATTTTTTTTTTAAAACGTCATTTACCTCTCTAAGATTCATACTGAGTGGTTCAAAAACCATGCACAAATGTTGTTTGTGAAAAAAATGACGAAACAAACGAAGACAGTGATATCTGTCGTCCGGATCAGAGTCGTTTAATCGTTTCAGTATTTCTAATTCTTTGAGGCCAGTTTTGTGCCTAAAATTGTAAAATATATATATATATATATATATAAATATATAAACATAATCTAAATATTTAAATGTATTTGCTTATTCATACATAATTTCATTGTTTCGTATTATCTTAACTGCCACGTCTTGGTTGTCCCTGGCTGCATCTCTTGCACGAACAACATTCGAAAACACCCCTTGACCCGTGTAACCATACACGGTATACCTCGAATCCATAGTTTCACCTATTCTCACTCTATAATAGCCTTCTGCGTCATCCCAATTGTCGGTTAAAGAAGGATTTTCGGGAACACTTTTATTTCCATTGGCTAACCCGTCTGGTTGAGGTGTCTGAATAATTTACATACATGTTATTTAAAAATTATCATTATCTTAAACTTCCATACAAAACATACATGTTGTGTAGCATGAAATGAGTCGGCTTCTGCAAACATGTCCCATTTGCCTTTTACTAAATCGGGATTTAAGACATGGTCTGACTTAACAGTATCTTTTTCGAGTGTAGAGTCCGAATGAACAGCCTCATTATTATTTTCCTTAGGAGACTGTGGTTCGGGAGAATGCTGAGTGGAAGTTTCTGTAGCATAACTTCCGTGAGGAGAAGGATTTGTCGAGTCTTCACTGTGTAAATTACTATTGTTGGCTCCCAATCTCTAAATTAATGTGTTTTAAACTTTTAAATAAAATTTCGAAGTAATTGATCAGAAATAAAAAAAAACGAATTATGTGATTTATGCCATGCTTTAGCCAACAGAAAAGTTATGACAAAATCGTCTTATTTATGTCAAGCAGAAATTAATGCTAAACTGACGCAATACTATCGACCTAAGCACCGCGTCAAAACTTAACATGTTTAAATGAAACTAAATTTCAAAATATTACTTTTAATAGTTCTTCTCTTTGTTTTCTTCTTTTTTCTATAATTTCTTCTTCATTTTCGTCTTCAGCAATGTTTATATTTACATCAATACTACACAACATGAAAACACAAATTTCATTTGATTTATTTTCTAACCACTAAATTTAACATACTCAGAATCAGAAGATGATTTGTCTTCGTGCTTGAGTCCTTCCGAAAAACTGTCTTTATATTTATCTCCTCGGTCTTTTCCTCTGTGAGATCTAAATTAAAAACCAGTTCAAAACATGTATTTTAAGTAATTATTAAAAACCACTAACATAAGTAAATTGTAACTAAATTCATGCTAACCTAGTATGTCGATCTTTACTGTGAGATCTTCTGTCATACTTTCTGTTGTACCTCTTATTAGCATCTCTATCTCTGTCTCTATCCCTCTCCCTATCACGTTCACGATCACGGTCACGGTCCCGATCACGATCTCTATCGCGTTCACGATCTCTGTCTCTATTCCTAGTAGAAACTAAAAGTAACAATAAATTATTTTAAATAATAATTTAACTACCATTTAACTAACAGTTGCATAAAAAAAAAACAATTTAATACTTACAAGGTGGACTTCTTGCACGATCTCTGTTGGCTACAAAGAAACAAATTAATTATAATAACCATAAACTAAAAAAGTGAATAGCTAATTCAGTAAGATTAATATTTGTACTTTTAACCAAATAGCACCGATGATTTCAACCCTACAATACTTACAATTTGGGCTATTGATACGATCTCGTCTACGTCTTAATTGCTCTTCATGATGTCTTATTTGCTCTTCTCTTCTTCTGACTTCTTCGGTTCGTCTCTTAGCTTCTTCTTCGATTTCTTTCAATTCTTCATCTCTACGTCTTTGTTCTCGCCTTCTTAGATCGTCTTCTCTCCTTTTAATCTCGTCTTCTTTGCGTCGTATTTCACGGCGTTTATCATCTTCTAACTGCTTGACTTTTCTTTGTCTTTCTTTGTCCTTTTCTTTTTCTCGAGTTCTATCATATTCCCTTTCACGCTCTTTTTCTCTTTCTTTTTTTGATCTTTCTAATTTTGAATAACTTTGGTCTTTGCTTGTACTTTGGTTTCTAGTAGGTTTTTTTACTTCGTGACTTTGTTTTAGAACAATTCTACAAGAATACAAAAATTTAAATACATATTTATGGCAAATTTATATAATATTCTGTAATAACTACTACAACACAGTTAGTAAAAACGTATAAATTAAAATATCCAATTATTCACAATCATATAATACATATACTATAGTCTATTCAGTTTAAGTTTGCCCACTTTCGCGCATGCATATTGAGCAGTAAATACGTTCGGACCCCTCGGACGAGGTCAAGTTGCTCTATGATTGCACGGCAGTGATCGGCTGCTGTCATCACTCATCATGATCAGCGGCCGTCATTGTGTATACAGACGATAAAAAAATACTGTGTTTATTGGCAGATTGTTTTCTTTTTAATTTTCTTTCTATTTTATCTACTCTTCTTATTTTTACCTAAATTGAGGATACGGAGTAATATTTTCAGGGGGTTTAGTGTTTGTGTACGAGTATTCGCAGTCCGCACGGGTCAACTGACGTGATAATACAGCTCACTGCGTATACACCATGTGGGCGGCGACGATCGCCATCAACATCATGTGCAAACGCGACCGTTTTAGTGGCCAATCTTAAACTGAATAGACTATAGATAATACATTTTTTGAGAATTACACCCCAAAATACAATCCATTTTCTATCATAATCTCCCATTTAAAGTTATCCATCTCATTGTACACTACCAAAACGCTGAGTTTGTCTTGATTTAATCACAAAGATATGTATTAAAATAAAGTATCAAAGTATAGTCTGAACTCAACTAACATATAATGTGTACATATATTATGAAATTTCTATTACATTTAATGTTATCTGATAGTGAGCCGGGTGAATAACACATATCGGCAACCACTTAATAGCTATAATAATAACAACATTGATGAAAATTGTTTAAAAAAATGTTAATATACTAAAAATGGTACCTTTCAGAATTTTTAAATTTTTTTTCTTCGTCTGTATCATCATCGATCAAGTTAATAGTTTCAACTGACTTCCTTATATTATTTTTATTTTTATGAGCTGATTTTTCCCCATCGTCCGATTCTGACATGTAAGCTCCCAGTCTAGCTTGAAGTAATGCCTATAAATTTGATTATAAATTATTATAACTTAAGTAATTTTAGCTTTGATGCGGAGCTGAGAAAGTTTGAGATTGGTTTAACAATGGTGTCTTTTTTTTTAATCTATGATAACTTTTTAATCAACAAACTGATTTCTAGCACCATAGATACAGAGTGAGCAAAGCCGACTGTCGAGTTTTGAAAGGCTATAAATAACAAACAGTAAAACTTAGAGAAAAACAATTTGTTTTATTGAAATCGTTAACAAATGTCGTTTTTTAAGTTAGGTTTTGAAAGTGATATCACCAAGATGGTGGCAGTCCCAGAGGAAAAAAATTGCCCTTTTAGATCACCCTAAATTGGCACACAGCACACCACATTGTCACTTTAATGGAGTAGAATTGTCTTTCGTGGAGTTTCCGTAGGTTATTTTCAGCCCAGTATCGAAAATTCTGTTTATTCACAGATCCAGAGATCGACGAGTTAACTTCAAAAATCGGATGCAGCAATGTATTGCTGCTGATGGCCGCCATCGTGGTGATATAATTTTCAAAACTTACTTAAAAAATAGTTTTTGTTAAAGATTTTATTAAAGCATACCATTTTTCTGTTTGTTTATTATAACCCCTCAAAACTCGTCAGTCGGCTCTGCCCCACCCTGTGTAATACAGGGTAACTAACATATAATGTTAGCAATAAAGAAGGAAATCTTAAATGAAGTATCACAGCATATAATATGATAAATGATTAAATCAAAATTTTACACATCATAATTGAATAAATTGTAATTTTGAATAAAAGGAATTATAAATAAACAAAGAGGACAGATTTGAATAAACAGTAAAATTTAAGGGAATATAATTAATAGGAAAAAAAAATAATTTACGTCATATTAGTAAAACTACATTTTACATGCCTTTTGTTTTATCAATTCCTCAAGGTTCATTTCTTCTTCTACTAATACAATTTCTGATACTGGTGTTTTGTCAGTTTTTTTCTTTTTACTCGAGTCGGGTGATAGAGGAGATGGAGGTCGTTTCTGTTTTCCATTTTGGACGCTGTCCCCATTAGACTTCTTTTTATCTTTTGACTTAGAATCGCCATTCTCTCTTTTTGATTTTTTATGCTTACTAATTACAAAACATAAATAGCATCAAAAATTATATAAGCGGTAATTATATAACGGTAAAGCATTTATATAACAATGAGACGATGTCTTCTCACTATTATTTAATTTAAAAAAACAAATATTTTTACACAAATTTCAATTGCAATATTTTTTTAATCATCTCCCAAACTATCTTACTTATTATCTATAATACTAAAATATATTGAATAAAATACAATATTAGAAGTATTTAAAGATTGTAAAAAAACATTTTTGTTATTTGATAAAAATAGTTTTCTATTTTGTTTTAAGTCAGATAATTAACGAGGGTAAAGAAAAGTTTACTATAAATCATTTAGCTTTCCTAGTTAAATATTCTCAATTCAAACCTAGAAAAATAAGACCATTTTATTTAAAAGTAACCACCCAATATACATATTTTACACATTTTTAACATATTTTTACTACCTCTTCCCTTGGCTTACAGTTAAATGCATTTATTATTTGTTTTTTAAAGTAATTTTTAAAAATATCAAATTTTGCTAACCGATCACTTTTGTGTTTGTGTTTTTTTTTCTTTTTCTTCTTGTCCAATCTACTTTCGACTAATTTTGTGGAATCTATTGACGAATCCTCTGATTGACTGTCAATGCTATATTTTAAAAGCAAGAAGTAACACAATAATAAAAACAATCAGTATAAGCAAATATTGATATTTCGCATTTTACTTACGCCATGGTAGCTGCGTATTTAAAGAACAAGCGATGACAGTGGTAATTTTCTCAGACGCAACTCCAATTTACTAGACTTCCAGCCACTGTAACAAAAAAAATGAATTTACTGATCCAGTTATTAAACATGTCCGTGTTATCACCATGTTTATCTAAACTATACAAATTTCAACATACGCAGAACATTACAACATTACAAGTGCTCATAAAAACTATGTCAATGATTATCTCTTTTGACCAAATAAAACAAAATTATATAAACCATTAGCATTTCCTTTAAGAAGTACTCAAAAAACAGTTATTCAGATAATCTAAGAACCCGACACATTTCTTTCTTACAGCTCATTAATGTTAAACAAATAAATGCAGTAAGTGAATCTTGCAGTAATCAGAATATCTGAGTCAAGCATTTACTGATTACTGATAGATTTTAGTTTATAATATCATGATAATAAAACAAAATAAGAATTCTAGTGGAAAATCTCACGGAAACTACAATCCCGACCCAGACTTTTCTATGTTAACAATCAAATCTATCTATTTTAAAGTCTACAAAAATATATCATATGAATAATAGAATATAATTTGATAAATTCTTAACTTACAGATACTCAAAAAAAACCGTGGATTAAATATTTATATAAGTATACTTTTAAGCCAAGTGCACACAATCATATTTCATCAGCAAATACAACAAAACAACTAAGACCAAAACAGCCTAACCTAGTTTGTAATTTAGACCATATGAGTTTAGATTTATTCACCTGTATAGTGTATTAATGAATTTTGTCGAGCACCATTTAGCAATTTGTGAATATCAGCATTAGCCATTAAGTATTTAACATGCAATTTACGGAAAATTATTTACCGAAAAAACAACCACTCTTTTGGTATATTTCATTTGTTAATTTTTTGTTTACGATAATGTTTTAAATGCAATATTACAGTGTGGCCAACATTGTTTTATACCGGACCATATCAATGTTTAATTTTACTACTGAATACATATTTTCTTTAAATTATATAATTATGTAATATATTAACTACAAGTGATATAATATTATAATATTAATATAATTAGTTGTTTCTCAAAGTGGCTAGCTATTAATTTTTGAGTGTAATTAAAAAAAAATTAAGATAAATAATACTACATTACAACTATATAATATTACATTTACAATACAAATCTGCTACCGGTAACATTGACGTTGATGTACCATTATCAATTTCAAAACGTGGAATTTCTTCTTATTAGTTCTTATCAAATTGTTTTACAATATGAATATATAATAAATACAATACATGATTGCGATTACAAATTATTGTTAAAGGAGTTCAAGTAAAAGTCAAAACTACCTAACCAGAAGTTTTTATAATATACTGTAGTTCATATTTTATAGAAGTTTTATCTGTACAGTATGATGTGAACTTAAAAAATATATTTCGTCTAACGGTATTACATCAGTTTCACGTTAGAGAAAATTTGATAATGTATTTCTCGTTGTTCAAATACCTAATTTAGTATACTACGAAATATTTTTGAATCTCATCTATTTTAACAACTGACGATTAGAATGTTCAACGTTTTAGGTTAATTATTTTACAGTTGGTGAGTTACTGTTTTAATAGAGTTTATATTGTTTTTTAAAAATGCTACCCAACCGTAATTTGTTGTGTGAAAACAGGGTTTGTGCGAATGAATACTGTATAAGCTGTAGTGATACCTAATTTACCAAATTTTCCATAGATAACTAGTTATCTGTTTGAGCGTAGCAATATTTTTTGCTAGGTAGAATAATTTTTTTTCTACAAATTTATGTTTATTTTTAAGCACAGATAAAGTTCTCTCATATTTACTGTGAAAATTTGGCGCTTATACAAAAATTTGAAGACATTGGTTTTGATTTGTGCAAAACTATTTTGATTGAAAAAGATTGTAATTTTTTTATAGAAATGACTGATGGGTAAAAAAAAATTAAGACTACCAATCTAGAATTTATTTTTTTTTTGTATAGTTTAGACTAAATTAAGATTTCTGAAAATGCTTATATAATACTCATTATTAAATAGTTGGGTAGTGTCCTGTCAAGCCACCGTTATTCGTGTGATTTTAGTCACACTTAAATAAAGGGTGACACATACATTTCTTACCTGAGTCTTAGTATGACTAAATGTGACTGTGGTCATTTTGATCTTAGCACGACTAACTGCAGGTTAGATAAATAATATTCCATTAGTTAGTATTTAGTAGTTACTGTAGAATTTTCTAAAGTGTAATGTACTTTGTATTTCTACATTTAAATTTGGTAAGTAATATTTTTACAATTCAACTCGTAGAAAAACTTTTTTTTTTAATTATAAAAGTATTATAAATATTTTTTTCTTTTTTTTTTTTACTTGGCTATTTATAGGCCTTGAAGGGCCATCATCACTTTTACTACACCTTGCTACGCATCTCTATCCATACTTAATCTTTTTCCATCCCTTATTCCTAGAAGCTTTAAGTCCTTTCACTCAAGTCACTCCACCGTTATATTGGGCGTCCTCTTGTTGTTCCATCTGATTTACAAATTGAAACATTACATAACAACCAGCCCTCAGCTTTTCATGTGTGTCTTGTCCAGCAGATTCTTTGACTTTTTCCTTGTTAGTAATTATAGTTGAATTTAATTTTTTTATTTAATGATCATCATTATAATGCTTGATACTGAAATTTTGTAGTTGACTTTACTTATAGTTTATAAGCATTTTATCAAGTTAGAAAATCTATTTTATTATTTTTAATTAATATCATGTCTAGTAAGATTAATATATTTATTATTATTTATGTCAATTTTTTTTTTTTTTATGATTTCTTTTGTAGATATTTGATATTATAAGATCTTTAATACTTAAGAGATGCATGAACTATTTACTCAAGTTTTAAACTACAAAGATTTATCTAAGGTAAAATAATATTTAACAAATATATTATAATAATCTTATATATATATGTACTTGTAGAATATGTTCATGTATTTTTTCTATTATTGTACAGGCCGGTGATTTATTTACAGTTTCCGATGAAGCTATAGTCAATGATTTATCTGAAGTTATAAATATTATTTGTGAAATAACCAGCTTGCCTGACTACGTAAATAATGACAATGATCAAAGCGTTGTGGAAATATGCATCACAAGAGTTACAACTGCAATCAGGTTTACAATTAAAACCCGTTGTTATTAATCTGATTTAGGTTTCATTAATTTTAAAACTTCACTATTTTTTTTTTTTTTTAAGTTACTTATTACTACAGTTACATCTTAAAAAACCAGTTACACAAAATTCATCTACTGAATACCCTCTCCAAACATCCCCATTGTTTTTGTTCAGTCAACATATTGTTGTACAACCAACAAACAATAAAAAAATTATAATAATACTTTTTATTTCTCTTTAGAGAAACTGGTTCGATGGAACAGCACGCCGAAGCACTGGTTACATTATTGGAATCATGTCTTAATCATAATCTCAAACCTTCACTTAAAGAAGAAGATCCACCTCATGCTAAAATATCATCTGACATAATATCCTGCATGTTTCTTGTTAGTATAATTTAAAACTATTTATATGTTAATGTTTATGTATACTTACCTAATTTTTATTTATATGCTTAAGAATTATAGCAAAAAAGAAGTTATGAAAAGGGTACTTCCTGTAGCAGTTAAATTTTTGCATAAAGGCAATAAAATATTGTCACGAAACATGGCATCATATTTATCCCTTGCAGCGATTGACAATTCTCCATTATTGTCAAATCATATTCAACTCATAATCGACTCTATTATTTCTGGTTTGATTGTTTAATATGTTTTACTGAATTAAAAATAAATTATACTAGTTAAATGTTTACTTTAGGAAATTATCCGTTATGTCGAGTACTTCCTCAAATCTACGAAGTTACAAGAGAACCAATCCATGACCACGCGATGGCATTAGTTTCACTGTTGCCATTATGTGAACTGACTGAGAAGTTGGCTCTGTTACAACTTTGTTCATTAATTGCTAACAACAAACCGACTGTGAGTATTTAATTTTTCTGTCTGTTATTAAATTGAATACTAAAGTTTTTGACATTTTAATTTACAGTTATTAGAAGCTAGTTTGCCACAATTGTGTGAGTATTTGTGCACATCACAAACAGTCACAGCCACACTTCAAATTTTTCTTAATTTAGCAAAAAACCAACCTCAACTTTTGTCTGATTATGTTCTTAAAATTAAAAAAGCTGCAGAATGCAATCCAAATGCTTTGTGTATTGCTGCTCAAGTTTTATCGGCAGTTGGGAAAATAAATAAGGTGTTTCAACTACTATATTTTTATTTTATGGATAGTTCTGATTATAAAAACAAAATAACTATTATTAATATTTTGTTTTTAGACAAAAGCTCAAGAAGCGCTGAATTTTATTATGGATCATTTACCAAAAGTAGACAGAGCGAGTCAAAGTCTTTTAGTACGTGAAGCGACATTTTTATGTTCTTGTTTTCCAGTATTATTCACAGATAAAATGCTAGAGGGCGTACTACAAATAAGTCGAAACACTAAGTAATTAAAAAATTGTTTATATACACAGTTTAGACTTTACAAAAATATAAACTGTTTCAGCTCTCATATAAATCAGATATCTGGTGGTGTAACAATAGTTAAGGTTGGAGGAAATCAGTCTCCCACTAATTCTAATGTAAATAGACCCACTCAAACAGAAAATAATGGAAGGAATTCAAGGTTAGTATCCAAAACTATGAATAACAATTTTTAAAAATCATTCAATTTTAATTACAGTTACAGAAAACATTTAAAGGACATGATTTATCTTTAATAATAACTAGTTATTTTAATCACGGCAGTTTGGTTTTTGAGTTATTATGATAACTATGAACTTAATATTTATTTGGTAATTTTTGTTTTAAATCGAAAGTCTAACCAAAAATTATTTATAAAATAATATTTTTTATAATTCAATTTTTATTGAATACGTCTTAATAGTTAAAAATTGAATAGACATTTTATTGTTTTTATTTTTATTTATATTTTAACGGCCAAATTGGCAACAATAAGTTTCAAATCTAAGCTCTCAGCCCAAGCTACTAACCCATAATTTATTACAATTTTGAAAAATTGACAAACAAAATTTCTAGCAATAATCTCCATTTAGCAACAAAAAATTTGTACCTATTTCTTCCAACTTTCCAATTCCTTTACCTACCTGACTCCATGGTTGTTCATGATAACTGGAAGCTAACTTAATTAACATATTAGGGTGTTTTTTTTTTCATTTAAAAATATTTACTCCCTGTTTTAACAGAGTTATTATCACACCACGTCCCAGATTAATGGCAGATAGTCGAAGTACTGGCAGATTGCAGTCCTCTAATGCTCACCGTAGTATGACACGCTTAAATACAGGTAATATTTTAGGTTTTCATCTTAACTCTACAACTAGTAATCAAAGAACTATTTTAATAGTTTTCTAAATATTTCTTACTTACCTATGTAAATTGTATTTAAAAATAGTTTATCATTTTTAAATATATTATATTATTATTAACTATTTATATATTTTTAGCATCAGGTAGTAGGGTTGGATCAGTAGGTGGACTGCACAAAAGTATGACTAAATTAAGTTCAAATCAAGTTTGTGTTCAAACATCAAACCGTAACAAGCCTTCAACAAGTAAAATTTCTAGTGGTGGCGTAACAGTGACAACACCATTGTAAGTTGAACAATTTATTTTGGAATAAACAATTTGGGCATTTTATGCAATAAAAATTTATAAGTACAGGGTGATTTTGTACTCAAGTCCAATCCATAAAAATGAATAGTTTTTGGGTTCAAAATAATATGTTCTTTATAAATTAAGATTTTCTGTACTGGTAAACTTTTATGCCTCAGAACCCAATTATGCTTACATTATAAACATGTTATCATAGAAATAATATTAATTTCAGTACAAACTCAAAAGATTCCTTAGCCAATTCGGCTAGTCAAACTTTAGCGGGACGTGTACAAAATTTTGTCTCCCGCCCTTTGAGCACAGCTGGTAGTTCTCCATTAAATCAGAGTCTTACGTCTCAAGGTCCTATCCAATCTAGCGGTCCCAGTCTTAATGTTGATCCAATCAGTATGAACACGGATATTTATTCTACTGTCACACCGAGAAGAAATCACAATACGAGTGTGACGATAATAAACTCTAGTATTTCACAAGTAAGATGAATAGACCAACCATGAAAGCTAGAAAAAAAATAAATTTTTTTTGTTTAGAGAATTAGTGTATTTGAACCATATCCTATGAGAGACACCATGCAACATTTTTGTGAAAAGCACTTGGATAAAATAAAAGCTTACATGGAAAAAGTGTCAGTTAGAATTCCACCTCCTGCTAAATGCACAATAGAAGGTGTGTTAAAAAAATAATTTTTATATTGATATTTTGTATTAATGCAGTAATTTATTATTATGATTTAGAGAGAAGATCTAAAAAAACAGCCAAGCTTCATTTTGCTTGTGAAGGGCGAGGAGAACACTGTCTGTATAATCGTGCTTTGTTTACTGTTCGCACTCGTCATCCACGTGTATGGATTCATTTGATGTTTTTAGCGTTACAAGCCAGATCTTCGTCTGCACTCAGTTCTCGGCATCCATCAGTCAGCGCTCTTAAAAACTGTTGGGACATTCTCAAGTGCGAGACGAGAACATTTCTGACATTAGTAACGTCGGCATTCCCTTGTGCAAAAGACCAAGATGCCGTTTTGAATGAGCTACGCAATAGTGGCTATTTTGACGTATTCGAACATTGCAATGTCAACGGCGGAGGTTGGGGATGTTTCTTATGCAATCATCCGGAAAGAGCAGTTGGATTTTTGCAGGATAGCCAACCTGTAATCGAAGGGCAGCTAAAAGAAAAAAAGGGTCGATGGAGGTTGTTTAGAAGATGGAGAACTCGCTATTTTACATTATCAGGAGCTCATCTCTCGTATAAAGGATCGGTAAGCAATATATATGTACACTGTACAGAATACAGATGTATATAAATTTTTTTTTTTCATGTATAAAACTGTTAATGATACTTTGCCAAAATATAATACCTGCATAAAACAATATTACACTAGTTATAATGTCTTATTAAATACTTTAGTCTACTTCATTTCAACCTTGCTAAAAAATTAGGAATTAAAAATGCTGAGATCCAAACTGATAATTTATGATTACCCAAGTGTAATTTTAAAGATACATTTTAGCTTCTTGAGGACAGTTTTCATTTGGCCTTGCTTTTTAAAAACTGGCTAATAAAAAAAATACACATAACAATATGTTAATTATATTCTTATAATTAATTTTAGAGTCTAAAAATTAATTACATTAGTAGTAAGCATTTAAATAATATTATAAATCTCAAATTTATATTTTACAACAATAAAAATCAATTTTCTTTTCAAAAAATGTTGATAAATAACTTTTCCAATTTTTTTTTTTTTTTTAGAAAAATGATAAAGAAGGAACTCCTATTGATATTCATCAGATCCGAAGTGTAAAAGTAAGCCGTGGTGCACGAAACATACCAAAAGCGTTTGAAATATTCACCGGAGAAGAATCTCTCATATTAAAGCCTAAAGGTGGCAAAAATGCTGAAGAATGGGTACAATGTTTATCTGTTGTTGTAGCACATTCTCATTCAAAAGATACAACCAACTCTAGAAATTCAAGTTTGATTAGAACAACTATATAGATTTATTTTTATATTTTTTATTTTTTTACGTACACATTATAAATTTTTTATTTAATATGTTACTACTTATAGAATTGTTATTACAAAAATTTATTTATGAGTTAATAAACTCTAATAAAGATATAACAAATTATTAAAAAAAGTATTATTTAACATTGTTGAGCTTAAATTTACCAACAGTGGCTTATATACGTTGAGAATCCAACTAAAATGTAAAATTTGTTTAATATTTCGTAATTTTACAGAATAACAATCCAAAAATAGGATAATGATCCCATTGACTAAAATTTGTTTTTATTTTTTATCAGGACATGCCTTGTCCTAATTTTTTATTTTAAAAATTGCTCTTTCCTAAAAAGTAAGTTTAAACTTAAATACTTTATTTGAAAGGATACTTTTACCCAGTTTTGGAGTTAGTTGCTTCTATTAGGTTTTATTGGAAACCTACTTTTACATTTTTTTTTAGGGGGGGGATACATAATATTATCTCATTTAAATACCTATATTTAAACAATTTTTTATTTAATTCCATGAAGCTGGATAATATTAATGAATATCAGAATATCAATTTAATTACCAACGAAATTGCATTATAATACTTCACAACTTTAACTATTCTAAATATTATTAAATTGTACACAGAAAAAAATGTTTTTTCCAGCTAATACAGATAAACCTTGAAAAAGTCCACATGATCAAAAACCAAAATTAATTTAAACCCGTTTTTAAATATTATGCATCTTGTTAAAATGACTCATTGTTTTTCATGTAAGTTGATAACCTAAAATTTAAAAAAGTTCACTTCTTTCTCTTCAACACGGAGAAACAACCCCCAAAAATAACAAGTTTTTTAACTTTCAAATTTTGTCTTAAGAAAAACAAAAAAAAAAAGAGGGGAAATCACACTCGTACCATATTCACCTCTCAATAAATATGGGGTTGTGGTGGCGTTTCCTCGAGTCTCACCACATTAACGGTAAAATGTTTTCAAGAAAATATTGTAATTACGGTCTGGGAACCCCTTAAATTTTATACAATTTTTTTTCACTTTTGTCAATAAATTGTTGGTAGATACTAGATACGTTGTAAATCAAAATGTTATTTGTTGATAAGTTATAAATATACGTGGATAGTGTATTATATTTCGTTAAGAGTCCACTGCATGGTTGATAATGTAAAGGTAGATAAAACGTCCACAGACGAATTAATTTGTACCTGCCTGCTGAAGATTGTTTTCTTATCTGTATTCATTGTTGGAGTGGGTAGGAGGCGTGTTGCGGTCGATTCGCTTTCGAATATACAACGGAAATTTTTCGTTCAGTGTAAAAATAGCCACCGTTCTAGTGTTTCACTCAATTAACGTTTTTAACAGTTGCACAATAATTTTATTTTATTTTATTAAAATTTAACTTTTCTTCAAACAACAGGTAAGCCGAACAATTAACTCTATTTTCAAACAAGAGCGGAGTTTGTTAACTACAAAATGTACGTTTTTACGAATTGCAATGCAATTGTTTTGCACATGCTCCATAATAGTACCGACTAATATTAATACATCAATTTTTTGTATATATATATATATATATATATATTTATTTATTTTATTATTTCAAAATAAAGTTCAAGAATAGGTAAATTGAGGACATAATAAAAAACAAATTTTCAATTAATTATTAGGTATCATTACGTCTATATGGGGACTAGTCATTTCAAAAATGTATAATATTCTAAATATTCAATAAAATTATTTTTAAAAAATGACTATATAACACTTAGAGCTTGCCTATATTAAAATGATCAGCCTGTACACATGACATACAAATCAAATTTCAACCAAAATCTCATTAGATTAATATAGGAACTTGTGTTTTTAACTTTCTTCAGTTTTCCTTAATAATAAAAAGTGAAGAGTTTTTTTAAAAAACTTTATGTTGTAAAGCCACTCTAGATTATCTACCTTCAGTCTAATTACCAACGTATTTCAGTAAAACTATAGCCGTAATTAAAAGTAATAACTATAAAAACAGTTCCTTTTCAGCTCCGCGTCAAAGCTAAAATTGTAAGTCCTGGACTGACAATCAATTTTGATCCAGATACACGCAAATTAAATACTCAGACCGTATTAGAGAGAGGGGGCTAGGCTATATGTTGAAGGTTAAAATTGCGTGTTCTAGTGGTTATCCTTTTTTTAAGTTATTACATCAATAAAAGCTTAAAAATTATTGTTCTATGATTTTTTTCCCTACAAAGTTTCACATGAAATATAATTTTAAACGAAGAAATGTAAAAAAAAAACATGACTCTGGAAGGAGGCGTATTTGTCTCGGAGATAACTTTTATCCATTTACTCATTATACTTAATTAACATTTTAGTTTCGATGCATGGTTGAGAAGGTTTTGTTTGTAAAATTTGTTTTTGTAGCCCCACGGTATCTTCAAAATTACTGAATCGTTTTTTTCGTGTAGCAACTCTATAGATCAAAAATCGTACTTGGAAGGTACTTTCTTCGGTCAAATATAAAAAAGTTCTACCCCTGCTACAAAGTAAAAAAATGGCATGTATTAAATCTTAAAATTAAAGCACTCCATCACTTTTTATTTTAAATAGTCGATTTAGTTCCAAATTTGTGTGGAATATTCTGTAGACATAGCAGTTTTACAATCTACTGATAAACGTTGACAAACCCAAAAAATATCATAAACCTACTCATCTACAACGGATGGGAACTATTTCTTTATTTTACTGTTTTAAGGGTTAAGGTGTGCAAATTAGTTTATTCAGTTTTAATAATTCATATAGGCCTGTGACCTCCCCGCCCCAGTATGCTCCTTCACCACTTAGCCCAACCCCGCACTGTACTAGCTTTTTTAAAATAACAATTTTTTTGGGCCTTTTTAAATGTTGATCCGGGCTGTGACTGGTATTTTTCCGAGTCTTTAAGTATTATTTATCCATTTATTATTTTGAAAATATATCAAAAAATATAATTATAAATCAAAATCACACGACGCATCTATTGGCAATGCGGTATTGTGGTACAACTATTAACCAGGTAATTATCACATTTCTACAGCCGGGCGTTTTTCCTTAAACAGTAACACGGTTCTACAAAATTACGGGCGAGTTTTATTCAAAAGATTAAATTGACACCATTCGTAAGATGTTTCCATAAGGATTCCAAATCTGTCTCCAAAATTTCCTTAGCACGTACCTGAGGAAAAATGTTTAATTTAGAAAACTCCTAAAAACTCGATATTTTAAAAAAAAAATCCCATTAAACCACAATAAATAAAAAAAAAGTAATACCATATGCTTCTTAAGAATCATAGCATAATCATTTTATTATTATATTCAATTCTATCGAGTAGGTTAGATTTTGGACAAATCACCCTACATTTTGTAGAACTATAATTAAAAACAAATTTAATACGTTTTATTCTGCCCTATACGACCAAATTGATCTTTTGGCAGTGAAAATGCACTAACCTCATTGGTTCGTCCAGTGCACTTCGTCAAAATCAAATACTAGAACAATTTAAAAAACTAGCAAAAAATAACACGATTTTTTTCAAATATTTAATTTATGGATTTATACCAAAATGATTTGCTATGGGGTCAAAGTTGTACGTAGGTTTAGAAATTATAATAATAAATGAATCATTTTAAGTGAAAATATGAAGTTAGTGTTACTAGAATTCATCAATTATTTCCGATAAGTATCGAATTATGCGTAATACGCACAAAAGTTGAGCCAAAATTGAGCATTTTTTTTTTGTATGGAAATTGTTGTGTTGATTTCTGACGAAATGAATTTTTATAAAAAGATAATTTAAAGCTAAAAATTGAGTTTTGTATAAATATGTATATAGAGTATTTATAAAAAAGTATCAATCATTATTATATTAATGTTAATATTTGATCGCAGGAAATAGGAAAGATACACTTCATAAAATCAAACTTACTAGTCTGAGTGCACGGAGACTTCCTGGATTCACCCACTAACTAAAACTACTTTTGGCCCTATTAAGTAATTTTGGTAAACGATATTTGATCTAATACATACTACATGAAAAAAATCGGTTTAGTGGTTAAAACGTTACTGTGGGTCTGGAAATTTTACTGAACTATTTTTTAACATTAAATTTTTGTTGAGGCTCACGGTTTAAGCGTAGCAACTATCGCTGTTCTTTTTTAATTTGATGATAGATAAACGAAGTAAGTTTTTAGCTCAAATAATTATAAATTCAATTAAGTCTCACAACACCCCTTAATGCTGGTCGTAATGCTGGTTCTAGTCATGATGAAATCTCAATAGTAAATACTAAATCACAACAACCATTTATTTTTTAAATAAAAAATATAGAATGTTTGATCTCAAAAACATTCAAATTAATAGGACTTTTAAAATTATTAGGGGAAACCCAAAGCTTGTAGGCATAGATACAAGAAGACGGGTAATTGGTTGAATCTATTTCTGTTTTCTAGATGTTAGAGACTAGAGTTTCATAAATTTGCTAATCTAATCAGTTACCCAGATTAATAGTTTGTATTGTACAATCAAGCCATAACATAACAAATTTCTGTATCTGACGTATAAATTTACTTTAAAAAAAACTATCGTAAACTTATTTAACAAAATTTCTTTTGTTATTTTCTGCTTACAAAATAATTATATTTTTGCTTTACAATGATACAAAAAAAAAAAAATAGTGGTTTTCGTCAACATTTAAGTTGTTGGATGTCACTTACATAAGACTTAAAGCTGAAAAAATATATTCATTTTCAAAATTCAGCTCAAAATTGTACAATATAGATGCATATTTATTTGAGGAAATGTTTTGATATTAGCCGCAGTTAAAATTAAATATAAATTTCCTTCAGATGGTATTAGAACAATTAGTAAAGCCACAAGAAACCTGCTTTCATATCTTCGAGAGAATAAAATTGACTTATTTTTCAAATATTAACTTTGAAACTTTATAAGTTCCAAAAGAATAGTCAAAGCAACTTCACGATATTTATCGTTATTCGTTACATAAAATTATTCCTTCACACTTAATGGTTAGAACCCTGTAAAATGGTTTGACAGCCTTCAAATTTGCTGTCTTAATTAATTAGCAAAACTTTTAATTTTAACTTCCCAAAATGTTCTTCTCCACTTCACCCTTCCCCATACAAACGAATCCTACCAGACAAATCTTCTCGCGAATCCGTTACCATTTCTTTATTCACTCCACTTTCAATAGGTAATTTTGGACCTAATGAAATGAAATAGTATATATTTTTCTCTCGATATTTTTACTCATGGGACCTATAGACATTTTTTACCGAACCCTAAACAACTATATCATCATGTATAGCCTTCTGTACGCTACTGTAATGTGGGGGTTTCTTGACAAATTCGTTATCCTAAACGAGTCATCAAACGGTCACCGGAGAAGGGTGGCGGTTCCTCTTCACAAGACAATTTTTCGCCCGAGACCTGGTGTAAGATGTCGAACCGGCGACACTGACCCCTGCTCGATCACTTGTCCTCCTCAAAAAACAACTACGATAGTAGTAATATAAAATGCGTTTTTTCCTCCACAGGCAATATTATGAGTGACCGTAGATTTGGATTCAGCAACCACTTCCAGAACCGCTGTGCATTATGCCTGACCGAAGACGACAGCAGAAACGTAGGCACGGCCGTATGCCAGCACAACGCCAGTGTAGAGTCAGCGCTGCACTATCTGCGTAACTACGGGGCGCCTACGAGTCCACCCTACGCGTCGTACCACGGCGGACAGGACGGCACGGCGACCACGCTGCCATCGTACGGCGGGTCGCCGCCAATGTCGCCCAACTACTACACGCTGGCTGAATTTCTGTTGCGTATGAACCGAATGCAAGAGAACGGTGGCCACCAAATGCGCCCGCCAACTTCCAGACCGCCTAAACCAAAGTCCGAAATGGGTTGCCTGCGCGAGTGCGCGTTCTGTAAGAGCAACGGCGAGACGGCCGAGTTCTACAAATCGCACTTTCTCAAAGACCCGGTCGGCCGGGTCAGATGCCCTATTTTGCAACGGTAAGCAATAAAGATGGGCTTATATACCAGTGAAATAGTAAAAAAATTAGTACGAAGGATCACGGTTGAGAGATGCAGAGGCAGACTGAGGTGAATGGATGTGTTAAATGAAAACATGGAGAAGTTTAGTGATAAATATAAGTGAAGAAATGGTGACAGATAAATACTTGTGAGGAGATGGATTTAACTGGCCAAATCAATTTATAAGGGATAAGCCGAAGTAACCCCATTTTTTCCTTCACTAGTTTCGCCCTTCGATCAGTGTACGGCGACTGCTTAGTTTGAGATATCGTTTTATTATAATTACTCAAGTTCAAATGTTCAATTGTACCTATTTGTTTTGCTTTAATATTTTCAGGTATCAGTGTCCGTTCTGTTATGCAACTGGTGAGAACGCGCACACGAGACGTTATTGTCCGAAAAATCCAAACAAAATGTGCTTTATAAAAGGAGAACAATTCGTTAAACAAAATCTGCAGTGAGGGTATATTTATTTTATATGTTTAGTAGATATATTTTAAATTGTTTTAATATTAATAATAATTATAGTAATTAATAAAATAAAAGTTTTATTAATAATTTTACGAATAGATAACTACAATTATATTATTTAAAAAATAATTTTACTTAGTTTAACATGATATTTATCAGTATAAATTTGAGTTTTATTTTCTGATCGCTTGTATGCAAACTGTTTTCCATTGTTTTTAAATTTTGTTCAAAATGCATGAATGAAAATATTATTTCAAATATTAAAAAATTATTAAACATTACATTTACATTATTTCTTGTGATGTTCTATATACATAAATTGTGTTTTAATTTAATAAACAATTTTAATCGTTATCATATTTCAATCCGATCCCTGACACTTTCCTATCCATTACTTTGTGTACAACGAGTATGTACATACTAATGATAATAATGTATTGCTATAAAGAAAGCTGTATTTTCTTTTTTTGACAGTTGCACCAAGTATTTTAGTGAGGTAGGGTAAGATACTGGTTGTTGTCAACCACAACTAGTTATAACAAGCCAAGTATAAACTGTAAACCGTAATTTTATATTATCATACTTTCCCAAAAGGAGTTAATATTATTATTTATTAAGCATTAACCGAATAACAACAAAATGTTCTAAACATAATCCAATGTAAAAAATAAAAGTTTAAATTGTTTTTAAAATAAATATATAATGGAGTAATTTTGATTGCAGGTAATTCTAAAATGTGTATGATTAATGATCGTTAAAAAAAAACACTTAAAAATAAGAACATAATATTTAAGTACTTTAGAATTTTGGTTACAAAATTATACATATAAACGTTAATATCATATATTATAAAAAAGAGTATCACAGTAATTAGACATATTTACATGTATATATGTATTTACATATATACATGTAAATCTGCCTAATAATTGTGGTTAGCCTCCCAATATATGACCATTACGTAAACATGACTTTCTTTTATAATGTTTTGGTGCTATTAGTTTTCAAGTATCACAACATAAATGCCATATACATTTTATTCACCTGATACTACCCAATGCATTTCTTTTCCACACTTATAGAGTTCTTCTAATTTTTCTCTCAGTGTTTTGTTGGCTTCTAACTTTTTATAACATTGATACAGTTGCAAAGCAGCACGTGCATCTTCGACGGAGTCGTGAGTCTGTGATTGAATTTTATTACCTAAGAAATGCCAAGCTAAAAACCTTAATGACACGTTCCGTTGATTCGGTAACCTAAATAACGAAACGGTGTCTATTATTTGTTCAGGAGGCACCATTAAATTGATCATTCTACAAAATGAAATATTAATAATTACATTTTGTATTTATGAAACAAGGTATGTCATATTATGTCCTGGTACAAACCTAAAATCGTTGTATAGACCATGGCCGACAAATTTAATTCCAGCGTCCACCAAGTATCGCAGTTTCATATAAGTAGCCTTTAGGGTAGTGAGATTTTTTGAACTCTTTCCAACATCCAAGTCGCCGGGATTGATACCGGAAAATTTAGTAAGATAATCAACTATTTGCTCTTGTGTCGAAATATAATCGTCGATAAACGGTTTGCCTTCATGTGGACCTTCGCTGTTAATACACATAAAAAAAAGAAACTTAACAAAATTAAAATTAGTTAGCTTAAGCTAAGTTTGTTAAGACCTTTATTAAATTTTATTTTACACGAAAAAAACAATTTTATTTTTATTATTAACAAATCACACTAATTACCCTCGGATGCATGAGATTCTTGCTACGGCCATTTGAACAGGTTTAATTGTAGCCAATCGTCCATCACTTCTCATTTCGGATTCCTCTTGATTCAGTGTCACAAATTCAGCGTCTATTGCCACTAGCTCGCCTAAAAAAAAATTATTATTTTTATTATTATTCTTTAACATGTTTCGGTTTAAACAATTTTAACTTCCATGTTTATACCTGATTTCGGAATTTCTTCCGATAAAATTATATCGCTACTTTTTAAGGTTGGATTCAAATAAACACTCTCTGTAAACACTTTTGATGTAATAATAGGACTGCTAATTTTGATATCAGAAAAGTTTTCGTTTCTTGATAGCCAATATAAAACACACGGAACCTTCCAGTCCAAACTAAACCAAACTGCTTCTTGTCCAACGACCGGAGACACGCTTACATCATTAAATATATACCATTGGGCAGTAGGACTGCTAGACGATATATGTTCATGATACGGCTGACTGACATTGATAATAGATACGAGATTCTTACGGTCTTCATGAATATAGCATACTACAGCATGCAGATCGTAGATATTAGAGCATTCTGACTGAGACACATCTGCTTCTTCTTCGTTGTCATATTTTGAAATTGATAGTTCTCCGTTAGATTGAAGGTCTGCCTTAATGTGTAGTGGGAGCCAAGCGTGAGCGTAATATAATTGAGATAAACTCATGGAATTATTGGTTTCTGGAACTTAAAATAAATAAAACTATATAAAGATAGTTTAAAAGTTTTATACCAGCCTTCATACCTGCCGGAGTTTGACCAGGATGCATAAATCGGCAACTATGCCTCGTACAATTACTCCCGTATCGACACGGTTTGTTAAATGACGTTGGTGTTGTTGGTGAATTTTTAATATCATTTGATTTTGCGACCGCTTGTTTTACTAATATATCCATTTGATGTTGCCAAAAGTCTTTATTCTAGTAACAAAAATGTCCACATAAATCAATATATGGTAAGTATATATTATAATAATTGGTATTATTTAATCAAATCAAAAATTACTTGTTTACTTTCAATAGCACAATTTACAGTTAGTATAGAAGGTAACGATTTAAGCGTTCTAGTTTGCAATGTTTGTTGAAAACCTTCACAACGCTCGCACCACGTCATTGTCGTTTGTTTTGGACAAATACTTTGCTGAAGTAGATCACAAAATGAGGTAGGCTCTTCTAAAAAATTGCAAATGAGCGTAAGGGAATGTTTTTTTCTTTCTAAATTGTTTCTTTTTGCACTTGCCATCATTTGATTCTGGATAAACCAAATTGCAAACCATCAAGTTGGAATGTTTACTAAACTCATGGTTACATTTTAAACACTTATTTTTGTGCATTTGTTTGCACCCAAACAATCTCGAAATGTCTGTTTCGTTATTATCGTCGTCCTTGTGTTTAATTTTTTTTTTTTGAGCTTGTTGACCGCCTATACTAGGAAAATCGGTATCTTTAAAAACAAACTTATTTGATATTTGATCTTTATCCGATTTCAAAAGCTCCAAATGAATCTGATGCAATATAAATCTGTTCCAATTCTAAAACAAATAAAACAACAAACATTTAAAATACACAATATCAAATGCAAAATGTGCAGAATCTGCTCATTCTTGTCCATGACCACCTTTTTTTCTAACATACTATGTTTTCAATTGAAATAAAATATTATTTTTACTGTGTATACATAGTATTACAGTGTTACAGTATACTTAGTACAAATGTTTGACAAATTTTGCATTACTTGTATTAATATGCTGATGTTGATTTTATTTTTCATCTCAGAATTATTATGGTCAGGTAAAATAAGTCCCAACTCTGTGGCATCATGAGCATTCCGAAGAGCTCTTAAGAAATTCCCAGAATGGCAAGGCATTCCTTTCGACATGCTCATCATATAAAATAAAAATGACAATTCACAACTCAAACAAAATTCTTCTTGACAAATATGTGACATTAATATTTTCCGCAATGGATCCAAAAAATATAATACCTATTAAAAAAAAGCAACTAAAAATGTGCAATGCATAAAAACTTGTTAAAAAAATAGATAATATATTTTTACTTGAAGCATTGGATTACAATATGAATTTGGAACATTGGATTCTAAACCACTAAATCCAGTTTTATTATATTGTTCATAATCAAAATCTTCATTTTTGAACTTCAAATCAATTTTTCTATATCTTCTTGGAATTGCTATAAAGGTTGCAGATTCACATTCTTCATCTTCGTGTTGGTTATTGTTGTTGCTTGAAAGAGATTCAGATACTGAGTTATAGTATGCTACCTATTATTATTATTAAAGCATATTATTAATTTCTATATAATATTAGCTAGTACATTTTAATTTTTTTTAAACATAATAGTAATTTATCATTATCTTAAGAGTTAATAATATTATATTACTTGATTCCGTTTACGATTATTTGGATTTGGTGCATAGCCAACAGTACCTTTCATTTTCATAGTAGCAAGAATGTTACTATCAATTTGTGGAGTTTTTCTAAAAAAAATCATTAAATTATTACAATTTAATACCTATACATAACACATATTAGGCAGCGGGTTACATTTCTCTATTTAACAATAAGGTTAATTAGGGCTATCCTAATCAAAGCTACAAATGATAGTTTTCACTGGGATTATATTTGTTCAAACGTTTATCAAGATAAAGTAGAGGTTTTGCTAACTTTACACTTATACATTGTACTGTTAATTTATTTTAATTATTTAAGTAATTAAATTAATGTTAATTTAGTAAATTTAATAGTATTATTAATAAAAATGTATTTATATTATACCTATAAATATTAGACAAATATTTTTCAGGTAATTCCGATGCCAACGGCCCATCACACACTGGTAGTGGTATAACAGAATATACTGCTAACTCATCAGTCACACTAATAGAAGGAAGTGGTTCAATTTCTAGTGCAAATACTGTATCTCTAGCTAAAGTATTGAATCTACTAGACGCTGTAGTAAATAGATGCAATGTGCTAATGTTGTCACCGATTACTATGGCTTGACTTGAAGGAGATACGTCCATAGAAAGAGCCATTAAACCTTCTTCTGCACCACTCATCTAATTAATAAATTACAGAGTTAATTTAATATTGTTAAAACATTGTTATAAAACTAAGCCAAAAATAAAATAAAAAAACCAAGCTTAAAGTTTTATTATTTTCTATTTATATATATGGAATATTTAAACATTTATTGATATTACAAATGATAGAAAAATATAAGTTAACCTAAATCCCAGTAAAAGGATATACCAACATAGTAATTATTTAAAAAATATAAATGTCTATAATTGTTTATTTTTTTTACTTTGATTTAGTTCAGAATATTTATTTATTTAACATATTTTTGAATATCAAAATGAGTATGCAATAGACAGATTAAATTTTCACTACGACACCATTTAATATAATTTTATATTCCAATTAAAATTATACATAAGTATATGATTATAATAATCGTCAATATCATGTAGCTTAAAGGCCAGAAGCCCAATACTACTTTTATGAAAAGGTTTCTTGACAAATTCACTAACTGAAATAGGTTGTCGTCCATTATAAAAGAGAGCGATGGCACATTCGGCTTATTAGGTCATTTTACTCCTCATAATTATAATATAAATTAAATATTTCAGGGGCATATGGAATTGTTGTTATAAACCCTTATGCCTGAATAAATGTTCGCAAAGTAAATTGTTTGGTAATAAAATAATAGCATTTTTTGTATAAGATAAAAATAAAAATTTCAATTACTTTAATGATAATAATAGTAAAATAAATATGTAGCCACTATCCAACTACTTTATAAAATTTTAAAAATAATCTGATATCAAAATACTATAAATGTTCAAAAATATCTAAAAATTACATATACGACCAAATTTTTGAAAATATATTTTAAACAGCCAATTGACTTAGACTCATATATAATTTTACTACTAATAATAGTCAACCTGATAGAGATTCATATCTTGTTCGGATAATGCAACAGTGTCAACAAGTTGACATTGCCCTGCAGAAGATACAACAGCAATACGTGATGAATAAGACGTCATGAACCTCAAAAGGAATGGTTCGATAATCATTGGAATAGACGAAACAGATCTCATCATTCTTAAATCGTGGACAACTAAAAACTGATCAAGCTCCAAGGAACCGAGTCTAAAAGTGTATTAAAATAATTTTTTTTAGTATTATTATTATTATTATATGTATTATTATTTGATGTATTTACGCATTTGAAAAACCACAGCTGACTAATAAATTATCATGGACATCAAAATCTGACAAGCTTCCGGTGTGAGCATCAATAGTATAAATTACTTTTGAAACATTCCTCGGGTCCCTAAGTTTAATTACTCCGGTAGGATCTCCGCAACAGACGGTTCTGTTGGCATTTTGCCGTAATATAGCACATCCATTTTCACCAGCATTTATTATGCTAACCTCTTTGCATACATTTAAATTGAATTCAATTAGCTTATCCTGATGCCCGCCCATTAATATTGTATCTTGAGAACAAGTTAATTGGGTTATGCATTGCATTTCATTTAAATTTTCTGAGCTATAAAATAAAAAATATAAATTTTCATAATGTAAAAGAATGTATTTTGGTTATTCATTATTTCTAAAAAAAATTTTACTCTACCTATGTGTAAAAATCGGTAGCCCTCTACGCATTTGACATCGGAGCGTCGTGGGCGTGAGAACTAGCAAACTAGAATCCGTTGTAAGCAAAGAACGGATTTCTTCAGTTGAATGAACTCGAAACATTGTATATTTCTGCATATCTGCACTATAATATGAAGTGACGTACCCCTGTGTAAAGAAAATAATAGAAAATATATTGCATATACATAACTCATAATGGTTTCTTACAAGTTGATTCCCGATCCAAAGCAGATTTTCATAAGTATCGAAACACGTAGCTGTAATCCCATACTGGCTACAGTTATCGGTTAATATTGTTTGGGTTTCCTCATATTCAGATCGTATAATTTCTCCATTTAATTGATCTGAATATATATTACTGTCTATTACGTCTGGGTACTCTTCATTTACATAGTTGCCATATACTAAACAATTAAAAAATTAAAATTTTGTATACAACACCAAACATTACGGGGCAGAATATTGGTCCATCGCCAGAGAGAGGGACAGCAACTCCCTTTTACAAGACAATTTCTGAGCCAGTAAAAGAAGTCGCCTTATACAGTCATTTTACTCTTATATAATGATTGTAATAATTGTAGTAAATGTAATAATTGTAAAGAGTCATGAAAGTCAACTCACAAATCATGTCTGAAGAATCATATGGGCTTATTACAGGTCTGGTGAACTCCATATTATTTTCTTTCAAAAATTTAACTAAAAAAATAAATAAGTATATGTATTATTACTTAACTAGAGAACAAATTTATGCTACTAGATATCAATTTTTTTTACATTAATTACATAACTGAAATCAGCAATCTAAAAGACAAGTTGTACATACTTGCTTATAGCTTGTGCAACAATAATCGCCAAAATTCAAGTAGTTAAAATTTTTTAACTATTCGAGTCTGCCGATTTCCAATAGTAGATTCAAAATAGTATAAAAAACCATAATTTTAGGCATAGTAAATTTTGTACCTTACTAACGTTAATTCAATTAAACATAATATATTGTAAATACAAACATTTGGATTCCGTTTGTGCTAAAGACAATACTCATTAGTCCACGAACGTCAGTTTTTTCACAAGTCATATTATTCATATTAAAACTTTATTATAATAATAAATACAAAAAAATAACAAATATTTTTCTCTATTTTTTTTACTCTAACCAATAGCATACATTTTACATTAAAAAAAAACAAATTAAAATTAAAATCAATTAATAAAGTGTTTGTTAAATTATAGGCTAATAAGAAAATTATAAATTTGCTATTTCATAATTCATATCAGCAATCTCAACAACTTATACTTTAGCGGATAGCCGTGATCTACATAAATATTTTGTTTATAATAAAGATGTATAAATTACACGATAGAGGGCGCTGACACTCAATTGAAAAAAATTTAACCATTTACTGTTTGCATTGCAGTACATAACATAGTCTATGGATTTTAATATTTTACCAAGTACCTATTTCTTAACAAAAATTAACACTGTTATGCCTGTAGACATCATACTTCTCTTAATGCATAAAAATGTATGTTAAAACCATGGACTAAGTTACAAAGTTCGTCATGGTAAAAACTATAATAGTATCTATCCAGAGTTTAAACTGCTTGTACTAAATGCCCCTGAAAATTGTAGTAGCAACTGACAAATTATGTATGTGTTGTTCTGTAATTTTGGCTAAATGATTTTGTTAGTCCTGCCATAGAAGGCGTTAGTTTTAAAGTCAGGAGACGAATAAATATATATTTTACTAAAAGTTTGTTGTTTAAATTAAATAGGGTAGATATCATCTCATTGCTTCCTATAACACATTGTTACACAACAGTGTGCTTCAGGAAAACCGCAAATATACTTGCCTAACATAAAAAAATAGTAATAAGTACTTTTTAGTTTCAATTCTCGTATTTTTTACTTAACACATTTTTTTTAAAAAAATGTTAGTATTTAATTAATTCTTATTGATCAATTCCATATTTGATTAACATTATAATTTTCAGTCTTATATAGCATACCATTAAAACAATCTTTCACAAAAAAAAATTAACGACATACAATTTTTGTGTTTTGTTAAATATTTACTCTTATTCTAAATAAGGGAACTATATATATTATACTTCAATTTTATTTTAGAAAACAGGATTAATTAGCTAAAATTATTTAAACACTAATATTTTCTTATATCGTATGCAAAAAGAAAAGTATGCCTATTTTATGCATTATAAACATTTTTTATACCACAACATCCAATGTTCTAATGTTCAAACATTAAATTACCAAAATATATAACATGTAAATTAACTCACAGCTGTATAAACACTATAACACTTCCCAATTATTTGTAGTATTATCTAATTTCTAGCTTCATTGCAAAGCTGTGTAGGAACTGGTTTCATATTTTAAAAATTCATATACTCATTACACTTTACATTAGTATAACAAATAATTAATAAATGAATATATTACCAAAATAATTAAAAAAAATTAAAGATTTCTACCGTAACCAAACTAATTAATAATTTTGATTAAAATTTGAATAAAGAAAATGCAATTTTTTTTACATAAAAATCAGTAACTAAAATGTATAGTAAGGTAAAAAACAAATATTTAAATTTTAAAGCACTTCATAAAAAAAATTTATTTTAATAATCTATTAATATTATTTCATTGAAAATTACATGAGATAAAAAAAATTAAAATAACACAGTATTTAAAATATATTAATACATCATATAATTTAACCTTTACATCAAATTTAATGATAATATATAAACAAATCCCAAACAACAGTCTACCCTAACTAAATAACTGTTCTGTGGCACGCTCTAAATCCCAATTGTAAGTCGATAGTGCACCACGTGCTTGATCACATTCAATTCCCATATCGATTAGACGTTGAATTTTTGAATCAAAATCTGTATTTTTATTGGGTCCTAAAAAAATGAATACATTTTAATAACAAATATTATAAATTTAGTAACAAAACTTTCTAAATACATTTACTTGTTAAATAAAAAACAGATGTGTCAAAGCTTAAAAAAAAGTTGCTATATGTGGCATAACAAGAAATATTTTTAGAAGACAATGAAAAAAAAACAATAAAAAAAAATTTAATTACAAAACAAACTCAGGACAACAATATTAACTCTCAATATAGACTCTATAAACTTTATACTCAGAATTGAAGTTTACAGCAATGTTTTTATTTAATTTTGAAATGGCATGACAATATTTACTTATGACAAGGAGTAGGCCCACACAAAATAAACACTTGAAATCCTTATATTTATTAGTATAGAACAGAGCAATTACTACTAAAATAAAAAATTTAATTACCACCAGCATAAACGTTAGTCCAATGGCTAGCAGTCTTAGCAAATATTTCGGGATAGTCTTTATATTGTTTGGCAACTACAGCATCTTGTGGATCATCTGGTTCAGCAGCAGCCATAAGTGCTTGCAAAGACAATAGTACTGTTCGTAATGTCATCGCTGCAGCCCTTTACAAAGTATTACACATTTTAAAGTTATTTTAATTTAATCGAACATTATTAAATTTTTGTTTATGTGTTTGTTAAAAATTATATTTTTAACTAGAACTAGAAAGAAAAATTTAGAAATAAAATAAAATAATTTTAATTATTTCTTACAAAAATGATACTAACGATTTGTAGGTCATTAATTTAATAAAACAATTTTAGTACATTTATATCTTACCATTGGTCTTTTAAAATATCTAAGCATATAGCTCCAGTAACTGATGAAATATTTGGATGCCATATTTTTGTCATGAAGCGAACCTAAATAATAATTTGATATATTAGTAGACAATCAATGCACATCATTTTTGTACAACTCAAATTACTTACTTTTGGAGGGTTAAAAGGATATGTTTCTGGAACTTTTATTTCCAAAAAGAATGTGCCACCTTCATATGGCGTATCAGGCGGGCCAGCTATTTCACCCTTCAGCTCTGTGTAGCTATCTCCAACTAAATCTACTTTAATTGAACATTTTGCTAGCTAAACACCAAATTACAACCATGTCATTAGATTAGTTGAAAAGAGTTGTATAAGAAACATATACATCACTGGTAAATATAAATAACCAACAAGTAAATTGTTTTCTCATTTAATTAAAATACATTTTTCATAATTTTTCTAAAATACTATGCTGTTTACTAGTTTTAGGAAATACCTGAATCGTTATAACGGCATTTTATGTAAAAAAATTATAACCTCGAAAATTAAAAGATTTTTTTATTCAATAAATTAATATTATAAGCAGGAAATACCTATTATTGTAGAAAAATACAAAACAAAATGTTTTTCAATTATTCAATTGAATAAACATGTAAATGCTTAATTTTTTCAGAAAGTGAACTAATAAAGTGTAAAATGAATATAATTATTTTTACTAGAGTATTTAGGAAAAAAACATTTATTATTTAGAAAATAATAGTTTTGTTCAATTTACCCAAAAATAACATTAAAAAACTGAAACAACTATTACCTCTTCGCTCTTGATGACTTCTTTGAATTCTCTTTTGATTCTTTGTGTTGCTATGTTGTTCATTATACTAAATTTGAAATAAAACTATGCAAGAACGTTATTGAAAAAAGCTAGAAACAATACTAGAGGGCTGTAGTGCGACTACAGCGACGTGTGCCCAGTAATATATTGCAAAACTTTCAATGTCGCACGTTATTTTTATAAATATTAACTTTTAACGAACAAAGAATTTACAAAATCATTGAATTGGTGATAAAATTGCAGTTTTTTAGATGTGGTACAGGTATATACCTAAAATCTAGATAAACTAGACGAGAAAAAGTTCGTAGTTCGGACTACTCAACCAGTGGAAAGTTGGTTAAATTTTCGTTCTCGACTGATAACAATTAACATGGCACATTTTGATTATTGATAATTCTACAAACAAAAATAATTTATCATGCACAACAGCGGGTACACGCTCAGTAGATCCAATAGCACAACCGCCTAAATCATAATTTTAAAATTAAGTAAAATGTTACTTTAATAATTATTTTAATGGTCCGAACATTTTTTGGCATATTTCGAATTTTTTTTTTTTTTTTATTAATATTTTTTATATTTGTAGCATATTTTGCTTTCTTTTAATTGGATCTTAAAATACCAATAAAATAATGATTATTATATAAATACATAAGAGAAGATCGGGAAGAAATATCAGTATATATTTTTCCTTACACGCAGATGATATGTTATGACAATACATCAAACACTGACCATTAATTTTTTTTTCTAGCTCTTTTCAGCCCAGTGAAAACAATTGAGTACATAAATAAAACAATATCAGCATAATTCAAATCTACCCCATCTTAATATATTTTTTTTAAGTACAAATTAGAAAATTTATATAGGTACACCCTATTATATCAATAATATTTACAGTTTCGTTTTCGAAAAATGATAGATAAGTACAAATCTTACAATGAAAATAAAACTGTGTGTACAAATTTGCAAAATTATTTCTATCAACGAAGTTAGAGATTACGCAGTTTTACCGCCATAGTTTAGATCCAATATTTATTGTATACATATACTTTTGATTTGATAATGGATGTTTTTAATTTAAATCTATAACTAACGCAGTAATCTAGCAAACCGAGTTCTGCGTAGCTTTATGTTTGGCTTACAATTTACAAAAATATTCTAAAACGTTATGATGAGCGCTGTCATAATTTGATAAAACAAAAAGATTACCCCAAAATAACTCATTTTCTCCGATACTCGGAAAAACATTGAATCATGGAAATGCATTTGGTTTTTTTCTTGATAAAAGCGTAATGTAATTATGGACTCACAATCCACATTTCTTGGACCCATATAGATAATTTGATTATAATATTATTATGTTTGCATAGAATAACATTACTAATTCATTTTTTACTTCAATGTTGATAAGTTATGTTAATAAAATAATGTACATCATGCTACACTGTAGGCTATCAAACCCGTTAAGCCGGCATAGACTGTGCAGTATACGATATTACAGGCTACTCGCTTGCACCATAATGCCAGATCCCAGCAGTGACGAATGTAAATGCCCGCAGTTTACACTATCCTATCGGGTATCGGCATTCGGCAATCTGTGACACTGATCTGGTGACTGGTCACCGAATACTAGTGGTGGGAATGGAAATGGGAGTTGTGATGGAGAACTGTCATCATCGCAATATTTAATAGCATTATCTGATGTATATTGTATAATTTATAGTTATTGTTAATATTAAATAATACGATTTTGAATTTTTTTAGTTAATCTATGAAAGTATACTCTAAAGTATTTATTTAATCTGTATAATGGAATTTAATTTAGGAGATAACCCTGTAACTTCGCATTCGTGGAACGCCAATAGAACTCGTAAGATAATTAAATAAGTATTTTTATTTCTTAAACTTGTAGTGTGTTACTAATTAGTGTGACACTCTACCTAACATAATAATACATTATTTACAAATACATTTTGTTTTCAATAATTATTAGAAATTGCGGTGATTCCGAATAGCAATGAAGTCAATATTTATAAATATGAACAGAGTGTAAGTGACTGGACGATTTTGGATAATCTTGATCAGCATGGACTACTCGTAACTGGAATCGATTGGGCACCAAACACTAACCGTATTGTTACATGTTCTGCTGTGAGTATTATATATGTAGCATCAGTTTTTTCCTCTCATTTTGACATTGCTCTTTGTATCGTTATTAATATTTTTCTGCTTATTATGACAGGATCGTAATGCCTATGTATGGACAATTGACGACAAGGGAAAATGGAAACCAACACTGGTACTGTTGAGAATTAGTAGAGCAGCAACTTGTGTGAAATGGTCTCCTAATGGTAAAATTGTTTTTCTGAATATTATTTCCTTGTTTTTCATTTAGTTTGAAAATATGAAATTGGTTTTGTTTGTTTATTTAATTTTATGAGTTATTACCTACTGAGAACACTACCTTAGTGATGAATTTTGCTTGAAATACTTTCTCTGAAAATAGCCTACATTTATTACCTAGTGTTCTACCCGTTACTCATGATGACAATAAGTTTTTTTTAGTCAACTTGTCATGGATGTCATTTATAATTGACTCTTACAACATGCATTGTCTTGAGCTTTATAAACAAACTTAATAAAATTGTCATTTTGTGTTAACCTAAAACATTTTTTTAATAAGGCTTTAATATTACTGTTAATCTTTAAAATGATGGTTACTTTTTATTTTATATTTTAATAATAATTTTATTAATCATTAATATTGTTTCTAGAAAAGAAATTTGCAGTCGGTTCAGGTGCACAGCTGATATCTGTATGTTATTTTGAAGTCGAAAACGATTGGTGGGTGTCGAAACACTATAAAAAACCAATTCGATCAACCGTTACTACATTGGATTGGCATCCAAATAACATGGTACTAGCCACCGGTACTGCCGATTTCCGTGTAAGACTGTTTAATGTACACATGAAAGAGGTCGATCAATGTCAGAAAGTCAAAACTGCATGGGATTCTGAAGATAATTCTGTTCCCAATTTAGTCGCGGAATTCACTAATTCTTCTAGAGGAGGTACTTATCTTAATGGTAATAATAGTTAATGTGTGTTTAACAGAACGGTAAATAGTGAATACAATGTGTGATGAAATGCCAAAGATATTAACTTGTTTTGCTATAAGGTGGGTGCTTTTGCTGGGTGGGTAAGGCATTCATATTGGTGTGCGCGATTGTTGGCAGTTATTTCTCTCAGCTAGTGTCTATCTTGGTAAAGAATTTAACCTCTGTTTTCTCTCTAGACAATTCCCAACTTGTTCGGCAACTTTAATGCTTATATATGTAGTAGGGAATAATAGTAGCTTAACTTAAATAACATGACATTTGCTTGTTATATAAAATGTGTCACGCTTGTAGTATGTACATGAAAAAATCTTAGTAACATTTGTGTTAATATAAGTATTATTGAACTATTTTGCATATTACTACTTTTAGGTGGATGGATTCATGGACTGGCGTTTAATAAGTCTGGCGATAGACTATGTTGGGTTGCGCATGATTCGTCTATAACTGTCGCAGATGTATCCAAAGGCTCGATAGTTGTGAATAAATTAAAAACAAACGAGTTACCGTTTATTAGTTGCATATGGGTATCGGATCGAGCAATAGTTGCCGCTGTAAGTATATATGAATTGTATTTTTACGTTTTTATTATTATTTATTACCTATAAATTTCATTTTAAGTTGTTCATTTTTTTTTTTTTTTTTAATACATTTCTTGAGAATTTAGTTTACTAAAGCAAGAATTGGCTGAAACAAATGTATTATTCATAACTAATTATATATTGTAGGGACACGGATGCTGCCCAATGCTTTATTGTGTCGATTCTAACAATAAAGTTCAATTTATCTCTAAAATAGACAGTTCTCAAAAAAAAGAAGCCGCTGGACTGAGGTAATAACTACTATATATACTATGTAGGGTTGTCATTTATTTAAAATTATAACCTGAAACATCACAAGTCGTATCACTTTTATTCCCCACCCCCGATTTTCTTTAAATAAAAAAAACTTTATTTAATATATATATATATATATATACTAAAATTACTAAAAACACCGTTTCCCTTGAAGAGGTTAAAACTTAATTTCTAATTTTTTGTTGTAGTTTTAGGACTTGATGTTTGATAATTAGACTGAAGGTAAATAGTGGTGATATATATTATGTACAATTTTCTCTAAAATCTGTTAAACATTTATTAGAAATTTATTGATAATAAATTAATTACATAATATTCTAAATTCTACGAATAATAGAAGAAGAAGAAAAGAAAAAAATACACTTTAATCATAGTTAATTTCTAGATTGCTGGACAATGAAAACAAACTAAATACAGACAATCAATCCTAACACTAAAAGTTTAACTTAAGCACATTATTGTCTTTACAACTTTTTTGTTATTATTTAATATTATCTACAAATTTGTATCAAATTTTTATTTGGAAGTGATTTTATCAATTTTAGTTGTAATAATTCCTGAAGACATGTGACCTCCCTGAATGCTATATGCTTTGTCCCACTATGATCAACCCAACTATGCTAGCCTTTTTTTAATAATTTTATTTTACATTTAGTGCAATGAAGAAATTTCAAAGTTTGGATCGACAAGCACGAATCAACAGCGACAATGAACTAGATACTAAACATCAAAATACATTAACATGTCTGCGCATTCATTCAGAGTCAAATAATTTGGTTACAAAGTTTTCCAGTAGCGGTTTAGATGGAAAAATAATTCTATGGGAACTCAATGTAAACATTATAAATTCAATAATAATTTTAATATATATATATATATATATATATATATTTTATTTATATAAATTATATAGTACATCAAACATATATATTTTAACTATTTATTTATTTTTATTTTTTCAGAGCTTAGACAAATTATTGCAAGGACTTAAAATTTAAAACCTAAAAAGCGACGATTATGTGTATATAGTTCTAATTGATATAAATAATTAAACTTATACTGTTACTAATTATTTGTTATTTTATTAAATTATACTTTTTTTACATTATTTATTATTTATTTAAAAAAATTTGATGAATACATTTTGTACATTATATATAGTATATACATTTATATAAATGTATGTATAAAGAAACTCTTAATTTGGTCATTCTCATATTTATGTCAGTTCTATGATCAAACGTTCAATACCATGTATTAATATTATTGAAATCATCGATTTATATTTAATTAAAATGTTACAATTTCAAATTATAAAAATTGTATGTGTTCAATTATGTTTTAGACTGACAAAAATAAATCTATATGTAAAACTACTTTCTTAACCACATACTATTAATGAATATTTTAAAAGAAAACAATGTTAGAGTTAAATTCTTTATACTAATAATACATTTAGCAATTATTGTTTAGTATGTAAAAATCGGTTGTCGTTATTTGTGTTCTTAAATTGAATGAAAGGTTTTAGACATCTTATGTTTACTTTAGTGGTTAATGATTGCTGAAGAATAAATATACATAATGATGATTTTATATATTATGCAAGTAAATTACATAAAAAATTTGGTTTCCATATTGAATACAATTAAGAATAGATTGATTTTGTACAATATATTGGCCCATGAGTATATATAAAAAACTGTTTCATACTTATGGAATATTTTCTTCTATATTAATACGCATCCCCTTTGATTTTTACTATGGGTTTTATGTTACACAAACAGGAACATAATGAAATACTTGTAAAAATATTTCTTACAATAAAAATAACAAATGGTGTATTGATAGCACTAAGTTGTTTTATTAAAATACATATTAATATCTTATTTAATATATTTTAATGTTAAAAAGCATATTTAACCGACATTACATTAGCAATGTTATTACATAGTTACTTTTTAATCTGAAACTATATCAATAAAATATATTAAATGTGAATATTTACCGTATACAATTTAGTATACACGAAACATTTAATTATCTATAACAACAATAAAAACAAAAACAAAAGTATACATAATGTAAAATAAAAACAATTTTTTTTAGTCATGAGTTGTAAATGATAAATGCTTAAAAAAATAGCCAAGATGTTAAATAAATTAAGTAGTAGTAGGATGGATATAAATAGGGTATGGTCAGTTATTATATGAATCATTTTACAGAAAATAAAAACAAGTATCCCTAAACATTATTAGCTATAAATTAAATAAGGAAAAGTCATACAATTCAAGAATTATTAAGATTTGATGTTTAAAAATGTTATAATGATGAATATGGTCATAGTAATTTATAATAAGTACGAAAATGGATGGACGATAATTATTACATTCCATTAAATAAGAAAAAAAGATATTACGTTATATACTATTAAATATAATAACTTGAAATCCTATCGCTCATATCAACGATACCTATATGATACCATCGCTGAATTATTCTTAATAGATAGTATTCAAGTTTTTAGTTTAGGAATCAAAGGTCATTGAAATAAGGTGTTAAATAAATATATAATAATTTTGGTTTTTACAGTCTTGGAAATGACAATAGTTAAGGTAACATCAAAAGGATAAAATATAAATAGTCGGTAATCATTGGTCAAACACAGAGATAAATAGTATGGCTAATAGTAATATAAAGAACACAAGTTTGAAACCAAAAAAAGTCAAATAAATAAGAACTATGTAAAATAATTTTAAGATTAGGAACATAACTGTCTAGTAAAGTTTAAATTTGTTTTTAAACAAAGTACAAACTACAGTAATATTTATCTTTGGTCAACAAAGTTTGTAAAATTTAGGAAAATTCTGAAGTGGCTAATCAGTTTAACTATACTACCTATTGTTAATGTTAGACATAATTTGTTGATACAACTAACTAATTAAATATTAAACATTTATTATATTACTATTGCCCAAATTGTTATTCAATACTTATTTCCATTGCTCAAGAAATTTTAAATGAAAATTTTTATAACTCTCAAGCATGGTAACAAGTTTATCCAGTTGTGGTAGAATAGTAGTTCTGGAAGTAAAATTAAAAACAATATTACTAATACAAAAATAAAAATATTAACTATAATTATACCTGAAGTGATATGTTCCTTCGGTTTGACCAAAACCAGAACCAGGAATAATACAAATACCAGTATTTTCTAAAAGCTGAAATGCATAAAACGCGTTGGGATCGATTCCTTGATTTTTTGCTTCTTTAATAGCTTTTTCTGGTAATTGGATCTATTGGAATAATTTATTAGCACATTTACAAATATACACTGAGTTACACGGAAAGTGGCGCACTTGAAATAAACTATTAATTTTAAATGTTATGACTTCCACTTGACATTTTTATGCTTAAAATAAATAAAATTCAATTTATGACACCGTTATTAATGTGCTAGCATATGATTTTTTCGTCTTATCACATAAATTCCTACAGGTTAAGCAAAACAGATCTGAAAAGGATATCTATGGATAATTCAATGGTTAGTTCATTTTACGTTCTCGGCCTTCGAACACGAAAAAAAGAATTTTTGTGGACAATTAACAATAAATAAACAATTTAAAGTGAAAAAAATGGTGTTAACTAGTGAACAAATTGCCCGTGCTGTGGCCTTGATCGAAGAAGGGCGCAGTCAAAGGTACGCGGCCCGTATCAGATGGACGTAAATGGGACGAAATTACAGGCTGCGTAACGCTCGCCACTTCTTCTTAGGATGTTTTGACGTTCATCTGATGCGTAAAGGGCAAAGCGGGACTCGTCGGTGAACAGGACGTCACTCCATTCTGCTTCTGTCCACGCACTATACTCACGCGCGAATTCCAATCGCGCTCGCTTATGCGCTACCGTCAATGCGGGTGCATTTGCTGGTCTAAATGAATGCAGTCCATATTCTGCCAACTTTCTTCGTACTGTTTGGGCAGAAACATCCACTCCCCGAGCTGCATGAAGCCTTTGGGCTATCTGCACAGGAACAGAGCCACGATTTCGTAATGCGTATAACTGCATAAAACGGTCGTCCACCCTATTTGTGGCCCTCTGCGGACCTGTACCAGGTCTACGGGTTAAGAGACCAGTCTCTTTGTATCTTCGGACGCACCTACGAAGTGTACTTTCCGGTACATCCAGGATACGGGCCGCGTACCTTTGACTGCGCCCATCTTTGATAAGGCCACAGCACGGGCAATTTGTTCACTAGTTAACACCATTTTTTTCACTTTAAATTGTTTATTTATTGTTAATTGTCCACAAAAATTCTTTTTTTCGTGTTCGAAGGCCGAGAACGTAAAATGAACTAACCATTGAATTATCCATAGATATCCTTTTCAGATCTGTTTTGCTTAACCTGTAGGAATTTATGTGATAAGACGAAAAAATCATATGCTAGCACATTAATAACGGTGTCATAAATTGAATTTTATTTATTTTAAGCATAAAAATGTCAAGTGGAAGTCATAACATTTAAAATTAATAGTTTATTTCAAGTGCGCCACTTTCCGTGTAACCCAGTGTATTATTAAAAAAATTATATTTTACTTTTAATAATAACAGTAAAACAAACGTACTTGAGGAAAAGCATACATGGCTCCTTGAACTGGATTACAAGACACACCGGGAATACTATTAAATGTATCCGCCACTAATATTGCTCGTTCTTTCAATGATTCTAATACACTAGTTTTTTCTGTTTGAAAACTTTCATAAGACAGTTCTCCCGGTTGTGGGGGATTCACAACACAATCCATAACTGTCTGTTTAAAAATATCAACACGCCAATTAAAAACAAAAATTTATTTAGCGATTATGAATACATAATTAATATTTTTATGATACGTACTTGACCAAGAACTGTAGGGCACAACATGGCTGAAATACTTTTATTTAACATTGCTTTGACATCTGAATCTAAATTAATAACTTCAGTGTAACCTCCTCTTAAACCACACTCTCCCATATAACCTAAAAACGAAAAGAATTCATTACTAAAATATGTTTAAATCAAATAAATTAAAAATAATAAAACAAGCAAACTAATATGTAGTATACTATATTAAAACAGAATATTATGGGGTTTTAACAAATTTATTAGAAAACAACATTTCTTGAACATCATTATTGAAACACAATAAATCCCATTTAAAATCTCTCTATAACAGAAATACAATTTATAAAACCATTACCCTTAGAGCAAGACATAAATGATGCCAACTCCATTTCGCTATAAGGAGGTCCTAGCTCGGTTAAAATTTTTTTAAATGAATAAAATTGGCTTCCTTCAGCATAAACATTATCCTGATATACCTAAAAGTTGACCATTAATAATTAAAAAACCAAATAGCATAAAATTTAAAAAAAAAACTAAATAATTTTTGTAGTCATTCATTCTTACCTCATCAGCAAGTAAAAATAATTTTTCTTTATATGCAAATTTAATGACATCAACTACATTTTCTTTAGTTAAAACTTGACCTAAAAAAAACATTTGTTGAATTTTTATATTAAATAATGAAGTAATTCTACATGTAAAAATATTATTCTTATTATAGTCTAATAAAAACCAACCAGTCGGATTTCCTGGATTTATAACTACAATAGCTCTAGGATTACAATGCTTTCTGGCTTCTGCAAGTGAACGTTCTAGTTCGTTCATATCCAATCCCCAGTTTTTAGACTCATCTAAGTAATATCCAATCTGCAAGTTTTCAAATAATATTAAATATAGAAAAAGCTCACATCATTGTAAAACCAATAGCTTTCATGCGGATCAGCATCAAAGCTAAAAATTAAATTAAAATCATAATAAAAATTAATGTTGTTAACAGGTTTAAAAAAAAAAATGTACATTTGTGTTAGCATACTTAAGTGCCCCTTTTATATGGGTTTGTAAAGTATTTTAACTTCTTCAGAAAACCAGACCTGGTCCAAGTGTGGGGTTATGATACTTAATCAATTTATTATACAATATTACTTATTTAACACTACTGACCTGCGCCATATTAAATTCTGCTAATGTAGCAGAATACAATGGATATTGAGGAATAGGAATCATAACACCAGGTTTCTTTCCATCAACATTAGCCACCATCAATCGAAGAATAGACTAAAAATATATAATAGTTCATATGATTTGCAATATAAATAAGTATTTATTACTAGGGGTTAGTGATGGGAATCCAAAAACTAGGATATTCACAAAAAACGATAATTTATCAATTTAAACATTTTTAAAAATGCTATTGCCGGGTGCTTATACGTTCACTAAATGTTTAATAAACCAGTAGTTGTTTAAAAGTTCCTTAAACATAATTTAGTGGCCCATGATTGGTCCATTAAACTAGAATGAACCATTCAATTTATTTTTTATGCAACCCAGCATAAATATTAATACAATTTCTTAAAGCTTATCATAAAATATTTTTAAAACACTTTACATTGACGATAAAAAGATTTTTGATTTCAGATTTGTTGAAATTGGCACTCCCAAAAGCAATGTATCTTTTGACATTTGTTTTTTTATTTTCATCAAAAGCATTTTAATTAAATACATATTTATATTATAAGATTTTTTTTTGAATATCTGGATTTTTTAATAACCATCACTCATAGGGGTCAACGATAATACTTTGATATTGTTACTCCTTGTGGTAATTTTTATGTTGATAACAAATATTATGATACTGCAATATTTGCAATACAAAAAACTAAACTCAACATCAATATATCGTGATATTGATTTTCAAAAATGTATCGCTGCAAACCCTTGATAATTATTAAAATTATTTTCAATGTTGTACAACATGAATATCAACCTTGATTCCATCAGATGCACCAGCGCATAAAATAACGTTCAAATAATCACATGGGACACCATCGCGGCGTTCAATATATTGTGCCACATGTTTACGTATTATTTCTATGCCAGGCGAATCGGTATATGATCCTAAAAAATAAGAAAACCTTCAATATAATTATCTTTTAACATTGTACACTTGCAGGTGAAACTTCCTCAATAACAATTAGTCATTAAACGCAGAAACTAAATTACGCACAATACACGCAGAAACTAAATTACATCACGCCTGGCACCACTGGGGTAATCAGACGCTGCCAGGAGTAACACGTTTTAGTTTCTGGAGCTGGTTTATCTTTTGAATATAGAGTATATTTTTAAAAATGCAGAAAAAATCTGGAAACTAATCTAAAGTTTCTACATAATAAAATAGAACAAATTCTACAATTATTATTTGTTCAAAAACCTGACTTATGGGAAAAAGTCTCACGCAAAGAAAGTGATTCAATTTCAAAAATTATAAATTTGTTTAAAATAAAAATACTACCTACAAAGTGCATAAGGCTTCTTTAATTTTAGTTTCTGCATTCTGCACATTAAAAAGACTTTGATTGCTACTTTTGACTAGTTGTTTAAGTCTGGAGTGCATTATAGGGAGTCCTCATTTTTCAAAAATAAAAAATTATTGTAATCAAACAATTATTCGAGGAGTACATTTTTCCTGTTATGTCAAATTTTACTACCAAAAGAACTATCTTATAAATAAGTAGTACAAAGTATACTTTGAAAATTTACTCTTACGCTTATTCAAAAATTTCTGGAAATTAATTAAAATTAAATGTATTAAAATTTTGTAAAACTAGTTTTTTCTCATATTTTATTATTTTTTAAATTTAATAATAGACATAGGCCATTGACCAGGAATAAAATAACTGAACAACATAAAACCTGCAATTGATTACACTAGTAATAAATTCTGTTTAATTTCTAATTCAATACATAGGCGGCTCCAGGAGGGTCCGCGCCCCCCCCCAGGCCCGTAACTAAAAAAAATAGTATTAGCAACTCTACCAATTAAACCCCCCCCCCTAATCAAGTCTCTGATTCAATATAATAAAGTACATTCACATTTGTTTCATGCACAGAGAATAAGCTTTGTATGACATAAATATAATCTAAGCCAACTACTTTATTCGAAAAATGAACAATTAGAAAAAAGGAAATGAAAATAAAAAATAATTTAAAAATATATTATTTTTTTATCATCCAAATCATTTTGAAATTCATAATTATCGTTCAAACATGTTTTAATACTCTTAACTAACAGTTCTACTAATAATGACAATTTTTATTTTAATAATAAAATAAAACAGCCGTCTACCAGCTAATAATTGTCATATTCTCGATAGATTATTTAAAGGTTACGTAATATTTAATTATTAGATATAATTACTACTACTACTACTAGGTAATGATAGTAAACAAATTATAGTAGTAAATAAGAACACTATTTCTATACTGTAATAATTATTGAATAATAATAATAATAATAATAATAATAATATAAAATGTTATATTACCAACACTGCCACCACGACATCCATCTAATATGTCCTTTGCTCGTTTCTTTATATCATCTGGGTAACGAGCATCATCCAATAATTCTGGTTGTGAAACTAAGGAAAGTACCTAAAATAGTAACAATTAAACATCTATAGTATAGTATATTATAATAAATTAACTTAATTTCTCCCAAGTCGTTTTTAAAATAATGTAAATTAATCTATAATTTGCATAATAAAATAAGGCTTAAATGCAAAGACTTACTTGTCTTATAAATGTAATAGGTTTTTGTCCCATTGCATGACAATCCCCAATGTTTGCTTTAAGTACTTCGTTGAATGGTTTTTTGACACCCTTAAATTAAAAGTTTAAACAATAATAATTTTTTTAAAAAAAGGCTTATTTTACAAATGAACTTACTTTTTTTAATTCATTTTCAATTTCTGTAGCTCTAATTACCAAGGGCCCTCTGACTGCATATTCCATCACCTTAATATTTGGGTTCATGTTGTCTAACGTAAGTGTCCGCTGACCAAGTTGCATGTTTAGATTGGTATGAAAGCTCCTCGATTTTATAGACAACAACCTCAAAAAGGGGGAAAATTCTAAATGTGACTTAACACTGTGGCAAAATCCATAGTTGGCCGGACAGCCGATAAATTTTCTAAGGTTTGGAAGAGACATTTAAAGTTTCAAAATGGACACGTATGAGTTTAATAGAGTGATATTGACTGAGCTCAGAGGCAGTAAATAACAACTAATTAATTTATACTCATGCGTTAAGGAAATTATATTAAAAAGCAAATATAGCTGGTAGTCTGAACACTGATTAGAAATTATAATAATAGGTCATTCAAAAGATAATACTAGCATGTAATCTATTGATCAACAGCCAAGATTTATCGATTAAAACAATTGTACTTTTAAAACAGTTGGCACAACATACGTGAGATTAAAGTTTAAAAAAAAAAACAAATTCGTATTTACAACTTTTTCGTGACAAGTGACAACAATCCAAATATTTGTAATGACTCAACACATTTAACACAAGTATGTACATCTTTGATGATAATTATAAACAAAAACCAAATATTAGTAGTACACATTATTATAATTATCTTACCTAGTAATAGGTTATTATTTATTAATATTTAAAAATTAATAATTATAAAAACTATAATATTAATCTTAATCAACAACAGTATTTTTATAGTTAAACTGTGATAGTAACACACGACTCCAAAGTCCAAAGAAATAATAATAATATTATTATTATGTAATTGATTTTTTCTGGGTTGGGTTCACAATTCCAGTAACATGGTAACAGTTAAGAAAAAACTACAGATGTGACTTGAGTCAAGAGTGCTAATTGAACGGTAAACCGCCAACGGTGACGATTTGACTACAAATACCAATTTATTAGGTCGTAACCGGGGCGAGTATTTGAGAATTATTGCACGATTTAATGAAAGCCCATTAGAATTTATTAATAGGTTGAAATTGAAGCATACAATTATTGGGGACATAAGGAGTAAACGTTATCAAACAAAATGCTAAATAGGTTACCTTTTCCGTCTGAAGCAGTGTGGGACGTAGGTTAAAAAGTGTATGAGCGCTACAGTTTACGGTGTTAACTGTCGAGTCATTATTTCAAATAAATCAATATTGTGTTGTATCTAATCGCATTGTAGAATTTTTTTTAAGTACTCGTTTGTATATAGTATAAGATATCTAAAATGACCTTCGTAATTTTGTTTGTTATAATATTATGGCTATATATAGCTATATAGGTATATAAATGATTGACCAAATGATAATCTAAACTATACACGCTATACCAAATGTAACTCTGTACTGTCTACTAAAATTAAATGCTTGCTTATTATAAAAATGTTTTTAAGAGATAATACCTGTAATTATATAATAGAGACGGTTTAATAGTTATCTATATTCAATTTAAAAAACCAATAAATAGGTGGATAATACATAATACTGCGTGACATTGTGCAACTTTTTATCAACATTTTTAGCAAGAAAATATTTATAAATAACACGTAACATTTAGAACTAAGTATGTAGCCCTACTGGCTTATAGCCATACATCATATTTTTATGACACAATATGTTAAAATAATTAAGATCTATATTTAACATCGTTAATACAATTTTATACGTGCCTATTGCAGTGATAATAATATAAATTTACGTTTTACATTATAACATATCGGCTGTCAATTTACATGTTCTTATTGGACATTAAACTAAATAAGTATAAAAAAAATGGTTTCGCCATTAAATATGAAACGTGTTAATTAATCTAATCTAAAAATGTACAAGTACAGTGACCTCTCAGTAATCCAGCAGATATCAGACCTGAGGACTGTCGGATCAAACGGGATTGTCGGTTAACTGTATACAAATATATCTAATTAGTTTATTGAGACTATATATGATTGACTTTATCAATAAGCTACATATTTCAAGTATTATTCGTTTGTATTACGAAAATAATAGGTGCCGGATTACCGAGAGACTAATGCAGTTCACTTTTATTTTCTAATGCCATAATATATTGTATGGCCTGAATTATTTCTTATTTATTCGGTATTAGGTATAATGCTAGTTTAAAATGTTATGACTTATGCCCTGGGGCTCGCGCATTTAACACATTATTTGGGGTTTGCTAGGGTAAAATTGTGAAAAATATCTAAAATGTACAGATAAAGTTATTTTTTAGGGTCCTTTAGCCGCCAGGCTGACCCTGTCTACGTTGACAGTAGGGGCTTGGTCAAATAATTAGTGGTCTACTACCTACTAAATGCAAAAAAACGTATTTCTTCGCGATTTACTTATATTTACACCAGGTAAATTTAATTAAATACTTATATGAAGTGCAGTAATAACTAATGACAATGAATAATTAATGATTAATGGAAGGTACTAAGAATGGAATTTTTTTCATATCCCTAACAAGAGAAGTTTACAGATTTGATTTATGAAATAGGTAAAAGGTAATGATGTAAACAAAAGAAATAATCCCATGATATTTCCTGCATAATTTTCCTACAAACTGATAATGCCATTCAACAGTGATTTTTGTTTTTGACAATGAGAACTTAACAGAGAATTATGGATTGAAAAAAAAAATTTCATAATTTTTGAGAGATCAACTTTTAAGAAAATGTTACAGGAAATACCTATCACGAAGCAATTCGTTAATTTTCTAATAAATTAATTTAGTAAACCTTATATTTAAACATTATAAGATAAGAAAAAAATTCTCACCTTAACAGTGTAACATTGAGTATCGGAACTTCTATACAGAAGTATTTACCATAACAAATTTTCAAGAATATAAGTCTCAAATATTATATTTTATTTCATTACACTTACATACACAGCTACAGCTCCAATTATTTGAATATAATTCTTTTTAATATAATTAACGGTATAACGGCACTTGTAAATTACTGTTACTTACTTAAAGTTGATATGTATAGGCAAGAATTAAAAATTCATGTGGACTGCAGTGTGTCTTCGTTTAAATTCTTTGCTCATGTGGTTTTATAAAGTATATTGTTGTCCATATTACAAAATATCATTGCTCATAGCCAACAAAATAGGGGTTATAAGGCCACGCAGTTAACTTGTTAAGATACAGGAGAATGTATTATGTATATAACTATAAAAGGAATGTATACAAGTTACAACAGCTATCGAGCGTAATACCCTATTTGCCGTTCGCTATATAATTACAGTAGTGCGTAATAATTATTAAGACAGTCCATAATGGCACAATTAACAATTGGATAATTATTTAGAAAATATTATACATTGGTGTATCACGATGATTTCACAAAATTGCATACAAAATAGTATGTAAATTTATCGGTATAGCCCAAGTAGAGCGAAAATATTATATAATCTACTATAGGTATGTAATTATTAGCGGTTATATGTATCTGCTCTACATTCACATTCATTAAAAACAGTTCAAGGTTTAAACGGCAGAATGTTTGTAATGGTAATGATCGGGTTATTATCAGGGCTGTATTTAGGATCTGTAGATTCCCAAGCTGAATCTGTAGTCAAGGGCGCACAGTGGTCCGAAAGTTAATTCTAGTTTCTCAAAAGTCCCATTATAAAATATGTAAAAAATATCAACACAATTAATATGAATTATGAATATTAACATGTTTACCAGAACGTTTTGTATTACTATTTAAAGTTCAGTTATTGTAGTTTGGCTGTTATTTTTATTTCAGAAAATAATATTTCGTTTACGATTTTTTTACCCTCTAATATTAAAAATTTTTTTTTTATTTAACTAAAAGGTAAGTAAAGAAAAACACATTTTTTTTCTTTTTTTTTTTAAGAGTAGTACTAAAATGTAACCATTTTTACTCATACGGCCATATAGGTATCAATACATAGATGTTGTAGAGCAAGTATTCAGATTTTCAAAAATATAATTTTTTTTTGGAGACAGACAAAAATTAAATAGTACACAAGTTAAGTCAGAAAGTACGATTTTTAAGTTTAGCGGTTTATTTGATTTCATAAATAATATTTCGTTTAAATTTTTTTAATTCTCTAATATTTAAAAAAAAAATTTTTTATTTAACTCAAAAATAAGTGAAGAAAAAATAATTTTTTTTTCAAACTAGTTGTGATTATTTTTAATGAAAAAAAGATATTATCCATGTTTTATTGATTTTCTAAGGTGTTACTAAAAGTTCCTTATTTTTATCCATGTATCAATACATAGGTATTGTAGAGTAAGTTTTCAGGATTTTAAAAATATAAAAAAAAATTACGTCAGACAAAATTACTCGGTACACAATGCAAATAAAATAGCATTGAAAATAAATTAAAAATTTGCAGTAAATAATTGTACTAGAGTAGTTTGAAATCCTGGGAGCACAACATTTCGAAAAATTCCAAAATAAAGGAAATGCTAATATCTTTATACATATATATATATATATATATATATATATATATATATATATATGTGAATTTTATGTGTTTTTAAATTTTATGTGAATTCGCATTTACTTCAACAACCACCACCCACGGTTATGGTGGTAGATAGCTCTTAGTAACCTCCGGATCATAGGAGTGTTTAGTCACGTTCGCTTTGCGTGGGTGGATGTGGGAGGAAAAAATGTGTACACAGAATGTAAATTTTCAAAATGTAATTTTTAAAAATTACATAGTTAGACCAATTTAAGTTATAGTTATTAAAGGGACACAATAAATTTGTAATTGAAATCTTATTTATAATAAAATGTAAGTTCGGTTTGGAACTGCAGGGGCTGAGTTTGAAGATATGGCTGTCAAAACTCAAAAGTAGTTATCGTACCAACTGATTTCTTAGGGGAAGTTTGTGAAGTAGCTGGGAATTAAGTGCCGAAGTGCCTGAGAATGCTATAAGTTTTGTAGCTTGCTCTAGAGTGGGAAACCAAAGAATTATCTATTCACTAAATAATTAGATGACAAATGTAGTTTATAAATTATAAGCAAGTATTGTAATAGAATAAGTTAATTAAATATGAAATAAAGTAACAACAAAATTAAATAAAAAGCAATTTTCTTTCACTATATTAAATACAGCTGTATTGAGATAAGATGATTTAGTTTAGCTTTATAACTTTTATATTTAAAGGTTCATTATTTAAATATATATAAATAAATTAATAAACTTAAATCAATAGCTACAATTGTATCTTGAAGACGCAAGCGATATATTTATTCTTTAATATATTATACACAAGGTATAACCTCAAGAACTATAAGTAGGATCAAATTTTAAAAAAAATTGGCATATTGCATAACTCCGGGCAAAGCCGGGGCAACGCAGCTAGTATACATAAATATATAATCTTTAGAATTAAAAAATAGCCATTATAAAAACAATGTCTTCTCAGCTACACATCAAAGATAAAGAGTTTGGTAACTTTAACTGTATTAGCATTATTGCCAACTTTTATTTCTCTTTTCATTAATTTTATAACCATCAACTAAAATTGTTTTAGTGCAAAAGTATTAAGCTTAATTTTATTCTTGAAGTCTGTTATGTCACAAGTATCAGTTGTGTAAAAACATTAACGCAATCACATTTTTACTTATAACATTGTATAATGTATAAAGATATTACGTGAAGTTGATTATAAAAAGTTAATATTTTACACAATTTAAACTATAATAGGTGATTTTCTTCTTTTTCTAGATTTTTCAAATAGCTTACCAACTTTTACAGGAATTTGTTTAAGATTTGAGAAATTTGTTTTCCCCAAAACATTTAAATAAATTCCTAAGACAATTAACACTCCAGCCCACACATACCTGTAAAAAAAAAATTTGCATTAGCTATTATTTTACTGTATTATAAAAAAAATGTTAACTTACTGAAAAGTAAATGGTTTTGAAAACAATAAAAATGAAATAATAATGGTAACTGCTTTACGGCAAGTTGTTACAGTAACTGCGACTAATGCACCACATGTTCTGATTAAAGCCAAGACTGCTTGTACACCAAAAAATCCAGATAATGAAAATAGAAATATATAAAAATATGTTTCTGGATTCTACTAAAAAATAAAAAATAAATCCTCATTAATATTTTTAATTGTTTTGAAAATAATTAAACTACATAATAGTGTAATAAAACATAAGTTTTTTTATTTCAATTGTATATTGTATTGTACAAATAATACTTTATATATTGGGCTTGTCTTATATAATAATAATAATAATAATAAATATTGTAATAGAGGATAATAACAATACATTAATTATTTAAAATGAAAATTTTAAGTTCATAGTACTAAGTTTCTAAGTTTAAATTAAATATAATATAAATAAGCAATGCTTATGTAACAACCAGCAACACTATTTACCCGTATTTTTGGTTTTTACAGTGTTAAAACTATTATGAAATCTACAAAAAAGGTGCGTAAAATTCATATATAGACGTGGTCCATCTATACTAAATTTAATCTACGATATAAGTATAATCAGTGGCATATTTTAAAAAATGTTCTAAGATTTTATATATCCTACAACATTTTTATGTATCATAAGTTAGATTTTAACTAATGTGGGGATACAGAATCGATGATGTAGTACAACCAAAAATAATGCCTATAATGTGTCACCGAATATAACTATAAGATGTACAACCTGAATGCAAAATTCTGTTCCTTCCCTGAATTCTCCATTCACCAGCAATATTAATAACAAATACAAAAACCCTATAAAATATGAATATAATACAATTTCAGCGTTGGAAGCATTGTGTTTTTTCATCATTTTTTCTTGAAAATTTCCAATAAGTGCATCACAAAATAATGCCAAGCTTATCAAAATAACTCCTGTAAATGAAAACAAATATGAATAGGTATTACATATAAATATATATATATTTAAACACATGATCAAATAAACATTTTATAGTTTACCTAAAAGATTAAAATGAGGAGAAACTTTATTGTCAGCTAAAGTAAATAGGATCAGTCCAATACACATGCTTGATGCGGCTAAAACATCAATGAGTTTATAAACTTTTTTTTGAATAATTATACCTCCAATCATTACTGGTATCAATTTGCAACACTTAAATATGACTTGTGTAGGATAATTTAGGTACCCAAGTGAGGCATTTGAAAACCCCATGGATCCTAACAATATTAAACCTAATAAAAGGTACAATATTATAGGTATTCTGAAAAAAAAATAAAAAATGATGATTAATACTATTTTGGTGTCAATACTAAATGAATATGGAATATAAGAATTAATAAATAGTCATCTCATAATATAAATTTTATGAGCATTATAATAGTGGTAATTATTTGAATTTTTCTTGGGGTCTGAACCACTCCAATTTCAAAAATAAAAACCACCGATCTCATAAAGAATTAAGAAATTTGCAAAGGTGCTTCTCTGCTATTTTAACAACATGTAAATTTCAAGTACATTATAGTATTCTACAGCAATTCTCACAAGTACAGTAATACCAAATGTTTTAATTAAAATATATAATTGGTACCTCCTTTTAGTTTTATTGAATTGACTTTCTATTAATCCAAAAATTGAGTAACTAAAAAATTGTACAAGAGTCAAGTACCACCCAAATGGTTTAAACCCTTTGATCGCAAATATCGCTTCCTGGAAATAAATATATAAACTAATATATGATTTACTAGTAAAATTATTATGTTTACCTGTAAATATCCATAAGGTATAAAGAAAAGAAATACCACTAAAGAGCAAATGAAAAATTGCCATAACTCAGAGAAATGGCTTATATCAACCCATAATAATTTCCTCGGAGTTTCCTCTTGTTTAAGAGGATTATATGAACTATTTTGGTAATTTGATTCGTTAATATAAATCTTAGTTTCCATTCAAACAACGGATATTGTTGATAGTGAACAAATAACTAGATCAACAATAATAATTGAAAAGATTTCGTCACTTTATTTTTTAAAATTAGCATGAAAGTACGAAATAAACTTATTATTTTAAATGTACTCTATGTCATAAGTTATACAAATAAAAGTAGAAGAATTTATTAATTTTTACTTTACAGTTAAGAATATGATTTTCTGACTTGTTTTAGTTTTATTAAAAATCTTAAATGTATAGTATAGTAGGATTTTCATTATTTATTTATTAATTATTATTAATTATTCTTAAAAATGTTGGCTTATAGATAATGGTTTAATCACAGAATAGCCAGAACTATATTATATACGTGGTTGTACAGTCACCGGTGGAATGTTCCTAATCTGTTAACTGTAATTTGTGAAATAACGTTGCCCATTGGTCAATCCGAATGATAATCATGATAAAATAAATAGCTGCAAATACTATAAACATAGATATCTATGATTGACTCAGAATTTCCCCTCCAATAACAGTGTTTTCCAAATTAAGAAATCAAAATAGCATTATTCTGAAACGATGTCTACACTGATAATTGAAATGTAACGTGAAATTGGTAAGTGTGTATTTGAACTTTGGGGTAATGAAGGACATTCGGAGCAAATACTTTTGGTGGCAACCGCGTTCTCCAAATGGATTATTTGTGTAAACAATAGATAACATTTATAGATCTATCAATGTATACCACGGCCGTGAATCATAATCGACATTCGACACTGAATTCAGATTTAAATTTTAAATTTTCACTTTTCAGCGTTATCCTTTGAGTCTTTAGTTTTTACACATGACAGTGGCGAGTGACGACATTCCGTTATTATTATAAGTCAATAGTCTTCTTGTTTCAAGACCAATGTAACTCATCTTAAAATTTTACCAAATCAAAATATTACGTAGGTTTTTAAATGACGCTTTTTATCTTAGGCTCTCTATTTTATTATAAATATATATATTATGTCATTTTAATTTCAACCAAACTAATTGATATGTGTAAACATGTATTTTATAGAACTGAAGATCATCGAAATGGCAATCGGTAGTTATAGGGAGGAGTTAAAAGTATGATCTATACTTTCAAAAAATATATAATTATTATTAGCCTGCAACTATTAATCCAAATTTTGTTTTTATATATAGACAATTTTAAAGGTGCCAAATGTATCTACAATAAATGCTATTAAAGATGTAGTAAAAGAAAATCATAATTTTAATCTCGGGTAACGTTTATCATTTTATTTTATTATTGGTTTAATTTTCCTACACAACCATTACCTACTTCAGTTTATCTAATTCCTTACTAGATTTTTTAATTTAACTGATTTAGTAGTAGAAAAGTTGATCAAAGATTATAACTTGTTTACATGGTTAAATAACAAGTATTATTTTTAAATTAAATTTACGTTTAAAAATTAATGAAATTATCATTTAGAGCTTTTGAAAAGTGAGATGTCGCCATAAACAGTTAAAGCAAATCAATATTTAGAATTGACATGCTATAAAAATTAATTGGTTTCACAAGTAAACTAATTGTTTATAGCTGATATTTTGCTGTTTGGGTTTAAGTTGAACAATTACAGGTTTTTGGTAACTTGTATTGTTTTTATTTTTAATTATTCGCATTTTATATTTTAGTGATGCTGATAGACGTTCAATATTGGATCAAGTTTTAAGATGTTATGTTTTGGATGTGGTTTTATCCAAGCCACCAAATATTTATGACCTTTGTAAGAAGTGGACATCATTTACAATTGATCTTGTGCGAAATGAAATGTGTACTGCCATTATGCCAGTAGTTATATTATCGGACATGTTCGACGTGACAACGTTGGATTGTTGTGAGAAAATGTTTGACCATGTTGAATCAAATGTTCACTTGCTTAAGGAACCTCAGTTCTTTACAGCATGTAAAAATAACTTACTACGGATGTGTAATGGTAATTTTTATTAAGCAGAACTAGGCTTTCACATTAAGTTTGACCAATATGATAATACAAATTTAGAGGTTTGAGGAGTAATTATATGTGTCATATTTGATTTGTATGTTTAAAGCCAAAACCAATAATTGGAAAAAAACATTATATATTTTTTCATTTCCTTCTTAGTTAAGCTGAAACAGCTTATTATTCATAAATATTTTTGTTTATAATATGGTAATTTTTAAAATTATAAATAGTATTGATATTTACTAGTGACAAAAATATTTAGATGTTTATATATTTTAGATTTATTACGTCGTCTATCGAGATCCCGAAACACCGTGTTCTGTGGACGTATCTTATTGTTTTTAGCCAAATTTTTTCCTTTCTCAGAAAGATCAGGTTTGTGTAATATCATACTTAGTTAATAATTTATGATAAGTCATTAACTTTTTTATATTAGGTTTAAATATTGTAAGCGAGTTTAATTTGGAAAATACGACGGAATATTTGAGCGAAAGTAATTTTGAACAAATTGAAGATATAATACAAGATTCAAATATAGCAGATGAATCAAAAACAGACTTTGATATTGAAAAGTAATTATTATTTTAGCATGTAGCTATTATTTGTCCTTTAATAATTTATATAATCTTTATTAAACACTGAACGTTTTTGTAGAATTTTAGTGTAATTTTGCATTTTGTTGATTTAAATAAATTGACAAATGTATTTGTGACTAACAATCATGTAAATCGTTGTATGTAAATCGTGTAATGCCTACTTGACTAGAAATTGATACACAATGTCTGTTCTTGTTAATGGATAGCTTTTTAAATATATACTATAATTATAAGATATGTTTTATATGGCAAAAACCATCCATTTTAATGACATTGCTCACAAAATGTGATTGTAAAAATGGTAAAAAAACTTACAATTAGTAGCTAAACCCATAACAATAATATTAATACCAATAATAATATTGTTGTAATGGCATTGAACCAATTTTTAAATTCTTGCTTACTTTTTGTTTTAGGGTAAATGTTAACAAAAATCTATATTTGAAATTTTGGTCGCTACAAGACTACTTTAGAAATCCTAACCAATGTTACAAACCAGATCATTGGAAATTATTTACAACAGTGAGTATATTAGTACTATAATCAGAAATTATATAAAAATTCAAAATATTTGAAAATAATATTTATAGTAATGATATTTTAATTAATTGTTCTGTTTCATTTTATTTTAGCATACAGATTTCATTTTCTCAACTTTCCAAAGTCATAAATTAGAACATGTCAATAGAATGAATAATGATAATGTTGAACAGAATATGCACTACTTTCCGAAATATTTAACAAACCATAAGCTTTTGGAATTGCAATTGAGCGATGTCAACTTTAGGCGTTATATTCTTATTCAATTTTTGTTATTATTTCAATACTTGGATGCACCAGTCAAGTTTAAACCGTTAGTTCAGTATTGTAAGTAAGTATTGCTCGATAGTCTTACAGTTATGTTTGTTTAATTTTAGTGATAATTTCAAATTGAAATCCGATCAACTTGAATGGATTAAGAACGCCACCAATACAATTTACGATCTCATAATCAATACGCCTCCTGATGGCATAAATTTTTCCCAAGTGGTGAAAAATATATTACAGGTAAAGTTTTATTATAAAAACTTGTAATTAAACTGAATGTTTTACTTCTACATGAATAATCATGTACAATTTTTGTATATAGGTAAAAAATAAACAAACATTTGGGGTGACCACCACGGATTTTTTTATAATAGCATTGTATGTCTGTTACGATGAAAAGAATGTACTCAAATTTTTTTGGAATATTTTTGCCATGGTCGTAAAAAGTATTTTTAGTTTTTTCCTTGACACTTTTTTTGTATCTTCGGCAATCAAAAAACAAAATACTTAAAATCAATTTCTTATGTAAAATAATCTCAGCTTTCTGAACAAAATATTAGAAAAATTCTCAAATATTATGCAACACGAAAAAACCAACATTTTAGATTATAAACTAAATTTTAATTACTTTCTGTTAATGGAAAAATTATTCAATACATTTTTCAGAAAGCTGAGATTATTTTACATAAGAAACTGATTTTTAATCATTTTAATTTTTTTTGATGGCCGAAGATACTAAAAAAAAGTTATAAATTAGAAGTGTCAAGAAAAAAATTAAGAATATTTTTTCGACTCTGGCCAAAATAATCCAAAACAATTTGAGAACGTTCTTTTTATAGTTACAGACATGCAGTGTAATTTTCAAAAAAATCTGCTGGATTTCGCTCCAGACGTTTGTATATGGCGTTTTGACCCATATATATATAATCATCATAATCATGTAGCTTAACGGGCCATGATGGCCCAACGCTGCCATCATGAGATGGTTTCTTGACGAATTCGCTTCCGGGACGGGTCGTCAATCCGTCGCTGGAGAGGGGGATGGCGGTTCCTTTTTACCGGACGATTGCTCGCCCAGCAAACGGAGCGCCTGTGACCGAGTGTCGAAATATATATAATATATATATATAATAATAGTAAAAATAATCAAGTTACAAATTATGAAAACTTTATTACTCTGGTAAATAGATGTACTGTGGAAGGAACATCTAGACTAAAAATACTAGATCTATAAATCTAGACTTTAGTCCAGTTTGACTTTGAAATTTATTTTGGTGGTCTGCAATTAGTCAAAAATCACAAAACCAAGTTCGATAGTCTTGTCTGGTCCAAAGGTATAAAAATTGGTAATTTTTTTAGAGAGAAGAACAATGGAATAAATGGAAAAATGATGGATGTCCAGAAGTCACGAAAAGACCTTTATCTGCTGGTAATGAAATCGATATGCCAGCACCCAAAAGGAGACCTCGTAGAAATTTGGGAGATGTAATGAAAAATATGGCTGCTAATAACAAAGTTTTCCTTGGAGAGTAAGTTTCAATTTATACACTTTTATAATATGTGATATGGAAAGTAAAAAGAAGGACCGGTTGGCATTTTCAAGTTTGAGCTAGTGCTATTTTATGAATCTTGATTAATTTTTGAATAATTTGAGACTTGTATCTTTTTAGCTAAGAAAATTACTAAGTATTTCACTTTGTAGTTTGTGAAATTTTTTATGCTATTATTTTATTTTATTTTATGTTTTAATCCTAGCACTCTTAAGGTACAATTATTGATACTAGGTAAGATACATTTGACTTTAGGAGGACATTATACCAAATGTCAAACATCTAAGAAAACATGCTGCTAGATGTTTTAGAGCAGCGCAAGCATGCAACATGCATTAAACCATGCCTATATCCATGCACTGGGCTTAACACGTTCGCTGGTCGAGAGCGAATTTTGTTGTTCATAAAGATTGTGCAATGTGTATCACAACTCACATCATAACTGTAAACTATAATTTGCTGCATGTTTATTTCACAATGCATCAATATTTATTAAACAAGTGCTACAGCTCTTGCTAACTAATTATTAATCAAAAACACTGTTTACCCATATTTATGTCTCAGTATGTGACCGTCCATGGGAAAAGGTACCTTATCTTCCCAGAGCAAATTTTTCAGGAGAGCCAATTAGCTTTTTACTAACTATTTAACTTATTAAGAGTTCCAACTTGAAAACTTCATAACTTTTGAATTGATCGAGATATCATTGTGTTTGAGACACCATTGTAACACTTTTTATTAGAAATCTTTTTATGTATCCGTTTTTGTAATTTAAAGTACAACAAAGTTATTGCGCTTTCATGTAGTAAATGTTTTGCGAGTGTTTAATCATTATGTAACCACATCTATATCAATATTTTAAATATAACTTCAGCCACTAAATTGATTTTGTTTTTATACTTCATAGCTTTTCTCTATAAACTAAGCATTAGTTATTTCTTGTACACTTTTTTTATAGAAATTACATGATACTCTAATAAAATATGTTAAAATTATAATTTATGAAATTCTAGTCCGGATTTAACAAAATTGTGGAATTCTAAACCAAACAATTTGGAAGCTTGCAAAGGTCCCGAAAGGGATTTTTTACCATCATTTGATTCATTTTTTCAAGAAGCATTTGAGCAACTGGATCCTGAGCTATGTATCGAAAATCAATTTAGGTAGATAAGTAAACTAACTAAATTTATTTAAAATATGATATTATTTCAGTTAAAAAAATAAAATTGGTAGATGTAATCTCTATAATTTAATTTGTTTTTAGGAAAGTTAATGATGGTAATTTTGGATGGCGGGCTTTGAGACTATTAGCACGAAAAAGCCCACATTTTTTTGCTCAGAGCAACAATCCTATTCATAAACTTTCTGAATATTTAGAAATTATGATTAAAAAAACTATGAGCAAAGAAAAACAAAACGTAAGTACTGTTTGACACCTTTTATAAAAGATAGCAAATTGTTTGTTTTTTACAAAAAAACTACGCAGTAACCTTTGCGTTACTCAAAATCTGGTATGTTTCGAAGTCTACTGGGAAAACCAATTGTTCACCTATTGTCAAGGGCACAAATATTTTTGTAATAACTAAAAAAAATCCACCCTACATTTTATTGTAAGAAAAACAAACAATTTTGAGGGGATGGAATTTCAAAACTAAGTGTGCTTAAATTGCACTTATTTTGTCGATTTTATATTGCATAAAACTACAAATGGGCTGATACTAAATTATTTATGATATTCAATATACCATTATGTTTGTCTGTTATAAATTGTTTATTTAACCTTCGACAAGCATATATCGCTTTTTTTGTGTTTGTTTATTTTTTATAAATTGAGGTACAGGTGTAACTATAAAATAGATTTAATAAATATTGGCTCAGGTCTACATAAAACAAAACATAGATTAATAGATTATGACAAAATATGCGTTTAATTTCTTGGCAAATTAAAATTTGCTATTTTTTAATAAATATTACATTAATTAATAATATCATGTATTAATGTATTAATAATACATTCAATTGTAGCCAGTAAACCAAGGCTCAGAAAAACGATTGTCTCCAAGCAAAGAAATTGAATCAAAAAAAGAATCTTTAACTGAATCTGAAGAAGTTGAAATTACCGATGGAAGTCATGATGAAAATGAAAATGATAATAATGTTGAAGTAGAAGACAAAAACAAAATTCCAAAACATATTATTGAACAAGTAGCAGCTGCAATAGGAGAAAAATGGAATTTGCTTGCTGAAAAATTTGGATATCAGCCAGATGAGGTAGTAAACTAGTTAAAATAATTTAAAAAATATGGTTTAATATATATATATATATACATTGACATGTTATGATACTGTTAAGCTAAAATTTAAAAAAAATATATTAACTTCGGTCTATGCCAAGACAATGTTTAATTGTTGCAATACAGATAGTGTTGTGTTGATGCTCTTATACTCTGTTCCAAAAAAGAACATATCGGGAGGCGACCAGTTTGGGTTCGGCCGGCACTCATATCTCGCAATGCACCTCCTTCCTCTGCGACTTATTTAGGTTAGATTCGAGGTTTAAACGAAAACTGTTGTGTACTCTTGGCTTCACATTTCGACAAGAAGGAGAGAAATTTTCCTTGCAAAACGGCCATCAATCGTGATGCGCAAAATTGGTATTCTCTTTTGGAACAGAGAATAGTGTGAACCAGGCTTAATGACCAAAGTATCAATTTTATGACTTTTAAAAACTGAAAAACTTTGACATAGATGATTGTTTTTGTTTTTTAGATTGAATTTGTAAAAAGTATAAGAACTACACCATTAGACCAAGCTTTATATTTATTAGAAGTATGGATGTATGACGCAGAAAATCTTAAACCACAAGATCTTGTTTATATATTGGAAGAAATTAATTTAGTAGATGCAGCTAATATACTCAAATTATAATATTTTAATAAAACTATTAAAGTTTAATTTAATTTTGACTACAAATTTCCTTAAAACTTTGTTTAACGGTAATATTCTAAAACTATAAGGTTATTTCTATATGTGGAATAAATCATTTGTTTGTAATTTTAATTAAATAAAATATACTACTATTTGTTTATTTTTATAACTTGATTAAAATATTGTACTTAAAAATGATTGTATATTTCATTATTTTGAGTTTAAAAATTGAATACTTTCATAAAAAATATTCAGCATAGTGTGTATGGAACATATTTGGGGAGAAGGGAGTCACCCCCTCTTGCTACTCTGCTTTAGTATAACATTCAGTTCCCACTATACCCTGATTTTCCTAACTTTTTTTTTATTTTTCCTTAGTAAAAAACAATGTTCAGGGGCCATGTGTTTTTTAGGTGGCCAGGGCCACATTGAGGTATGTCACGATTTTTTACTTAGTACTAAAACTAAACTGCTAAGAGTTTCATGTTTTCTATCTTACTATATGGAGCTGAAACTTGGACATCAAGTAAGAAAATTGAGGCTCTAGAAATATGGCTGTATCGTCGAATTCTAAATATCCCATGGGCAGATTGTATATCCTACTTGAGGGTACTTAAAAAAATGAGAAAGGCTAAAGAATTATAACTATAAAATCTCGGAAACTAGAATATCTGGGTCACATAAGTAACGAGAAATAACCAAACATATGGATTACTGTAACTTATACTTCAAGAGAAAATAAGTATTGGAAGACCTGAAGGATATCATGGGTGAAAAATCTCCAAGATTGGTTTGGCGCAACATCAAGTGAATTATTTCGTACATCAGGAAAAAAATTATTTATTATGATTTCCAACATCCGAAATGGATAGAAACCCTAAGGCCCAAGTAGAATAGATTAAATATCCAATATGTATTTGTAACCTGTGTATTTACTGGGAACATTTGGTGATTATACAATACCAAGACATTGGTCATAATTCGCGTAAAACTGTGTATTGAAAAAAGTTGTAATTTTCATTTTTCCCTAGAATTTCTATAGGAAAAATAGTATTGTAAATTGTGATGTCATGAGATAGTTTGACGAAAGCCAATAAAAACCAATAAAGAATTTTAAGAATTTTTCATCATAGCTATCATCGTATATATAATAGATAACTATATAATTATATATATATAAATATGAGATAGTAGGTATAATATTTATAGATGTATTATCAAACCAATTTTGCTACAAGACTTGTGGCGCTACCAACAGAAAATAACAATAACTGAAAATGTATTATCTAAGAAAAACTAAACATGATAATATTAAAACGTAAATACTAAATACTAATTCAATTTTTAAAATTTTAAATGAAAAACGAAATTGATCAACAATTGCTGATGGTACTTGAAGTTTGAGTAAGCGTTACAATCAAGTATCACATTATCATTATCGACTTTTTATAATAAATGCTTTTTTAAATAATATGTTTGAAACCCTCGTGCTTTTGTAGAAAGTATGGAACAATTCTTCGCTTACCAAAAGGATAGTCGAACACCGTGTAAATATGGTAGAAAGTGCTTTCAGAAGAATAAAGAACATTTAGACAAATATAAACATCCCCCTACTAAAGTAAGATGGTTTTGTTTAGTGTTGCATAAATGTCTATAATATTAATTCAAATGTGATTGTATCAGGAAGATGTAAAAGTGGATACCAAGAAAATTGCAAAAAAACGAGATTCCCGAGGAAAAGTCAAACTTGAGAACACAAATAGAAATGGAGAATCGTCCAGTGTTAATGGCCATAATTCCAATGATAATTTTCCGCAAGGTATGATCAAAATTTATTTATGTATATCTAATATAAAGTACTAACCAATAGCATTTCATTGAGTTTAGTTCCTTGATGTATTTTAAATGTGGGCAGGAATCTTAATAGAAGAGAACATATTATTTTTAACTTTTTTTTTATTAGATGAAAATGATATGGAAGTTCCTGAACAATTAAACGATTTATCTGACAGCGAACCCTCTACTAGTCGAAGTAATGATGAGCAAACTGAATCTATAACTAATCAGCAAAATATAATGAACATTCAATCTCTTCTACCTTCTAGACAACGTTCTCAACAACAACAATTGCTATTGGTAATATGACATCCAAAATGTATAGGAATAATTAAAAAATGTGCAGTTTATACTCATATTTGTATGGTAAAGTTATAATATTTGTATAGTGTTTTGTAATTTTAACTTAAAGAATATCCATATAAAGTATATTTATCGTACACATACAATTTATCCTAGGCTGCATTAAGTGGTGGCAAGTATTATGTGTAGCTTCTGGTACCAACATTTTGAACCATTAAGAGGGGTAGAGGCAAGTGTATATAATATATTTTAAGTGGGGAGGGGGGTTGTTTTAAAAGAGCTTCCCCAGGGTGCAAAATGACCAGTTACAGTTTTGAGTGTGTCAGGAAAAATATCTTAATAATAATTGTAGGTTAATTAATAATTCAAAAATAATTTTATAAACACTCTAATTGAAAAACTACCACTGACCAAAGTTGCTTTAGCTTCTAACAAAACTTAGATCTCGCTAAACAATTTCTGTATTTTTAAAATAACTTATCATAAATACTTTTACATGCTTTCTGTAAGCTACTTATTTAATGTATTTAATATTTTACAGACAAATAATGCCTTAGAAGATTGTAGTGGTGATGATGGTATAGTACCCAGTACACCTACATTGCTTATACCAAGACGATTAGATGGAGAAACTGTTAGCTCTCCTCATGTACCCTCAGGCAGTCAAGGACCCAGGTTTACTTTTCTTGGGACCTCTCAAAATTCTCATGTTCACGGTAATTTTTATACTATTTCATATTTTTGTTTTATAATATTATATATATATATATATATATATATATATATATATACTTGTTTTATTGTTGATCTACATTCTTTTACAAATGTTTCATCTTGTTTCTTCTTAATACTACTAATGTTAATTTTATAGAAGTAGTCAGTGAAAACGCATTAAGTGATTTTTATAGTAAGTGGATACCAATTAGATTGAAGTGTGCTAGTTGGAAAAAGAATGATGAAATAAAGACGTATGAGTTTAGCAGAAGTGAGAAATTCTCACTGAGAATGTCAAGGTTTATGTGTAGGCTTTTATTTTTTTTTGCAAAATTAATCTTAAGTATTTAAACATCTTATTTTTATTTAACATTATTGTTTAAGTATAATAAGTTCTCTAACTTGCATGATGTATCTTATTACTATTTGGAGACTGTATTTATTGGCAGTTGTGACCAATAAATATAATAATTACGTATAAATATATAATAATATTGTATATTAAAAAAATTAACTAAACATGTTAACATTTTTAAAATATGTCTATGTATAGACATATTTATTTTTAATTTATTGTATTTTGCCTTATGGTCAGATTCCAATGATGGAGAACAATCAGTATCGTCAGAACGAGTTGTAGTATCAGAGACTGTAATTAATTCTACTTATTGGAACACACAAATATCTAAATTATTTCTTGTTGGTGATATGCCTGAAGAATTTTACAACTTATGGTCTTTTTGTAAAAGACAAAACCCTACTCATCCAGAAGGTTTGATTTATAAAATGTCCTGTATTATTTGAATGTATTAAAACATTCATGAGTTAAAATATTAATTTGATATTTTTTGGATGTTTTTAACAAACACATGGATACATCCGAAAATGATCAAATTAATATGTATATCTATTTAATATTAATAAATATTGTGGAAAATAATATTTTCCATTAATGTATTTGATTTAGATACATTTTTATCTGTTGGGTTGAAGTTGGTTGGACCATATGATGTCTTAGCTGGCCACTTTAATGAATTTTGTACTAATAAAGAAGAAAATGCAGTTTTACATTGGCGTTATTACTATGATCCTCCAGAATTTCAAGTAAATATTAAAATATCTTGTTATGGGTTAAATACTAAATTATTCATACATTAATAATATATTCCCAACCTTCATTTAGGTCAGGGGTGGCACATTTTTTTTTGACCTTGCATGCTTTAAATAAAAATTTGTCATTTAAATTATTTTATTTATACAGTAAACAAATAAAGGATTTTATAAAAAAAATAATAGTATTACTTTTTAAAGTAATACTAATATTTTTAATTAAGTACTTAATGAGTTGCTTGATACAGTTTTTTCTATTGTATGCTTGGTGACAATTCATTTATATTAGGTTTATAATTAGTATTTTTCTTGTACCATTAATTTACCATCCCTATTATCCATTCCAAAAGAGAACATACCGGTTTGCGCATCACGAATGACGGCTGGCGGTCGCTGAAAGGCAAATTTCTCCCACTCTTGCTGAAATGTGGTGCCAATATTACCCAGCGGTCGCCGTCCAAGCTACGAATCTAACCGAAGCACGTCGCGGTGGGAGGTGCTAGGCGGGAGATGCGTGCCGCCAAACATACCGATCGCCGCCCAGTATGTTTTCTTTTGGAATGGATAATAATTTATGCCATAATCACTACTATAGTCATTTTCTACATTCCTCGTCCTTGATTTTCTTTCATTGTGATAAGGTTTATTCATTTTCCTGGAATGCTTCAAAATAGATCTTAAGTCTTAAAATCCTAATTGCGTTTTCTTAGTTGTGTTGTTTTAATATTTCTCTTCATCTCAGTACATAGATACTTATTTTTATTATTTTTTTTTTTATTCAGACAATAATAAGTAGTACAAATGGTTCTCAGTATCACATTGGTTATTTTAGAGATGAACCTTTAGCAGTGCCAGTTTTTGTAGCTTCAAACGATTCAGATAAAAGTTGTGTTATACAAAATCTTGGTCAAAGTTTATTTCAAGCTCTAAGGTATGATAATAATTTAACAAATATTACATTTTTTGTGAATGTTGTTTATATAATTATAATTACAATAATTATTATGTTTATATAATAATGTTATCTTTTTGGTAAATAGGAAATATTTGCATACTAAAGAAGGTGACGTAGCACATTCTCTTCAAAAAAAGTTGTATGCATTTGAAAAACGTAAGGTTAAAAAAATACTGGAAGGTCGTCAAGGCACTCCTGTGGCTAAAACTTTTCATAAAGCGGGTATTTTTGTTCCGTACGATCGTAAAACTGATATTGGATATCGACCATTGTCAGAGCCAGATAGTAAGATACAATAAAGTATATATTAAGTATTAATACTATAACATTTTTTAATATCACAGGTGTATTAAGAAAGATTTTCAAGTTCTATCGTGAAGCCTCTGAAAATAAAAAAGTTTCCGAAATGGATAAATTACTACCCATAATAAATTATGCGAATATAGCAACTGATGAATGTGACTTTGGAACAGGACTTGAATTAGGCATTGATATTTTTTGTGATGGAAATCCTGATCTTCATCGCATATGTAAACAGCTATTAGTCACTTCGTATAATTTATTGAGGAGACCTCAATTTGCTACTATTATACAGGTATATAAATATAACAATGAAATTAATTAAAAGTGATGTGATGAACTGTTATATTTAAAACCAGGTCTGGTTTAAAAATCAAACTGTATAGTTATATATTATATATAAATTGCAAAATAAAGATCTAATTGTGGTTTTCTAAGGGTGGTCCTCATTTAAAAAAATTATGACGGGTCAGATTTTATGTTGTAATACGTTTTACTAAAAAAAGGTTGTATTGTTTTTATCAGTTGATAATATCACATAAATACAGCTTTTTGTTCAATCAAGCCGATCGACGTGACTGTACTGTCAGCGTAACTCCATGGCATTACTAGGTCATGTGATTATGGGCATTCAAGTTATCAATTCGGTAATATATTTTTATATACCTATGTTTATAAAGGTTTATATGTATAAACCCAAATACGACGATAACCGTGCTTGCACCACCCGGATGCTCCATCTATTAGTATAAGGTCTATGACTGTACTTAAGAATTGTTCCTTAACATAATTTATTATTTTAATTAAATTAGTCATTACCAATAGTGGTGGATTTGTGTTATAATTAAACAATTAGTGTTGTCACCATTTGTAGTGTTACTAATACAAACACGATAAACAAGTACCATAAGAACACATTTATAAAAATTTAATTCTGAGTTAATTTTTAAATAACGTGCATTTTTTCCATCATAATTTAATCTGGTTTGAATTTTAATTTATTGTTTGATTTGGTTTGTGATTAAAAAATGTCTAAGTTTGGCTTAGAAAATTTAAAATAACTTCAATTAAAACTGAAAATTGAGGTTCGTCACATCACTACATATTTGTACCTTAAACTAAACTTGAATTTTTATATGTTTTTGTTATATAAGGCTCATTTAAACAACAGAAGAAAAGACGGAAACATGAGTATACTGTGATCATGTTTTAATCTCAAACATTTTTCTATTTATTCATATAATTTTAATTGTATTTATTTAAGTTAAGTCACCATTTAATAAAAAAATATAACAAATGATTTAAGTAAGATAATTATTAATTAAAATCAAATGTTTGTTTTTAGTTAATTTTTTACACAGTATAATAAATGTTTGTATGAGAAAAATAGTGTTTTATTATTATATATAATCGTTATTTCACTTAAGCCAACATTAATTCTGTTAATATTTAATTCTTAATTTAAAATTTAAAATATCTAATTAGTATAATTTGTTTTACATTGTTATAATAACATTTAAAATAACATTTAAAATATTTGATGTATGTACAGGTTAGTAGAGTTTTACTACCCTTTTTTTAAATTCTTATAAAATTAAAATTTATTAAGTTTACCTATTATTTAAAACTAATGATTTTCACAATAACACTATTTACAACCCAATAAGATAAGTGGAATAAGCAGAATTTGTTAAGTGTTGTCGGTAATTTAATTATCGCTGCTTCAGCTGGTTTTATTTTAGAGGTGTACAGCTATAAACAAAAACGTTTTAAGTAAGTGGTTAATATTCTTAGTACAGTTGGTTTAAAAAAATATAAATGTGTTTCAATAGTTAATAGATTATTATCTACTCTTCTTTTTGTCAATATAATGATTTTATATTAAAAAAAATCTCTGATATAAACTGTTAAGTAACATGTTACCATATAAAAAATAAAATTATCAGAATTTATTTTATTAGTTATATTATATAATGACATTAGCGTTACTATTAAAACTTGATTCATTATAATTGTTATGGTTGTAAAATATGTACTTCATAAATTGGTTTTACAATTTGAATACTAGTTACAATTTATTTTGTAATTTACAAGTTTAAATATCAAAATCATAATTAAAAAAAAAATGAAATTTCTTGTAAGTTTTTATATTAGGTGTAGTATTTTTTTTTTAATGTAAAGGAATGTTTGATTTGTCAACTAGTAAATCAAGTATGATTAAAAATTAAGTTGGTGTGTAAAACGTGATTGTTGTGAAATAATGTATAAAGTAATTTTATTGGATATTTATATACATTTTTTTTAATAGCCTTTATTGGGAAATATGATGGCTCGGATTGTATAAGTAAATATTACATTATTAACACAACAAAAATGTTTACATGCATATCACATTTTTAAATATATCTTTTTGTGCTACTCGATAATTGAACGATATCTAAATTAGTTATAATGACCAATTATTAGTGCAGTTACTTCTGTTGAAAAATTAACACTTTTTTTCCAGATTATAATTTTTATTTTAACAGTGTGCTTGTGGATACCTAACGTAATTGGTGCAAAAATATTGGCTTTTTTTCCACCTCCAATTTATAGCCACTTGACTGGGTTTCATTCATTATTTGAAGAGTTAGCAAATCGTGGTCACAACATTACTGTTGTTAGCCCTTTTCCACCCAAACAACTGATGCCACCTACATATACGCATAAGGCAATTGCAAACGGTACAATTATTTAATACCTTTTCAATATTGATCATTTTTACAACCCAAAAAGTTAATAACCTAAATTAATTTTGTGATTCTACAGTAACAGACAGCAGACATATTTATTATACTATTTTATTTAAACCTAATTCAGAAATTCTTTAAACATATCTAATTTATAATTTCCAATTGTTTTTTTCTTATATTTTTAGTAAATACTGTGAAAATAAAGAAACATAAAGATCCTATGAAAATTCGACATATTTATCGCTTGTTAAACATGTTAAATGTAAAACTTCGCATGACGAACCTTATTAAAGAAACTTTAGAACTTGATGATGTAAGATCATTTCTAAATGACACCAGGTTCAATTTTGATGTTGTGCTTACAGAGTGTTGGTATAGCGATGTTTATCTTGCAGTAGGACATAGGTAAAAGTCTACTGACAAATATTATATTTTTAATCGATAATGCATTTTTGAACAATTGTTCTATATACATGTTTAATAGATACTCGGCTCCAGTCATATGTTTAAGTCCCATGTTGCCAACAGTTGGTCAAAGTAATTTCCTGGACATGCCGATCAATCCAGCATACATACCTTCTTTTTGGATGTATTACTCGGACACTATGTGCTTCATGGAGCGACTCGTGAATTTTATTGTTACCTCTGCCGAAATTCTGACCGATTATATAATACAAAAACTACAACAAACTATGTTGGACGATTTATATGAATATCCCGGGCATCATATTTGTCCGTCTTTGAATACTTTGAAAAAAAAAATTGCATTAACTTTTGTTAATAGTCACTTTTCGGTATCTTATTCTAGACCATATCCTCCAAATATGATACCTGTAGCTGGTATGCATTTAAGACCACAAAAACTAATTGAACAGGTTAATTATTAACTGTATTCATTGTTCTTTTCTTGAATTTTACAAATTTTTTTTTCGTGCAGGGATTAATGCGTCTTTTAGACAATGCAGTTGAAGGATTTATATTTTTTAGTTTTGGATCTAATATTAAAATGACAAGTATTCCAGAACACCAGGTGAAAGTATTTATTGATTCTTTTAAAAAACTACCCCAATTGATACTGTGGAAATGGGAAAATGGAACTATTGATGGAATTCCTGGAAATATTCACATGGATAAATGGTTTCCACAGCAATTTATTTTAAGTAAATATAAAATTGAAATATCTTGATCATGAGTAATATTTATTTTAATAATTGTAAAATTTTTTTAATAGACCATAAAAATTGCAAATTATTTATAACACACGGTGGCTATCACAGTCTCGTAGAAGCTATACACTATGGGTTGCCAATTATCGGATTTCCTTTCTATACAGATCAGTTTTATAATATGAAATTTGCAGTAGAAAAAGGATTTGGGATTGAAATGTCACTCGATAAATTAAACGAAAATGTTCTTGACAACGCTTTGGAACAAATTCTTTTAAATCAACGGTTAGTTACACGTTTTATGTTGAATATCACAATTTATTATGACTGCATATGTTTACAGTTTGAAGAATAATGCACAAAAAATTTCGGTATTGCTATCTGATTTACCTAAAGCAACTTCGTTAAATACCGCTGTGTATTGGGTGGAGTATGTCATCAGAAATGGTCAAGGCCCTCAAGAATTTATTATTTCCGATTTAAATTGGTTTCAATACTGGTCAATTGATGTTGTACTTTTTGTTTTTAGTATTTTATTTTTTATAATATTTGTTTTATTGAAACTGATTTGTTGTTATATTGGCAACAATAAATAGTTAATTTATTTATGATGCAGATTATATTGTGTAAGAATTTAATAATTATTACAGCTCAGTTAATAATTTCTAATTTTAAAACTGTAGCAAGGCCTGCAATAAATGTTAGGCACTAGTGACAAGTGACCAAGATAAAGTTTGAGAGTTAACACATTGGGAAAAATAAGGTAAAATATATTGAGAAGGTTTTAGAGCAATAATAAACAGGAATTATGTTATGTAAAATGAGAAGAAGTGGATGGATAGGATAAATAAAGAAGCAATGACGGATAGCAATATTTTGTGGAGAAAAAGTTTGCAGCACAACAGACATCAGCGACTAACCGCCAACAATCTTTTTAAATCGCAATATTATAATATAAATTATTTTTTTAGACTTTCAAGGATGTGAATTACCAATATCCAGATTATATTAGGTATATGTGTGAACATGGGAGTTGCTGGTAAAGGACGTTAATAACGTTTTTAACTTAGCTGACTATATAGTATATTTGTCGAACGGTATATTATAATTATTTCAAAAATCGTATGTAATTTTTAAAAAATGTTTATCAAACACACTGTTTTTATAAACATTATACCTATGATGTTATACTTATAGATGTTAGATCACAGTCCACAGAATAGATTAAAAATTTAATTTTGTCTTTACTTAGTACCTACTTACTCTATTCTGTGGTTAGATGGTAGACCGTAGTCGTTACGTTATAGTAGGGTTAGCAGTTTATACTTTGAAGTCTGTATTTTATAAATTTAGAATTTAGCTGCAGCAGAGCTGTCGTTGGCTGTTGCCAAATTTTATAGATTATAATTTATTAAATTTGGGCTCTCCGCTGTTGCTATTTGCTGCCGCCTGCCAGCTGCTGTATATTGTCATTTGTCAATGCCCTATGGTATTGTAATGTGTTATCATAGTTTTAGATTATCATTATTAAAAGTGCTTATCATTTATGACGCAGTAGGCATATCATTGGCCATTGCGGTCTGAATCACAAAACCGGTATTATAAGCTTGTCTGTAGAGGATAAAGGTAAATGAAAAATACGTAGTATAATATTCTCACATAACACATTTCAGAACTGTCTTTGTGTCTTGTATCGCTGATATTATTGTAGGTTAATTTTTCATTTTTGTTTAGTACATGCTGTTGACCATTGTAGGCATCTAATTTTTTTAATATACGTTTCATAATTCCTATTATTAAATATAAATATGTCGGCTCAACTAGAACATGTGAAATCGGCCGTAAAGGATTCTCTGTATGATGATTCTAAACCATGGAGTAAAATTTTTGCTTGGGCCGAATTACAAACGGGATTCAATCGATTATATATATTTATTGGTAAGTATAATTTACCATTTGTGTTTAAATTGAGTGGCGTTTATATTTTGTTGCGCGATGACTCATATTAAGCCATTGTCTATTACAATTAGTGTAAAATTGTTGAAAATATAACTGTTGATCTATGATAGCTAGACTGAAAAAGATAATTACAAAATCATAATTTTCTGTTACGTTCGTAGAAATCGGTGATTGGATAATTAATTTGAATTGAGTTATATTTTTGTATGTTTTAACAAAATAGATAAATAACTATTTATAACCAAGAAAATCCTTACTTATGGTATTATTTGCATAGTGTTACAGTTCTATTTTTAACAGTTTTGACCAGAAAAGATTAAATTGCAATATTTACATGTTAGAAATTAATAGAAAATATTAGTATTCTCTTTTTTTATGGATATTATTTCGGTTATCTTTTGAAGCAATTAATATCACAATTAAAATATAAATTATGTCTTTTGGAATAGATGCTAAATATTAAATAGAGCTTTCTGGACATTATTGAAAATGTAATAATACATTAAATATAAAATTACAATCTTACACTATTGTCTCTATAGTAGAAGTTGATATTATATCTGTTTTTGATTTTGTCTGTTTAGACCAACACGTTAAAAATAATATTTTCTTTATAAATTTTTACGAGATACTTTCAAAATTGAAATAAAATGTATAAGTATATATTTCTTAAACATAATATCTTACCGAATAGTGTATGTAAATATTCTATTAATATTCATGTTTAAAAACAATTTCAGGACTGGTGGTTTTCACTGTATTCTACTTGGTAATTGGTTATGCGACATTGCTGTTAAGTAATGTTATTAGTTTTTTGTACCCAGCATATGCATCAATTAAAGCAGTTGAATCTCCTTCTAAAGATGATGATACAAAATGGTTAACATACTGGGTTGTATTTTCATTTAGTACCATCATTGAGTTTCCAGCACAAGTTGTTTTGAATTGGATACCATTTTATTCATTAATTAAGGTTAGTAAATCATAAATCCGATTTAAAATGTTTATATAATTGGTATATCATCATTGCTGCGAAAAAACTTCCCATGTGCTAAAACGTGTAAAAAGATTTATAGTTGGTAATTTATAATAAGTATTATTTTTCATTTATTCTACAATGGAGATAGTACGTTGGAGATTTCATCATATAATAGCTTTTTTTTTCTGTATCGAGGGATACCAACACCTCAAAGTTGTAAAATTGGCACATAGGAGGTTTTTTGCGGCAACGAAAATAAATTGTTTTTACATTTTCATACATGCAAACAATTATTAATTGATTAAATTACTTGGAACTAATTTATTTTATCAGAATTTTTTACGATAAGTACTTTTTACGCTGATTTGAAATATGCTAAAATGTTAAACCTCCCGCAATTAGTTTAGAAGTTACTAAAAAAATAATTAATTAATTATTTCTAAACTATAGTAATAAGGTAATATCTAATAAGTATACCACAAAATAAATTAAATCAGAAAGGAGAGTTTCAATGTAAACAAAAACGTGGCGGCCATGTTCAAAACCTGCTATCATTATAATAAATTATATCTATTCATAACTAAAAATAATAATGTATAGATATCATTTTATTTATTATGGTTATAGCAGGTTTAGAACTTGGCCGCTTTGTTTTTGTGTGATAAGTATTTTCCCGGTGTTAATTTTTATCAGTGTTTGAGGCCTGTGTATACTATATTGGAAAAAAAAAAGATAAAGAAAGGCAGGGAAATAAAGAAAACGTGGTCACTAATTGCCATGAAGTATCTGTGCATACGCGCGTAATCTTTAAATGTTTATAATTATATACTTCTTAACTAATTGCGAGCAGTGCAACTTTTTTTGCAGATTTGTAAAAGGCTTTAATGTAACTTTATTTTCTAACAAACCATTTTTAAAATTATTATTTATTGTTATTGTTACTATTTTCTTTGAATAATATACAATTGTGTTATTATTTATTACAGACAATATTTTTCGTGTGGTGTTACATACCAATCCACAATAATGGTTCAGTGGTTGTGTACAACAAATTTATTCGACCATACTTCTTACAACATCAAGATGATATTGATCAAGCAGTAAATAACATATCTAAAAAAGGTAATGTATAGAAGTGAATATTATTATTATTTATACATTGGCTTGTTATGTTTAAGTAGATGATTGTTTCAAGAATAAATGTGGTATTAAGTAATATTTTTATTTTATCAGCATTTAGAAAAAAATGCTATTTATTTGGAAATAAAAATTATAAATTAATCAAGTACAAAGAAGTTTTTGTAATTTTTTTTTTCAAAAATATTAAGAAGTATAATTTAGTAGAGTACAAGTTTTATTTTAAGTATATACAATTAAATAAAGCTCCGTGTAAATCATACTTTTAAGTTAATAAAATACATTTTTTTTTACAGCTGCACAAGCTGCTGTCGACAAATTAGTTGACAAGAAAAACTAAATAAAGGATATGTTGGTTTGTTAAATTAATGTGTCAATTCACTGTGCTACTATTGTTAAAAGGTAACTTAACTACAAGGATATATTATTAGATATAATGATGACCTAGTTATTAGTTAATAGTAACACAAATTAAAGATGTTTAAGACATTTTAGAATGATTTGAATAGTTAGTGTATAACTCATTTTGGATTAGTATAAGATAGTAAGTATTGAATATGACATTAATACAAAAATAATATACTAATATTATATTCTAAGATTTGCTGTATAACTATAAAATTAATATTTAAATTTATCACAAAATAAATCGTAATATTCTATATTAAAATAATCAAAAACATAATTTTTTATTTCAAGGATAGGCTGATCACAGTTGATAAGTAAATTAAATTTATAATTGTATAAAAATTGTTTGTAAAACATTAATTTACATTTTATATCAACATGTACATTTTATTTTTTATTGCTATACAGAACTAATGAGAGGGAACTGTTGATCACATGACCTCTTCTTGTTATCAGTTGTTTATTTACCTACATAGGTATAAATCCCCTTTATCAAATTTATAATAAATGACTCATAATTTGGTTTTTGATACCTTTTTTAAAAATTATACATCTGTGTTTCATTATACATGAAATTTAAAACTTTTATATTGTTAATAGTTCAGTTATATTATATTATTATAAAATAATAAATAATAGTAACAGCTGGTTAAAGTTTTCATGGATTAATACATTTGTTTTTCTGTTGTATCCATGTCTTTAATTACATTCTATGTTTTGGAACTAATGTAGGTACCATGAATAATGTGTTCACTGTATTATTGCAGTAGACATTGCTAAAGTAAACATTTTTCAGGATCTGAAATATTATTTAATGTTGTGGATAGTAGTGTTATAATATAATTATCATTACTCTAAAAGTACTAATGCATAAACATGTAAATACTTAAAAAATAAAAACAAATTTATGTAAATGTTCGTATACATTTATTTTAACAAACATTATGTCAGAAGTAATTTTGATAATTGTACAATTTAACTTTGTTTGCGTTTATTTTATACATAGTAACAAAGTACAAATTAATTGGTTTTTATTTAATTACTAATGACTAATTTATAATTTTTTAAATATTATATTTTAAAATATTTTTCTTATTTATTTCAGGAAAATGGAAGGATTATTTAAAATTATACATACATTTCACTGTTCTACACTGCTGGTATTATTGTAGTTCTTAAAAATATGTTTTAATAAGTACATAATATATATTTTATTGTTTTATTTCCTATACAATATAATAAAGGTGTATTTTTAAACTGTATTTATTGGTTGTTTTTGGGTACAAACATTTCCTTCATTAGCCTATTGCCACTACTATTAACAAAATTTTAGACCATATACCAAAGGTTCAAATATAAGTGATAAATTAAAAATATTTTGTTGATTAAATAATTTTTAAGAAAAATACTTGCAAATAAAAAATATAAAACGTACTACACCTATGTTGTAATGTAAACATTTTGTGGTTACTTATGAATGTATTTATGTATAACGTGCAATTTTTAAAAATAAGGTATTCTTTGAATGGTATTGCTATTTTAAAAATTAATTTACGAATGTATTACTTTTATTTTAAAGTTTGGTTAATTTAAACATTATATGTTGAGTTGAATACCGAATATGAATGTAACATTAAACAATAAATACTATAAAAAAAACCGGTTAAATTAATATTACCTGCGTGAAATAGAAAATTAAAAAAAATGTATATTTGTCATTTTTTAAATTTTATTTATAAATTTTAATCACTTGAAGAGTAAAACTAAATAATTAAGTCAACAATCTAATGTATTGTCACTGTATATAATTAAAAGTAAAGGTATTTTTTCGCCTTCATAAATTATACCTTTTGATTGATTTAAATTTTTGTGCAAATAATATCATTTATGACTAACTTGGCACATGTTTGACACCTTATATAGTTATATGGCTTAAAGCAATGTCTTAAAACTAAAAAAAATAATGATAACCATAGAGATCAGTGTTTACTGTTTCCTATTCGCAGTGTTGTACGAGTATTCTATATTTTACAAGATTTTTCTATTATAATATTAATTATTTTGAACATGAATCTTATTTCCTAAGTTACCGACCAGTTTAAGTTGCTATTGAATGTCTCGTAACAATACGTTTTAAAACTATAGTGTATTTTTAATTATTACTATTATTAAGTTATGATTGATGATCATGAGTCGTGAAAACGAAGCGGACTTTCCCCTCGATGGTAAATTATGATTGTATGATTAACTGAATAACATGTATTTATTTGATTAAGGCTACATTTATTCTGCAGAGTTTTATAGATACATAGACTTTATACAAGTACTAAGTAGTGTAAAGTCTATGGTTTTATGTATAGTATAAATAGGAACTTATGGCATTCTGTTAATATAATATAAAAACAACTTTATTTTGATAAAAATAAGCAAATTTTGTGAGTTGCCTTATGACACTGTTTGCTTATCAATACGGAGTACATAGTTATTTGATATTCGGCATTACTAATTTTTAAAAATAAACGATAATAAATTAAATGTTACGCGAAAATGGTACTTAATACCGAGCATAACACATAATACTAAATAATGCAAACTAATTAATACTTATGAATAGGTAATTAGTTTTAACAGTGAATTTAAATGCCCTAGATTAGTTCTAAATATTCAATAAAAAAATGACTAAAATCGTAAGTCATTATTTTAATGTTAACACGTGCCGGTAACAACTTAATTTTTAATAGGAGAAGCGTGGAATAGATTTGTTCATACATGCAAGTCTGAGTCGAGTTTTCCAAACAAAATGTTTTAAAATGTATGTTCTTTTTATATTAAAAATAACAATTAAGACGAAAATGGAATAGCTTACTTAGGTACTTTTAAAGTTATGAGTAAAAATGTAAACAATTTGTTTAGCATTTAAAATAATGGTATAGACGGAAATTTAATAACTTTCTTAGTTACTTTTAAAGTTATAAGTAATTCATTATATTTATATGTAAATTACGGGCTTTGGAAAAATGGGTTTTTGACAGTGTTTTGAAAAAATTAAGTAAACTAAGTTTTTGCTTATTACTTTAAAAGTAAATACAACCGCTATAATCTGAATTTGTCGTTGTCGACGTTAAAAAGTACACGAACTACAAGAAATTTTATTTGAAAAAGTTTTTTGTATGAACAAATCTAGGCCACGCTTCTTCAGTCTATTAAAGAGTAAGTGGCAATCAAAATTAAGGGAAAAATTTTTGGTGGTTCATTTTTGGTATATTTGGAACTAATCTAGGGGGCGTTTCGGTTAAAAGTCAGAAATTTGCAAAATAAGCACCTCACAAAATTCTAATACAAACTTATACCGAAATATTTGTAAAACATTTGTGTAGAAAAAATTGTGACAAAAGAGATTGATCAAATTTTTGGGAAAGATGGCGTTAACAAGCTAAAACAATTTTCGAACTCAAATGATGTGTTTTTAAAGTATGTATACATTATTACTATACATATATATTTCTAAAACACGGTAATGCATATAGCTACGTGCAGTATTTTTCTTTAATTAACTGTTTCTAAATTGCAGTAAAAAAAATTTAAAAGATGCTCTAGATACATTAGCAGATACCATGTATTTCGAGGAAATATTAGTAGAAGAAAACATGTTCTTTAAGAGTTTTGAATACTTCAATACAAAAAACCAGTATGGTAATATAGTTTACACACCCTTCGATACTATACACTCTAGGAATGGCATGGCCACTATAAAAGCCAACTATGGAGTTAGTAGTGGAATGTATCAATACGAAGTCCAACTCTGTACAAATGGTATTATACACATAGGATGGGCTACTCAAGCTTGTGTGTTCACTGATTCTACTGGAGTGGGTAATTTAAATCAATTGAACAATTATTATATTTATTTGTTTATATAATAAAATATTAGGCTTGGGCGGTCTACTATAGTTTTATTTGGTTCTTGAAAATTTTTAACGATTTAACATTGTATGACAAATATGTCCTATTTTAAGGGCTTTTTACGATTTCGAAGGGAGAAATTGTAGCAATTTTTTTTTAACTGATTTTACGGAAGTATTATGTATAATGTACTGTACTTATACGATATTACAAAAAAATATGTATACCTACCCGCGGTTCCATATTAGATTTACCAACAGGTATTTAAAAATAGTGAAAATTAACATTTTTATATTATGATCATTTCTACGAAAATTTGTAATTTGCTGTTCAGACAACTAAAAAAACTTATTTTCCTTTAATGTGACAAATAATATTTGATTATTTTATGAGTATTTCCACAAGACAGCAAAAACAAAATGATATTTCATATTCGGCGCATCGCTTCTATAAAATAATATTGCAATAGAAACTGTGATTATTAGCTTGTTTTTTTTATAAAAATTACAAATTTATAATGCAAATTTATCTAGGCGAAACATTGAATTCTTATGGTTTTGACGGTTATCGGACGGAGAAGTGGAATAATTCGGTAAACTCTCAATACGGGACGAAGTGGAGAGTTGGAAATATAATTGGTTGTGTAATTGATTTTACAGACAAAACTATTGAGTACTTCAAGTAAAACGCTTTTTTTCATGCAATTTCTTAAGTATTCATCAGATTTTATAGTAAAAAGTCTGCAAACTTCATATTTTATACTTTATCTTATTCATGTTTGTTCTGGTGTCTTTAGCAACGGCCAATCATTAGGCAAAGCATTCGAAGATATGAATATTGATAGTTTGTCTTTTTATCCTGCTATAAGTCTTAATAGCGAAGAGACCGTATCAGTTAATTTGGGTAAAAGACCCTTTAAGTTTATAGTTGATGGAGCAAGGTCAATAATTGACTCGCCGACAGTACTTGTTGATTATTTTAAACGACTACAACCAAAATTGAATTCATTACTCGGGTTAACTACTAATACGTCCAATAGCGTATGTATAGTATAATAATACATAATGCTAATACTTTATTATTTTACCATGTTGGAGTCTGAATTTTCATTATTCCTATTTATATATCTTTAATTTTATACTTTAGCGTAGCTCGAGTGCGTGTGGAGAATACGAATGTATGTCTTTTAAAATACTTTAATTTTCAAGGGTCAGCTTTAAGACTATCCTTGTTTATTTTTTTTTGTAATGGATCAATTTGCAAGGGATATACAGGGGAAATGCACCTTGAATGTTTTAGTATAAGAGTAAAGAAGTTTTAGATTAGAAATTCAAAGTAGAGCAAAATAAGGAGGCGGCGGAGAAAAGTCTTGAAATAATAATTAGATATAAAAAAATAATATGTAGAAGTGGAGTTTAGTTACGCCAGTGTAGGAGGTAGAGAACATGTTTTACTTGGAGAGCAAATGGTAAATCGAATTGAGGACATTAAGTATTTAGGGATTAGGTATGCATAAAATCGATACAGTTGAAGGAAATATGCCAAGTAAAAAAAAGTGAGTATAAGGTGTAAATGAGACATCAGGCGTACTGTGTTACAGAAAGATGTCATTTAGTATGAAAGAAAATTTGTAATTATGTAATGATAGCAGTGTGTGTGTGTGCCAGGTATCTAAATGATGCATACCTGAATAAAGTGAAATGGTACTTTTTTTACATAGGTATAATTGTGGAATAGGTACTTAGCTAATTGCTAACTACAACTTTAACATTTATATATTTTTATGTTTATTTATTCAACGTGTTTATACATTCAAATTTAGGTAAAAGATGCACGGAAGCGAAATAACCAAATTATTGTTAGAGATACCTTAAAAACAATACTGCTTCGACAGCTTGGTACTTTGGCGTCAGTACCATATTTAACTGATGTTTGTCTGATGGAATTCATAGAAGCATTATACAAAAGAAAACCTAAAGACATTTTAGTTTTTTTAGAAATGATGTGGACGTACATCGAAGTAGGATATTCCTTTATAACTTGAGGATAAATAATAAATAATTATGACCTCAAAATTTGTACTTATAACGTTTTGACTGCTGAGTATAGAACTAAAACGTTTAATATATTTTTAGTTATAAATAGTAAATATATATTTTTTAACCACCAAGTTTATACCGATAATACTGATAATAAATATAATAAAGTATTGTGTAGACTACATTATAACAGAATATGTGATTACCAAAGACTTAATTTGAAAAAATTGCTTATATATCTTTGTAATAGAAACCAAAATCGTAGTAAAAGTGTAACTATAAAATTTTGTTTTATACAGGAGAATAACATGGATTTAATTATGCAGAATATTTCATTTTTTTTACTAACTGAATTTAAATGTATTTGGAGAAATGGGTTTGATACGTCACACCAAATAATGGTGATTAAACTTTTGATAGAATTTTGCCAAGAAACAAAAACCAGAAGACATTTGATTAAAAAAATTCTGTTTGATAAAGTTCGGTAAGTAAATTATGATTTTTATGGAAATAATTAATAATAATAACAAAAAAAATATTTAATTATATCCACAGAGTCTCGTATTTTTTACATATTATAGCACCTTCTGATGAAATATTTCAACTAATTGTTCCGGATGCATATTGGAGTTTAGAACATGTAGAATTAGCTGATGACAATTTAAAATCTAGATTAATGTCTACTTTGTCAAATGGAAATAGGAAACATTCAAAATCATCATATAAAAATGCATGTGCTAGAATTCAGGAAGCAGTCAACAGTTAAAATTATTATTTTATTTCCTTTAACCTTACTACATTAGTATACTAGTTAAATGTACATCAGTCAGTACTTCAAAATATAATATATGTCATCATATTAATTTAGGCATAGAAACACAGCAGATAGCATTTTTAGAAAAATTGTTAAATGACAACGACCAAACTGAAACGGAAGTTAGCTCTAGAGTTCTTTTTTCCAGAAGGTTACATGGTTTCATTCAAGAAAATATGATTTATTGGAGAGTAAGTACCAACTACAAAAATTAATATTAAAATAATTAATTAATTAAAAATATGTTTTAAAAATATAAGCTAAAGAAAGACCCATTTTTAGCAATATGTAATATAATCTATTGTATAAAATCTAATATACTCTTAAAATTATAACACTTTTAATACATAAAATCATTTACATAGAGCGATCCAATGTTCAGACTTCCTGGACCTGTTTTACTGAGCACGTTTTTCCGTTTGGCATTTGTGTTGCAACGACTTTGGAAACAAGAGTTAATGGAATATAAACTTGTTCAAATATATCCAAATATATTTTATGTAGATAGTTTTAATTATTATGGAATAGAAAGAATCGGAGGGACATTTTCTTATTTAAAAAATAAGTACAAAAATGAAATAGATTTAAAACTGCGAGGAACATCTGGAACAACGGATGGGCCAGTCTCTGAATCAAATGACAGTGTTTCTTGTAAGTATTTGTCGGAACTTTATAATCTATTAAATCAATTTTTTGGTTTTTTTTGAAATTGGTGATTTTTATAATTATCTTCTGTGATGGTTTATTAGACGTTTTTATTTATTTGTAAACACACTTATTTATTATTCTTTCAAATAAAGTTTCTTTGACAATAATTGTTGTAGCCAATTAAGTTTGTATTTCTGAAAATTAAATGAGGTAATTTTCTGATAATTGTTTTTTTTTGCAAAATATTAAAATATGTGCCTAATATTAAGTATTGTGTTTGGCAAATTAAGGATTATCTTGCTGACATTAAATTAAATAATAAAAAAGTATTTAGTTGGGTAGTACCCAAATCAAGGACATTTATGATGTTGGAAGTTATCTGGAAACTATGTCGTTAGTTTATATATATCTATATCTAATATATCTTTCCGGTATTATATAGCCGAAACAGAAAACGAAAGGATTTATATAATAATTTTTAAAAAATTGAATATTTTTTTAAAATTTTTATTTACTCAAATGGAACTGATTTGCAGATCTTCAACACGTAAGGTGTTAGCAAATAAAAAATAACGGTCTATAGACCATCCTGGAGCTCGGTAGAACTTTACGGGACACCCCATATATAAATCAACTATTTAAAACCCTATAAAATAACGGTCAATTGTTAACTAACAATTTATCAATGAATCTCCACCGAGTTTATTTTTAATTATATCGTGAAATCCAATTTATTAAATAAATTATCCTTTTTTTCTTACTTAACAGCTTTATTTACGGTATTCTTCCATCTTGTTCGCTTGGTCTACATTCTTTAGAGCATTCCATTTATACACGTAACCAAACAATTCCAGCCACTCCTGTTTCTCATATATTGTATGCTGTCCATAGAACATATTTATGCTATGCTTATTTCTGTTCAGTGTAGATGTACAAATTTCAATCTGCTCTTATTTAATATAACTTAAGTTGTTTAGCCATTTAGCTTCACGTAAAAAAATTGACGAATAGACAATTCGTCTGGGAATCAACCCAGACAGGGTTGATTCCCATCCTAAAAACATTTTTCATGTTAATATGAAATAATCGTTGTATTAAAATTAAATATTTAAAAAATCTGCCTGATCTTTCTGAGTAATCGATGGACTTTGTTTCTGACTGAAGCTAATGAAGAAGTAATAGAAATTGATTCAGCTGCCGGTTTCATGGCTGTCTTAACAAGATTCATTACAGAGGCCCAGGAAAGGAGTGCAAACGTCAACATGAATTCTTCAGCTATCTTAAGAGGAATGCTGTCGTCCCACAGTAATTTGCCAACCGATAAGAGAAGTGTACTTTCAGAAATGCTTAACAATGTTGTTTGTTTATATAACATAGCAGGCCATAAACAGTTGATTGAAGTATGTAAATATAAATAACATATATATATATATATATATATATATATATATATATATATTAACTATATTTTTAGTATTTACTTATTAATAAAATAGTCGTTGTATATTTTTTTAGCTTTAATGTGAAGCTTATAAATTGTTAGAACTTAGAATTATTACAACAATATATTTTTTAATGCTTGTACAATTTCTGAAGAGCTTATAGTAAACACGCGATTGCTTTCTTTTCGAAATCAACAGCTCTAAATCATTATACACGCCTGGCATTATACAAAACAAGCGTTGTTGTTATTTTATATTAATAATAAGAGAAAAAACTATATTGTGATTATTATTATTATTTTTAATAGCCTTTATAATTATTAATTAATTATTTATAAATTATTGTGAATAATCAATAATGGTTATCTATTACGTTTATACATGTATGTTGTCGATAACACGTTATTCAATAATTATATTGTTATAGTATGTCTCCTTTAAAGAACGTTTGATTGATCTCACAATTGAGCACGCGCTGATAAATTATGAAATAAAAACGTCTACTGAAAACAGAGAAAACAACGAACGGCTTCTTACGGTTGGGCGTTGTATTTTTATTCTGTACATGCTTAAAATAATATATGTTTCTATGCATTTAAATAGAAAATCTACAATCAGGCTACCATTACTTCTCGACACATGGCCTGGTTAATGAGCATGATATTTGTGGAGCCAAAAGAGCAAATTTTATGTTGGATTCTTATGGTGGTTGCTAACACAATAAAAAACTGTTCTGAATTCGAAGAGGAATTATTTAGATTTGTTCCCGAGTTCTATCCAGATTGCTTAATAGGTCTGACCGTTACTTTACCAGACTACTCAAATGAAATTCAACAATATGAGAGCATTGTTACCGGTGATTAACTATAGCATTTTTTTTTCACTAGCATGTACTCATAAATTGTTAAATCCTTTAGATAAAAGAGGGTTAGCTTTATTAATTAGTGAAATTCTTCTCCAACACTTCGAAGATGTTAGAATAGCTAATCCTAAAACAAAGGAATGTATCTTACAAGGTATTACTTTGTATTTGACCGATCCTCAGTCCGTGGAAGTCTTAGAGACAGCATCAGAGTCAAGGTACAGCTTATCTCCTAATTGAGATTAGCATATTTTTACGAAATTAAAAAAAAATTTAATTTTAAATTACTATTAAAAAATAAACCAAAATTTGTTTCTACCGTCTACAGATTAGCATCGAAAAGTTAATTTAAAGTGATTTTATGCTTTCAGTTATAAAAATAAGACCTGTGCCTATCGCACCCTAGTATGCCTGGGCCCTTACTATGCCCCGACATAATGTATTGTTTTTTTTTTACTTAATGTTTAATTGTATTATTAATATTTGTTGTTATTTTTTTTGACAAAACTAAATAAATTGACATGTTAAATTTTTTTTTTCAAAATCGATTTCTTAATAAATATTTTATTAATTGTCATTATTATTAAGATAAAAAATTGTTAGCTAACTGTTTTAAATTTAATGTGTAAACGTACTATTTTAGTCGAATGCATGCAATTCAATCAATTTTCAAACCACAAGACCAAAAAACATGGACTAAAACAAATATAGTATTAATGATGATTTGGTTTGGATCTGGTTATGGGTTTCGTCATACTATACCTCCACACTTAAACAATCGAAAAATACCCTATCAAGACACAATGGAAGATATATTGTTTATTAACATGGGGAAAGGTTGTATGATTTAAAGTATAAAAATAATAAATACATTAAATATTAATTCTGTTACTTACAATACTACATAGAACGACCGCCAGCGTATGTGCTGCAAAATAATATTAAATCAATAATTGCCCAGGATAAACCTTCAGCGGTTATATTTTTAAATAACTCGCTTAATCACTTGAATTGGGCATTTTCAGAGTTTATAAGTGTTTTTCAAGAAGTATGTATCCATTACCATGCAATTTATTGAACAATTAACAGTAGATAGTTAATAATAAGTCTATATTGTCTTTGCATTGGCAATAACAGATCAAAGACATGGATTTAGAAAATAAAACATCTATTACTTCGGATACAATCAATAAGCTGAGGATGTGTTCAACCTGCTTTGCTCTCTCTGTGACTCTACTTAGAGTTATTGAAATGTTAGTAGTATTTGATCGCAACCTTATAACAGATCAAGAGGGTTCTTTGGAAAGAATTACTCAGGTAATCAGTAGCTATATGTAAATAAATAGTCGGTAACAAATATATAACAAGATAATTTGTTTTTTTTTATAGCTCATATGCCAAATACTTAACCGTGTCAATACTTCGACTAACACTTTTCAACTTGTTAGTTCGTTAATACTACCTTATACAGAATCTATACATAAATTTGCAATACTCGTAGCCATTACTGGTGTATTATTAGCAATGTTACAAAACGAAATAGACTCACAAGGTACCTACATAATTATAGTATAATATATTATACTTTATTGTAATAATTTGCTCTAGCTACCTTTTTATGGCTAAAAATATTTCATACTTTTAAGTGTTTTGATATATAGGAACGGTGTTTGTGAAAACCGGAATAAGTAATTTGTTTTTAATTATGATGTTATTCACACATTTTTTAGAAAATTGCACATCAATCGATCGAGTAGTAATACAATTAAGATAGTAATTAAGAACTACATTTTTTTTTTACCTTTTTTACATATTCCCTTTTTGACGAACTCTGTACTGGTAGTATTAAAATCTTACCTTATTTCTTTCTCTACCAGAGCTGATTAATTTCTAATCAACTAAAATAATTTAAGATTTTATTAGAACTGGAATATTGATTTAGAAAATATTATCATGTTAATAGTAAAAAAAATGTATTACTTCAGAAAAAAGTTTTGATGAAAGTTCGAAAATTGCCGAAGATCTGCCTATTACAAAAGTTATAATTTCGGATCCAAATTTTGCAGTATCGTCCTTGGAGTTTATTGTTTTGCCACAAACTGATAGCGAAGAACCGTTTGCTTTGAATTCGTGTAAGCTGTATTTGATTATCATACATTTTTCAATTTATTTGAGTCATAGTTTTATGTGGAGGACGAGTGGCCGAGTGGTTAAAGCGTCAGTGTGTTTGCCGCTCACTGTCGCCGGCTTGATACTCGGTCACGGGCGCTCCGTTTTGGGAAAAGGAGACGCCATCCTCTAGTTCAGAAGCGGCTGATGGCAGCGTTGTTGATAAAGATGATAGTTCTATGTTTATTTTTGCGATTTTTGAAAATTAGGATACAACCGAGTGCATGCTCTAAAATGTATTACTTTCTGATTTAGATACATCCTATTTGACTAGCGAAGAACTATCTAACGCAACTAATATGCATAAACACTTAGTTTGGTATATGAAACGGCGCAGATCGCTAACATCTGGAATAAACGAAGATGACTTATGTCTTTTATGTTATTCGGCTAAAAAGAATATAATTATAATGCCGTGCAAACACCAATGTTGCAAGTCAGTTCAATTTCATTTAAATATTAACACACACAGTTTAAATTTGTTCTCAAAGTATTTCTAAAAAAAATGCGGTTATATGCTTGTATCTCTTTCCAGATTGTATAAGATGCCTAAAAATGTACAATTATTTATAATTCTAGCTGTTTATTATAAACAATTAAATTGATTATTTCAATTATTGTACTGAAATTTCAAAATATTAGTATAATTATTAGTTAAATGTCGATGTTTCAGATTGTGCATAAATCATCATCTTCTTTATTCCCGAGTGTGCTTCTATTGTAAAGGGCGTATTGAACTAGTCGTAGACAGTGATGATCCAACCATCGTGTTACATGATTTCAGTAAAGATTTTCCATCTGTATGATGAAAAATAAACTCTACAAAAAAATGAATGACTTAAAACCAATATTTATAAATAACATATATTAATGTATAATTGTGTCATAAAAATGATTAATTAAAGTTAATGGCTATTTATTATTGTTTTTGTATTTCTAAATAGGACCTTGTTAGAATTTGACGTATTAAATAAAAACTACATATTATGTAGTCAATACATTTTTAATACAAATGGAAAAAAAATGTAGTATGAGTAAAATGAAAAAAATTAATATTTTTCTTAAGTATACACCTATAAGTATATCAACATTTTGCACTAAACTATGGTTTTATCTTTATTTGTGATATTATTATTCACTGCGTGCAAAGTATAATTTTGAACGTGCTGCATAATTTCCTCATAATAATTTACTTAAATGGAGTATCATAGGATAGGAGTAATAAATAAATACGTCTTGATGGCGTCACATACACAAGTCTAATTAGAGTATGTCTTATAATTTATTATATAATATTTCAATTTTACATTTCCGACTAGTATTGTTTACACATAAATTAATTTAATATGGTTATTACATAAATTAAATTAGTAGAAATAATGATAGGCTAATCATTTTGATTATTAACGACGTTTTTTCTTGCCTAGGCCAGTCCATAAAATTCCTGGATCGTGGCTATTAGTGCCACGAAGTGATTCACCATCGTCATGTCTAATAAAATTTCTGATATTATCGGACGGATTACGACCTCTAAAATAATTTCCTGGATAATAAAAATCTGTAACATTTAGAAGTACTAATAAATTATATTAATACGTAAACAGTCTTAAAACAATAATTGACGATCTTCAATGAATAAATTACAAAGTATATATTTTGTTCTTTAAAGTAGTGTTAAGTCCCGCGATAAATGTTATCAGTTGTCATTTTTATTATGTTAACCTAGACGTTTTAGTTTGTCTATGTTCTTTTATACATTTACATTTTTTTACATGATACTAATAACAAATTGATTTAGTTTTAAAAATATCTTCACTTGTATAAAACCTATATATATGTAAGAAAATGTATGGGTACTTATAAATATTTTTCAAAAGTCTCGTCGGTAGGAAGAAGTTTTATACAGAAATAACATTGATATTGTTGTAAAATGAACAAAAAAAATGATGAACTATGATAAATGATAAAAATATTAAAACGATATCCCAATCTGAGGGAAGTATTAGGTGTGAAAAAATTGCAGTTTAAAAATTTTCCCTCTACCTTCGCCTCTGACACACACTATTAAACCCAATCAACTTACCGATTAAATATTAAATTTGTGCATAAAAGTAATTTACTGCTAATTGTCCATAATTCTCCATTTTAATCAGATGCAAAAAAAATTATGAGGAAGAATTTAGAGATCTGAAATTTTCTCATTTGAATAGGCTACAATTGATTAAAAGGTAAGCTGTAGGAAAAACATAAAAAAATTAAAAAATAGTAGTATTATCAATGTTAATAGATATTATTTTATTTTTTCGATGTAACTGTATTATAATTAATAGTATTATTTAATGTTACCATAGTAAACATTTTAATAGTACTACTGTTATTCGTCAATATTCAAAACGTAAACCATTTTAAATTCTAAAACAAATAGCGTTCGAAGTAGGTAATTTCCAAACACAAGCGCTGTAGGTTAAATTTAACTAGTATTTTAGTGGGTTAAGGATTACATATTATTTCATTTTAATGTTCCTAGTGTAGTAATAATACATCTACAGTTTTAAAATTTGGATTTAAAAATTTTAAGATCAGAAATTAAAAAAAAATGTTTAAGGCAATTTTATAAATGTATTGGTCATGTGTAAAATGGATAAAAATATGCATTTTTAATTCGTGCTAAAATGTAAAAAATAATTAATGCTGCGAAAGATGATTTATATGTATTTATCAAAGTTGGTAAAAACCTATTTACTGAGACAGATTTCAAAACTATAAGCAAACATAAATTGTGTAATTTTTTTAACACTTATCTGAAGGGTTAAATTTAACAAATAAACCTGGTATTATTAGTTTGTTTACTTTAGGTACGACTTAAATATGTAAACATTTTCACAATATAAGCAGTACTTAAATACTATAGTAGTCTTTATAAAATAATATTAGATTTAATTGTCGTGTGGGACTGTCGTAATTCATTTTTATAGTGGGATTTATTATATTTATAATCATTTTTGTAAAATCTCTTAAGTACCTAATCACTTATTTACTAGAGCTATTATCTTAAATATTGTTACTAACGCGATAGGTTAGCTTATTAACACAATTAAAATATATCAAAACAAACAGCAACACGATATAATTTAATCATTTAATTGTTTTACAGATGGTGTTAACACATTCATAAATGAAAATAACTCTTAAATACTTAAGTAAGAATAAAACAATAACAGTTTTATAACAAAATAGTGCTCCATTTTTAAACTGTATAAGTATCTTCTCATAAGATTAAGGTTAGAGAGGTGCATTCTCGGGAAATTATTATAATCTGTATTACTTGTAAGAGGATTATTTAAATTAGGCTATTGTAGGTGTATATATAAATACTGCAATTAATAAAACAGTATATATATTTAACAGCACAGTAGAATGATATAAGGGAAAAACCATTTATTTCAAGTCTGATGAGTTTGATGAATTAAACGCACAAACCGCTGACCACTTACGTCGTACACTACCTGTTAGGGCTTACGTTTTGGAATCCGATTAAATATGACGGATTTATGTACTAAGAAAATAAGCGTGAGCGTACATTATATTTATACCCAGCTCACAGCTGTACATTAAACGCGAATTTGAATTATTTTACATTTAATTATAATTTGAATAATTCATAATACTAATTTATGGTTTTAGTTGTTATTAGATGTATATTATTTTTATATAATATTTAATTTTTATATACATTTTTGTATAATTGTATGCAAACCTATATTTTATTTCCTTATGGCTTAAACTATTACTATTATTTGGACTAAAATTACAGAATTATCTATAGTCAAGAACAGATTAGGTGGTTTTAATATATAAAGTAATAAACTTATTTTCAATTTATTGTTTACTTAATCAACCGATACTTCGCATAAAGCAATAAATCTCAAAATCATTAAACCTAGAACAACTCAATAAACTGCTCAAATGTTTTAAAGGGCGTTTTTCTATTAAAATGATAATATGTATTTTATTTTACCACCATCCGTTGCTGTACTTTTTGAAGTACCGAAGTCGTAAATGTATCAACTAATAAAACCCATTGATTAATTTGCCAAGTGTTGTGCACCGTTTAAAGGTCCATTTTTGATTGTTACTTAGGTTTTATAAATGTTTGAAAATAAATCAAATGCTTATATTTAAACCTAGTATCATGCAGTGCAATATCTAGTACATGCATGAAAGTTGGATATGAATTATTTGTATAAATTTTAAGTGTTTATGTAAAATTGTTTTTGCATCCTCAAAATGGAAGCTGCGTTCCCTTGACATTTTTATTTCTAATATCAGGATAGGTAAGACCGTATATATTGAAATCGAAAATAGACAACTAGGTATATTGACACTCTACCTAGACAGATTCTAAATTTTCCCTAAAATGTCATCAGCATGTTTGGTTGTTTGAATATACCGTTTTAACTTTAGATGTTTGGGTTTGAATTAGACAGAAATTTTTTCAACAATACATTGAACATAAATATCTAAATTTACACAGTTTAGACTTTACTTAATTGACTGTACTCGATATGTGTTTAAAATTTCGGCTTTGTAGATTAATGATTGTAATAGTTATGGCTATTTTTCTTGTTATCAGTTGAGTTTAACTTTAACTTTTAGACCTTGATAATTGATTTGTTTGGTCATGTTAGCATGGTAAATGATAGTCTTTAAATAATATGGACATTTCAATAAAGGTATGTCAATGATTTTATAGTTATGTTGCTTTTTTTTGTTATTTTGAGGCCAGTATAGTATTTGTTATGTTAGTAAGGTTAAGGTTATAGTTTATGTCAAAGTATATTATAAACTTATTTTAATTTTGAAATTTCAAAAACACATGTTTTGAAGAAATTATAATATGAAAATATTTCTTTAGCTGATATTTGATCATCTCTTGTATTCTTAGTGTATACAGTCCCGTAATTCCAAGTAATTTGTTTAACAAAACTGCCATTGAAGACTTAACTAATACTTTGTTCTATTGTTCATCCCCTTTTTGAAATTATTGACTATTTCTACTTCAATTGTTGCCTCCCAAGTCCCAGACCATTAATTGTTCTATACCGATAAAAAACAAATGAAACTTACCATCTTTTCGTTGAATCTTGTAATTTAATTTTTGATTATTTTTCAATTCTTTAACGTTTGTATTAATGCTATCGAAAAACTGCTTTAAATCACTCATAACACCTGCTTCAAACAAATCATATTAATTATTATTTTTTATTATCTTACTGTATATTTTTTTTTTATATAGCCTTTATTAATAATAAATAATTGGCTCAACAAAATCTTACTATATTATTTTGTATAATACTATAATAATTTATTATAGTAATATTATATACTATAGTATAATTATTATATAATTATGCAACTATTACGGTCAGGCGAGTTTGTAGTTATCTAAAATGATTTTTCCAAAAGATTAGTAGTCGAAAAAATTTACTCAAATAAAACAAAAACTAGTAATAAATAGCTTTAATATTAACGCGTGAAATATGTTTAAAGAATTGAATATCTATATGTGAACCATAATTTCTTCATTATCCCATTTTTTTACCTTTGTATCTAATGAAGTTGTTTAAAAACAGTTAAATTTACTGAAATATTATTAATAATTTTTTTTTTTTTTTTGTAATCGAATACGGTAATGATGGAAAGGAAGTGGATCAATTATTTCGACAGATTTTGATTTTTTGTAACCGACGTTTTGCCACCTTAGTAATTCAATATATTGCTTAATAGAATTATTACTTACACATAATGAAGATACAATGACTAAGCATCCTGCAATAGTTTTTGCTAAATTATTATACTGAGTTTCTATTTTTGATTTGCTCATACAATTAATATTATTTCATTAATAGGAGCCAGAAGCGTCTATCCTCGCTGTTAATTTATAAAAATATTTTTTTTTTATCATATTACATATCTTCGGACACATTAAAGAATTCGAATAATTATTACTCGAGTACATTTTTTTCTACCAGGCGGCTCCCATTTGGACATGTTTTTCCACCCTTAACCACTGCTTCTCAAATGTGTTAAATTAGTAATTTGTCTTTGGAACAATTATACATGATAGGTTTATGCTGAATAAGGACAATGGGCTCATGTAAACAATGGACTAACGAAGGCAACCAACGCCTAGTTAGCTGAATTCATACCTTTTAATCGCGACCTTAAGTTAATTCGTAATTCATCTCGTTTTCGAAGTATACTGAATCGTAATTTACCTATATAGTTATTAAATTATTTAATTTCCATCAACTCATGTGTGTCCATTTAATTCTACTTTTTACTTGAACTTCTCCAATTTCAAATAACAGCTCGGGCACCGCAAATTAGGGGTCTAAGTATTATATAAATGTTTTGCGTTATTTTAATAAACTTAAGTTAACATTTTTATAGATACGACCGTCCGTTAAAATTAAGAATCGGCCTTGTAAAAATCGGCCGTAGAAAAGATGATAAGTAAACAAAAAACGAATTTATAAACGGTAGGGTAGACATTTCAGAAAATGACGTTTTAGACTTTATTCCTATAAAATTTGTCTCTTTCAGTTCCTCTTAATTAAATTCAATAAAGTAACCGATTAACGACAATGTTTAGAACGGCAATGGAGAGATTGTACCTCTACTAATTTAAAATGTGCGGTAATGACTCCTTCGAATATCTTCTCGTTAATGCAATTAAATATGATACGGAAAAGTTAAACGATTAGAAGAAACGCACGCATCCTTTTCATAATTAACATCAGCTCAATCATAATAATATCAAGTTCCCATAAACCCATTTAATTGTCTTACGAATATTAATATATATATTCGCACATTCCTATTCAAGTCTCAAGAAAGAGATGGTTTCACTTAATTATGTCTTACAATAATATAGACGCCATACGCTGATTGCGCCTTATAAATATCATCAATCATAAATATTATTTTATTATATATAACCATAAGTTTCTCAAGTTTTTTCTACATTAATATATAAAATGTATTAATAAAACAAATGACAGCCAACCACAAGATAATGTTTGATTTGGATTTAAGTATGCTTTTGTATGACTATTGATTTAGCATACTATATTTAATTGTACGTATTACAATAGTTTCTAAAAAGTTTTAACGTTTTTGTGTTATACTTTGTTCTTTACGTTTAAATCGATTTATACATATTATTTCAAATCGAGTTTTAATATTTTCATTATTTTTCTGACGAATTAAAAAAATAGTTTCAGAATTAGGGTCGGCATGGGTTCGTTTTCTTGAAGTCATTAGTTATGTAATAGCTAATTGATGACGTATGAAATAACAATGGGTCCATAATATAAGTCTTTAATATATAAAACTCTATGGTATTTGTATTTAAAGTAAAACAGTTATAGAAATTAGTGGAGTTTATAATTAAAAGATGTCCGTTTTGAACATGTTTGAATAACAAAACTAACAGCGTTTTTAATGTTAAATGACGTTATAAGAATTTAAAAACTATACGTTTAATGTTTGTTTACAATACGAATAATAAAAAACTCAAATTTGGAATCAAACTATTTTTTTTTAGTTTTATTTCTAGTTGTATACTTACTTATACTTTCATATGGAATCAGTGGAGATTGCGTTCTTTTAAATATGGTTAGAACTTGATCTATACTTCTTAAATCTCTTCTATTTGTATCATGTTCAATGTTATGCTGATCTAATATGTTATCCGGTTTAGTCATTCTCCAAATTGATTTAAGCAGTTCTTTGTTACCATCTACAAATAATAAAACAAAATATAATTTCAACAATTATAGTTCTATTAGGTTAGGTAGATATTTAATTAAACTAATATTATTCAGTAAACAATAAGTTATTTGATTAACACTATTTGTAAATTAGTAGGTGTATGAAAAATTACAAAAAAGCAAAATATACACAGCATAATTGTTAACACCTAACACTTTATACATGTCATTGATTTCCTTGAAAATATCAATTCAGCAGAATGACAGCTTTGGAATATAATTTCTAAGAATTTACTCAAGAGTAAATAACTTTTTGCATTACTTATGACATTGTTTCTAAAATAATGGAATAATTGTCTTGTAAGATACATTTTGTTCCAGTATTGTTTTAAAATATTGTTTCCTAACAACAATATATAAATAATAATTGAAATGGTTTAAAAAAAGTTTTAAAAATATTAAATAAAAACGTAATAAATATTCAGAGCTGAATGATGGAAAAATTAGTATTACTAACCTTCCAATTTTTTTAGTTATGTTTATCAATAACGACGGGTTGTGATATTAATAAAATAATATACTGTGACACAAAAAACATTATACTGTGCGCATCATTTGTCACAATTTATTTGAAACTGAACCGTCTAAAAGCATTAGTTTGTTCACTACTGCATTGATAACTTTAGTTTCATCTTTTAGACGGAATATATTTTGCTGACAAGTGACATTGTAACATGAATAATAATAATTATTACTTTTTTAAAATAGGAGAATATGACTTACTTTAGATAGTTTAATATAAAATATTAATATCTAAAAATTCATTTTCTTTTTAAACGGGTAAAAACTGTAATGTAAAAATATTTATAAAATGTTTCTGTGTGGGACACGACTTATAATAAGTCATATAGGTTCTTAAAACTCTTCTAAATATTATAAAATAAATAAAATTCGTTATATTATGTGAGTATTAGATTGTTTTTTTTTTAACTCATGACTAATACCCTCCAAAATTTAAAACTACAAAAAATAAAATAATTCAAAACCGCAGTACCAGAACGTAAGCTTTAGTGCATATTTATTATAGAAATCAGATTCAACTTCAAAGAGTTTCTTTTGTTCATTAAATAAACAAATTTGAAATCGTCATTATTAGTTGAAAATTATAAGATCAAATTTTGAAAATTAAGATTTTAAATTAATTTTACAGTTTGATGTTTTTGTACCAAATTAGAAAAAAAAAACTTCTACATCTGTTAAAAACCGGGTTTTACCCATTTCATACTTCGATTAATTGTGATTTTTTTCTAAGATTAGGTTTATAAATTTGTGTTTAATTTAAAACTTTCATTGTTTATGTTTATTTAAACTTTTTATACCTAATGAAAATGTATAATATTGACTTCAATTATTAAAGACAGTTCATAATATGTCAAAAAGCTAAAATCTAAAGACAAAATTATGTTTTTATACTTCAATTTCACTTTTTTATTTTTTCAATAAAGGTACTAAAATTACGATAATTTAATCACTCTCTTCATCGTACCTTAGTTTTTAAAATATTCTTGTCAAAATAAAATAGCTTTAATTATTAGTGACGGAAAATGTTTTTTTAACGCTTCACTTTGACGATAAATGCTTATAGATTTCGGATTACAACATAACAATTTATCATTTCGGGGTTTTTTTATCAAAAACATTTTTCTTACACATCCTTACATTGTAAAAACGTTTAGTATTTATTTTCAAATTTCCATTACTACTATTTACTTAAATACCTATCGTTGGAATTCCATTTTGGAATACTAGTTGTAAAGATTAATTTTAGAAACTAATTAACTTATTTTATATTGTCAGAAATATACAGTATACTACTAATAATAAAATGAAGATAATACAAAAATGTTTTTAAAAAAATGATATAATTTGCAAAAATAATAGTTGTTTAAGCATAATTATTGTAATCATGCAAATTTATATCCGTAAAATTATAATAAAACAATTAGTTCCTCACAGTAAAATTAACAAGTAAAAAAACATTTACCTTTGCCGTAGTGGTAATTTATTAGCCGAGCATTATTATAGTTGAACAAAAATACCAGGAAAACAACTGCAGTTAAGAAGTTCATGACGGAACGTTTGAAACGTAAATGACAACTGCCTTACCTGAGAGCTTGTGAACGTTACATTGCACAAGTAAACGCAGCTCAAGCCTATATCACCCACCACCCTACAATACAAAATTAATTCAACATTTTTGTTTCCTTTGCTAGGACTAAAAACATTTTAACTATTTAAAAATATTTTTCTTTATTCGTGAAGTGATTTATTTATTACATTATATAAATAAAAAGTATCTAAATTATGAAAGTGCCCCATGGTATGTATCAAACTGCACACTTCAAAATGACTTTAAAATAGAACCAATAAACCATTTAGCCATAAAACACTACAAAAAATTTCATTCCAAATTACACACTCATTCTAACCCTTTAATATCTCAACTTGCTTCTAATTCACTCCTCGGAAATCCACCTCGCCGACTCCGAAGACATTGGTGTCGAGATCTGTTAATACAATAATTCAAATTAATCTAATTAAAAATAATTAGAACAAAAATCACGTTGGGTTCTATTACTGGATAGCCTCCCTCCTCATATCAAATCACCGTTTCTATTTGTTTATTTTTTTCCCTCTCTCTGTATATATAACAATGTAACTATTTGCTTATTATGCCTTGCAGCATAGATTGTAAATACTCTTAATAAATAAAAAAAAAAAAAAAAAAAAAAAAAATTATGAAAGTAACTCGTTAGTTGTTTTTATTAAAAATGAGATATTGAAAATAAAAAGTCGGTTTAGTGGTTTTTTAATTTTTGTTCAATTTAAACTACATTGTTTTTTTAAAAATTATAATGTGTACATGGCAATACACATTTTTGGATTGTGCAATCATAAGCAAAAAACAAAGCTTATATTTTTTTAGGTTAAAAAAATTGTTTAAATGTTTTTTTGCAAACAAATTGAGTTTTAAATAAAAAATGTATATTTAAGTGTTCTACATAATAATTTCTATTACATATTATTAATTTTACATTAAACAGATATTTTTTATGTATTATAAAAAAAACTTTATTAACTAAAAATTATAGAAAAAATAGATATTTGTTTGTCTACTATCGAATTTAATAATAGACAACTATTCATCATTCATCAAGTATCACTGGATGTATGCCTACAGTTTTTTTTATGAAAATCGTATCAGCATAATCAAAGTCAAAAAAGTAAAATCGGGTAATATTTTTTTATAACCTTGATTTTTATTTATATATATATATATATATATATATATATATATATATATATATATATATACATACAGCCTCCAGGCCAAAAATTTAAAGTATTATTGTATTTGTATGTAACAAAAAATTGTCACAAATTGTGTATAAGAAAACAAGAATATAATAAGAGCAACAAGGCGCTTTGGGACTATCCCATTCTCACCTAAAAATGAAGTTAAAGATCGTCAATTTAGAGTGGGTTGAAGTTTTTTCTTCAATTCCCCTGACAGTTGTCTATTCACTGAAATAGATTTCATTTTGGTCTTGTTATTTTTCGATTAAAAAAAAAAAAAAAAACAGATCAGTTTGTTTTAGACAGTTAGGTATTATTTTTTAATAATTTTGGATTAATTTTTATAAATAGTAAAACAATTTAAGTTGAGAATCGGTTTATTAAAATATATTAAGTACCCCACATTTGATGATAAAATATAAAATACGATTTAGTTCTTAGACTTAGACCTAATAAATTCAATTTTATTTTTCTCTAAAATATTGAAAGTAAAAATCGTTAATGTTAGTAAACTTTAAATTATTCAAATTTATTAAATTTAATTAATTTTTTTTCAGTTTTGTTCTTTTATTCTTTCAAATAACTAATTATAATACTATAGTTATTTCAGTATAAAAGTCATAATTATACTTTATACTACTACAGTTACACATTATAAATGTCTTTAAGGAATTGTTTATTTGATGGTAAACTATTAAAGTATATCAATCCTAAATAATAGCATACATTTGTTACAATAACATCAATGTACAATCAATATACATGTCACTGATACCAACTATGAGCACCTGTCTTATTTTAATAACACTCCGTTTAAGAAATTAATCTCAATGAGAAGTTTATAAAACAAAGTTTGCAATAATTTAAATACTTGTAGACATAACTAACTAACATTAATAATTTTGCACCCCGGTCCAAGATGCAAAATAATTAATGTGGTAACTATTATCAAATATTTCTTCTTCTTCTTCTTGGGTTTATCGGCCATCAAGACCATCCCGTTACACATCCAATCCTCCAGCCTTCCCTATCAACCGCTCTTACTTATCAAATATGTTTTATAGTTTTTTTAAGCTATAGAAACATTTAGGCCAAGTGACGTTAAAACGTTTACAGCATATTTAAGTTATTTATTAATTTAACTTTTAAATGTTATAAACATTATACTAAACATTTAAGCCTGATCGACAGCCAGATAATACTAAATCATAATTCGTAGGAGTCGATCATCGACGGTACTACATTTCTGTAGTAATTAATATCTTAAGCTCATTCTTTGATTTTGGTTGACAATCAGTTTGCTTTACTTGGTCCCTTGACAAATAGTAAGTTGTGCTGAAAACAATTGTATATATTTTAAACAAGTATATAAGTAACAAGATTGCATGCAAATAAATAAAATTAATATATTATATTGTATTATAATGTATTTATGTATACAATTTTCATGTATATGTTAGACTTGGTTAATTAAATTTTAATGTCAATTACAAGCATATATATTTTGTTAATTATGTACTTACGCAAAACAGCCAAGTAACGGCATTGCCAACACTATACTGATGATAAAAAAAGCACTGGGAATTGTTTCCAAAGTCCTGTCATATACGATATTATACATTGTTGTAATAATGGCTTTCAAAGAACACTCTATTACCAGTCTCACTGAATTAGAGGTACCTAATATAATTTCAGTAAATATTAAAAGTTCACCATATTTTTGATTTTTTAATATATAATTCATAACTTATAATAAAAATTCAAGTATAAAATATCTACTAATTTGTATGTTGGTTTTGAGATCAATTGTGCATTTCTACTTAACAATATTAGAGTAAAAGCGATGATTTGCAGTTCTGAAATATTTTCAAAATGGAATGTGGAAATTCAACTGGCTAACTATTAATTTCATAGCACTTACAACAATGAATGTTTTCTGACAGCAATTAAAAAAAAAAATTAACTAAATCAATTATAAATACCAAGTTCGTGTGCTTCGACACATTTTGAAGTTATTGATCTAGTTATTGAAAGTGCTGCACCGCGAAAAAGTTGTAAAGGAGGTACTGAAAAATGCACAAAAAATATTATAAATATAAATTCTAATTTTATAATATTTTGTTTTAACAATTTAAAATATTATTCTTTTCGTACTTTCAAAATATGTATTTAATCTTACTTAAATATAGATGCCAACTTTGTGAAGCTATTAGGAATGATACAGCAGTAGCTAAGTCAAATACGGTAGCAATAAAACCAATCATTGAATCGTTAATTTCAAACAATTTACTCATAATCCCATAGATTAGTGTGGTTCCTAATAAAAGGGTCTTTTCTTCAATTTTATCAATTTTCATCAATAATATTATTACAAAATAATAATGCAAATGTTTTAAACCTATCATCATAACGCCCTCAGTACATCCAATATATACACCGAAGTTTGACTCATCCCAGTTGAATTTTTTTCTTACAAACATATACATCAGTGAAAGTTCACCTGAATTGGAAACACATATGATATTTTGATTAGATATATGCCGTATGGTAGTTTTTTTTATTTTCCTATTTGTAACGTCTTTTTCTTTATTTTATTCAACTCGTCACGTCTTTTTTTATTATTTTATTATCTTGTTTAACTGATTCTAAATACTTAAATTTCACTACTCAATCACCACTTTCTTCTCAGGTTCTCTATTATTTTCTAAGTCCTCCTGTTCTTCTCCTCTTATCTGTTTATTTTCAAACAATTTTTCTTCAATGCTGCCTCCTATTGCTCTAATTTTACTTCTTTTAAAATTCTAATAATTTTGATTTTTCCTTACTCTACAGAGTTATTTATCATTGGCAAATTTGGAAGAGTAAGCCTTTTTCCTTACCACGGCAGCTACTGTAGCACAATATCAGATTGGGCCCAGTCCGGCTCTGCAAGTGTAGACTAATAACTCTCACTGTGAACTCGCCTATGTCACTACCCATACACACTCATTTTCGCTCCTTCATACATATCCTCCATTAATTTGTTACATACATTCTTTGGACACTTTTCTTTTTCAAAACTGTTCAAAATACTTATCTTATAGTACTATCTCATACGCGGGCGGTGTGGCGCAGTGGACACCTCAGCTGCCGCATGGCACTTGAGGTTAAGCTGTGGCCATTGCTGCTTGAACTCGGATGGGTGACCACCCGGATTTTTAGCGGTGACCCACACCATCATCAACCCCCGATAAAAGCAGCATGTGGCAGAAATGCCATGCACCCTCAGGCGACCGAACTGGCATAAAGTTTAGCTAGGCCTCTTCCGGTCAAATACGCCATTCGAATATTTTTTTAAAATTTTTTTATGTCATACGCTTTTTCTAAGTCTATTTAAACCATACATAAATTTTTTTTTTTTCATAATTATGGTCTCACGTGAAGTATAGGCTCCAAATAAAAAAAAACTTCGTCTTTTGAATATACTTAGGATACTTACCCGCAAATATACTACTAGTCAGTGGTACAGCGATCATTACAGTTAAGAGCAACACAATTTTTTTATTGTATTTTCTCTTTCGATTCGCTACTTTAAAACAGACGGCAACGATATTCGGACTGATTGTTTGGGCGATGTCATGCCAAAATCCGACTTTGGTATAGTTGGTGGACAAGTCCGGTATGAGGAAAATGCCCAGACCGAGAGCCGTCGCACTCATAGAAGCACACACGAGAAATGACTTCAAGAACCCGATAGCGGGTACGATGAACCCAAAAATCAATTGGCCAGCGGTGGAACCAACCGTTAACATGAACACGACGATGCCGAACCGGAAAGTTCTATTTTGCACGTCGGTGCCATCGACGACTTGCGCGAACACTCCCATGTTCATGAGAGTGGTACTGCCGGTCACCAGCAAGGCAGAAACCTGAAGTATAGCGGTGACGTTGGGCGACAATGTCCAGTGCCACGAACAGTAGGCGTTCAGCAAATCGGTGCCGATCTGGCCGAAGACCGCGACGAATATCAACGGCCGACGACGACATCCGTGCCTGTCGCTCCACGGGCCTGCGAAAAAGGTAACTACCGCTGGTACCGTATACAAAACCAAGTACTTCCAAGTGTTGATTTCACTAAGAATGTGTTGCGCTTTCGCCTCGTCCGGACATTTTTCGTCCGGCGCTGGTCGCCATTCTTCGCCGTCAGCTGTGTTTGGCACGCACGCTTTGTATAGAAGCAGGTTAGTGGCCAGATTAGACGACAAAGTATTAGCCATAAAGTACAAGAAAACTGATGGTTCTACCGTTATTGTTCGTACACTAAACATGTTTACCATTAATATAAGTATGATCAATTGGCTCGATTCCGTAAAGATCAAATTTACACATTGTTAAATAATTTGTTTTTATCTTCTCGTATCTATTTTATTGTACTTCACACGACACGTGTTAACACGCCCTTACTCGCCACGCAACAGATACTATGTATAATAAAATGTTATCTTTTATTCAGAATATTACATAATCTATACAATTTGTATGTACAATAAGCGTAAATGGTTACATTATATAGACGATAGAATTTTGCTTGGAGGCTTGAAAGGAGACACCCAGTTATACGTTAAGCGTCAGTACCGTTTTGCTTTTCAATTGGAGAACCTGTACCTATACTATTACTTATGGGTTATTCAAGTCCTTTTGATAGTGATTTTGAATAGGAGTTGGAAGAAATGGCTGTGGCAACATTTTTAAATGAGTCCATAAGTAGTCGCAAATTTTGGGTTCATCCTATTTATGAGGAAAGAGTTGAAAAAGGAGTGTTTAACTAATATTTAAAGCACATCGGTTTCGGCGGAGTCCTTTCAGCTCATTTTTTGTATATATTCCGAGTGAAACGAACCTGTATCCATCTAAACTCTGTTGTAAAATGAAGTAATTTGATAAAATTTGATTTGATAAAGCACTCTGTTGGACGTCACACGTAACACGTCGTAATACGTGGTGTGTAAATATATGATCACAAAAACAAAATAATGTATAAAAATAAACGGGATAATACAGGATTAAAAATTCGCGGCGTGTAAAGGCGTGGTAACACTTGGCGTATGAATAATGTGCCTCGTCATGTCTTCGTGGTCATTTTTTTTGTTTATCTACTAACAAACAACAATTTTTAGTCTTTTCAAAATGAATCGATAGATGTATGACGGAAGTTTATACATATGTGCTCGTGTTTTAAGTGTAACAAACCTAATCCTTATTTTTCTGAAAGTATTACCCAATTTGTTGTAAGTCGTAAAGATTTTAATGACATCACGCGTTGTCGCTATTTCAAGTCCATTGCGGAAGATTATCATTACTGTTATTATAACGTACAGGCATCATTAAGAGTGGCAAGTACCAGTTTTCATAATGGTAGACCAAGTTATATGTCAAGTTGATTGTTAATGATTTTCTTTATTATATTTAAATTCTGTTACACTAATATTTAAAAGTAATTTCTATATTACTTGTTTATTGCGACGTATTTACTAAAGGGTCATACCATTGATTATGTAATAGTCTATTACTTTATCAATGGTCATACTATGACCGTCATAGCAGTTACCGTCAAAATATCTAAAAAACAATTATTCCTCAAAAACATAAAACACAAAATACGAATGTACTTCAATTGTATATTGATAAGATTGCATTTGAAGATCGCGCACTGTACTAATAACAATTAACAAGCGTTCGCGCACTTAGGTATTTACACGAAACGTGTTTACACACCCTTACACGCCACGCCGTGTGATGATGTTGTGGACACAAATACAACGCAACCACTTGGTATAGCGTATGGACTATATTATAGAATATATTTGGAAAATGTCATACAAATAATTACAGTGTCCGGATCTAAATATCCGGATTTGACGGATAATTTGGTTTTTCGGATTTTCTGTGAAATAATAAACCACAAAATCTACGAACTTCGTTTAATTTAAATGTGTCATGATTTACATTACCATTTACAAACATTTATTTATATTTTCCAATTATAAGAAGTTCTGGTAAATCTATCTGCTTTTATTTTCATTAAAGTTCGGATTTCCGTAGCTAACCACTGAAATAGAAATTACATTAAACAACTTACCATACAATATGCAAAAAACAAGTTACAGCTAATGTGATATGGTATTGTTTTTATTCTTTTAGTAGTTGTATAAACGATTTGAAACTAATACTAACACTCCATTGGCAAATAATGATTGGTGCTTCGATCTTGAAGCTGAAGTTAGGTTGAGTTTTAGGTTAGGGTTTGGATTGTGTTAGATATAATGTCTCCTACTAATTAGCAAGCGTTTAAAGCGAAATGGCATCATCAGTTAGAAAAAGTAATATACTCTTTATTTTATAAATAGACAAAATTTCAACTTAAATTCGTAAAATTAAAAAATATTATTGTCAATAAAAAAATATAGTAATCTAAAAAGATTTTGCATCAAAAATATTTAAATTGATTTTAAGAGCTCAGGCTAGTTATAATTATTAGTTAATATTACTTATACCTGACTGACTGCAAAGTCCGGTAATCTCACCAATTTTCCCAAGTGTGTTCTTTTCATGGTTCTTTTGTTGACTGAGTGTTTAGATTTGATTCGTATGACGAGTCCGTTTGGTACAGATACCGGATATCCCCTCAACTCATCCCATTTGTGTATCCATTTAAACTATGAAGTCGTGTATGTACTCCACACGTAGTCACAGATGTGTTAATAAATTAAAATAAACCCGATATAAAATACCTTGTAAGAACCAAACACGTCAGTGGCGACATAAGCTATGTGTTTATTCGTTATGAACAACGTATCAAAATGCGGACCATCGTTTAGCCGAATGTGATAAACATATTTTTCGGTGTCTTTAAAAAGCAATTTCTTTCTCATGTACTGTTTTATAAAAAAACGTTTTTTAAGCGAATTCTGCATTATATTTTGTTAATTTAATGGTGCGAATGCCACATGGTAATTGGATAGTAACACTTAGAAAGTCTCACAAAAAAACAAACGTATATACAGGGTATTTAGAGTTTTATGGTTCGCTAGATTTTTTAATGATTACTCGAATAATTAGTTTATGAAATTAGAAATAATTTACTGAATATTTTAACTGTTCGAAGCAGTTTTTATTACTTTTTAGGTTATTAAAGTTTAAAATTTAGGACGGGAGGTGGAGTGCGGTTGACTAATGCACGGAGATATAAATAATATTACATTCCACCCTTCCTCCCGTTTTAAATTTTTAACTTTAATAATTTAAAAGTAATTATTCAAAACTAGTTATCGACTAGTCAACATTTTCAGAAAATCATCTTAATTTAAATAACTAATGTCTTATGTTTAATTAAACGTATACATTACCATTGAAGTTTCAAAAGTTAAACTCCTAAATTTGGCTTCCGACAGAATAAAATGCCAAAACTTTAAACTATAATTGTTTGATAAAAACTAAAAATGTTTTACATATAATATTATTTTTCATAATTTTAATGTACCATCAAAAATCAGATGGGCCCTGAAATTCTGAATACTCTATATATCTGAATAACAGTAGCATGTTTTAAGATATTAAATATTTCCTAAAAATTATACCTTTAACATATTATATCCCTCAGCTTCATGTGGACAATATGGAAAGAGTTCGCTGTTATCTTGAAGAAATCGGATTAACCGCGTTCGTTTATTCGCTGGCAAATTATCAAATGTCCTATTATAGAATATTACATAAATGGTTATATTTTACACTTGCTATTTCGGTATATTACAAGTGAAGAATAATTAAATTCCAATTTACTCGCCTCTTTATGTACCGCGTTGAAAAATGAGTACAATCCAATATCCCGACAATAGGTAGTTTAAAGAAACCAAAAATACCTAAGCTAGTCCCTATAAAACAACCTCTAATTCTGTGTTTTTTATACCCTTCAATTGGTTTCTTAAAATTATCCAAAACAACGTGTAAAATATCCTAAAATTGTATTCGATAATCGTTTATGAAATGTTATGTTATGATTATTTTAAATCATAAAAATTAAAAAGTAGCGTAAACAAACTATACCATTGACAATACTTGTCCGGCCATGAAAAACCCTTGCTTTCCAGTCAGTAGGAGGTTCCTCTTTTTTTTATGACTTTTACTGAACATTATAGGAGCCATTCCTTTATCTAAACAATTAATAACACTTTAATAGGTAGTAAACATTAGAATTCATAAAATATTATACTATTTACCGATAGCTCCAGTAATACGTTCCAGTACACCAGCAAACCCGCCAATCGTACCGTTCAATAAACTCTTTAGGCCATATTTAAGCCCAACTGTAAACTCTGAAATTCCTAAAGTCGCGCCCTATAATGTGCACAGTATATAAAAAACTTTTTAAACTATTATACACACATTAGATAGTGTTCATATTCATGATGGAAAAAAATCCACGTTTTCAGATTTTTAATTCCAAAGTTATTAGTAAATCCAGATTTCCTATTTGGAAAAAATATATAATGTTATGAAGTATGAAGGATTTAAAAACCCGAAATCCGGATTTATTTCAAATCACTAGTTGATACAAACCAACAAAATAATAAGTGTACACTTGTACATATTTCTTGCATGAATGTGTATAATATTTATCAATACTAACTAAGTATGGTTCGTAAAAACTGTTTACAATTCCATTGGCAAATCCCTTCAAAAACGTTACAGGATTACCAAACACATCCAACCCAAGTACATAAACATACATTTGTTTTATCAGTTGATTAGTATAATGTAGTTTTAACTCTTTCAAAACACTTGATTGGCTTAAAAACCAATACTTTCTTTCGAAACTAGCTAAACTATAAATGCAATACGTTTATTTAAATTTTAAAACTTTACAAAGTTAAAAAAATATTTTACTTGAAGATTACATCGTTTACACTAGTTAGTGTAACGCCAATGCTGTACAAAAAAAAGTTGAAATATTTCGAAATATCCGTGCTACTAGTATCATTGTCGGACAGTGAAAACGTTATGTGTATCTAAAAATGATTTTTTTTATAAATTTAGGTATCATATAATATTATTTAATAGAGTTAGAACTAAAATTCGAATTGAAGGCAATGGTACAATAGCCAAATGTCCATTTTTTTAATTTTTCATGAGACCTAAACAACATTTAAAACATAATTTTTATATGTCTCCTGAATTGTAAAAAAAATAGATACATGGTTATTGCACCGGTTCCTTAAATTATTCGAATATTTCCACCCCTAATTGTATATTTGTATAAAAAAAATGTCATGTTATAATCGTC